CCGAATGCCTACCGACAAAAATTAGTCCGGATAATCGAGTTTCCACTGTATACATATAATAAAATTGTAACTAAGCCGAATGTGTACATTAAATATTCTTTGGAAAATCTTAAGTAAACATTATTATCAATACAGAGGCCGAATCTATAGTTTTTAGAATTTTTGTCTGTCTGTCTGTTACCGCATCACAGAAAAACCACAGGAGGGATTTTGATGAAATTTGGTATGGTGATAGCTGGTTATCCGGGTAAACATATAGGATACTTTTTACCGCGGGAAAATGTCTCATTTCTGAGAAAAATTACAAAAACTGCAAGGTAACGTATAAGGTAAGAGATACTAATATGTAAAACCTAAGAATTTGGTTTTTGGTCATTTGAACGCAGGCGGAGCCGCGTGCAATGCTAGTACCTTCATATTTTACATAAATTAAAAATAAAAGTCTAAATGCATACATGAATTGAAAATAACATAAATATTTCTTTTTTAAAAGCTTAATAATCTGATGACAATTTTTACTTTTAATATGCAGCATAACCGATAACCCCTCAACTGTCGCTGTCATTTTACAAAAATATGGCGCATCTGTCGGCTACTTTTCGAGGGCCTGCGCGAAATATGTACGCATCATTAAAATAACAATATTTATTAAAAATTTATATATAAGCTATATATAAAGCTTATATCGTTAGAATCGTTTTAAAATAAACTAAGAATATATATATAAATAAGATCAATTGTATTTAACATTATATAGTTAATTCTAAGTTGAAATTACTGTAAGTGATTTTTTATCAGTATATAGTATGAAAACAGGAATTATTATAAAATAAAACTATTATTTTAAAAACTTTTAATTTCATTTAATTATAGATACAATATTTTATATTAATTGATTAAAACAACACAACTCACTGTACATTTTCTTTACACCACAAGCTTAACAATAACATGTTTCAATTATGGCGACTTAGCGCCGGATAAAAAAAGAGGTGTTTTTTATACTTGAATTCTAAGAGCATTGAAGATCAAGAGATTTAGGATAATCATTTATATTATAGTTTAGTCCACGTACGTTATACTGACAAAGTTTGAGTTCTTATAACTATTTAATTTACGAGAATTGAACAATAAACCAAACACTAGAAAATAAGTGCTAAAAAATGTCATCTCAAACTTTTGATCGCAGAGCAAACTCTGTTTAAATTTTCTTTAAAATATATTTACACCTTACAATTAAGTGATATTTCAAAATGAAAAATAGAATAAAAAGACATGTTGCCGTATTAGAATATTTCAGAAATCAATTCTGTAAACTAACAATTTTACTATAAGAATTACAAGGGACAGCTAAAAAAGTATGGATACGACCAATTCCATCACATCTGAACAGATTATGTTATGGAAATAAAATGATAATAAAACATCAATTCAAAATAAAACAACTTTAAATATTAATTCGGAGAGGAATTTTTTTTTTCTACTGTTTTTAACCTCCGACGCAATATTATGGGGAGTTATTTGTTTGACGTGCTGTGTGTTGTGTGTGTGTCTGCTGTGGTATGGTAGCTCCCGAAGAGATCATCCGATATTGTTTTTGTTTTTTCTCTGAAAGGTGAAAAATTCGGAAGTGTTCTTAGCTATGTTTGATGAAAATCGATCCAAGATGGCCGCCGCCACAAAATAGCGGATTACATATTTTTTCACAACTCCCTCAATATGGGTATCAAATGAATTAGCCTTGACTAGTATAATTTTCGAATCCAAGATGGTCGCCACCACAAAATGGTGAATTACATGTCGGGGTTACTTTTAAATTTTTCATTTATATTTTATAAGATTGAAGTATTGTGCCAGTTACTGTATTGAGTATTTGATGGACTCCATAGTTATAGTAGTAAAAAAAAATAGTAGAGTATAAAAACTTTGTAATTAGTACTCACAGATGTTTTAAATCTGAAGTAGAAAATTTTGGATGCCTTTTGTTAGGTAAAGGACACTTTTTAATGAATATTGCTTGCAGGTAGATGCTTTTATACATATTTATTTTAAATGAAAAAAAAAAAGATGAACACCTATCCTAAAAGCAACAAATACTAATTATTACTAAGTAAAGATACATAAGTAACTATACTAACCTCCTCCCATATAATGTTCACCACGTCTTCGATGATCAGTCACGTCGTCCAAACGAACAAAGGCGTGGTATAATATATAAATCAGATATTTTCGAAGTCAGTTCCAGCCGATGCAAAGTAAATCTAATATATTTCGATACATAAAATTCATATTTACGTATTAGATCTTAAAATATTGTCGGCTGGCACCAACTTCGAAAATATCTGATTAGGTATCTATTCTAAATGAAAACCTCCGTTTAGCTATTTTACACATTTTAGTGCCTGGAAGTTTTTTTTAATAAACAGTTATTTATACTACACCCTTGTTCGCTTTCGCTCTATGGTGTACATTGCCTACAATTGGTCTTTCTTGTTCACCCTCCGATCATAATATTGTAATCTAATAAGGCATGTTTTAAGCAATTTTGGTGCAGCTTTAATAAACATAAAATGCAACATGATACTAGTTTAAGAGATGAAAATAAACTTATTTTTTACCCGACTGCGCGACGCAAAGGAGGGTAATGTGTTTATCAGTCTATGTATGTATGTATGTACATATGTATGTATGACACTCTAGAGACCAAACGCGTGGGCCGATTTCTATGATTCATATGTCGTTAGTTTCGTATTTACGCGAGTGTCATAAGCTATATATAGCCTATAATACTCGCGTTATAGTTAAAAATTAAAAATAGTTAAAAAGTAAAATGGCGGATATCAGGCGCCAATTTGTCTGTAAAAAAATTTTCCAAATCAATCGAATAGGCTCTTAAAATAAAGATTTTTGGTGATCACTAAAAAAATTAAGAGAACACAACTTACATGTTTAAAGGTAATTTGGGATAAGAAATTGCTAAATATTAAGTCTTTACCTATGAAATTGTCGTTTAATATACAGAAAGTTAAAGTATTGTATTTTTATAAATATTTTTCATTTCTATTAATCAAAATATGCACCCATGCTATTGATGCAATTTGATGCAAGTGGACCAATATTGTTTTGATGCTAACGTTGAAAGCTGCTGCTATCTCAGCCACAGATTGAGTATCGTCAGCTTCCACTATCGCCTTTAATGCGTCGTTACTGATTTTAGTTTTCGGGCGACCACGGGGTTAATTTTTTAAGATCAAAATTTCGATGTTGGAAGTGTCCAGACCAATAACGAGTTGTGCGTTCGTTTGTAGTGTTCACTCGGCACTCCGTACGCGTCATTAATGTTGCGAGCCGTTTGTGCGGGATTGCTACCGCGATGGAACTCGTATTTCATAATTACTCGTATTTTTATTGTGTTTATATTGATAAAAACAAACAAATGTAGTGAAAACAAAACACTAATTAATAAACAAACGACTGAATTCAAAAATAGAACTCCATACTTTTAAAATAAAATTCATTTGAATTTAGAATTTATTGCCGGCCAATCATAAATTACGTTTCTAATGGCCAGTAAGTATTGTAGAACGGCAATTTCAAAAGACCTATTATAACTTCAAATTTCTAATAAAATTAAAAAGCTGTAAATAAAAAAATACATTTCATCCTTGTCGCGAGATGTACATGTGTATGTCACCAACTGCATAATACTTCATTCCTTCGTCAACTTGTTTTTATCTTTTTAGTTAGCTGTTATGCAGTTAGGTTTTTTTTATTTTTATAATGTTTTAACGTAATGTGTAAGTTGAACTTATATCTGTAAAATAAAAATCGTACTGTTTTAAAAAATTCTATTTTTTTTTAGAAAAACAGTTAAAATATTTATAAAATATTAAATTTTAAATAATCCTAAAAAACATCAATGAAAATATTCTAATGAATATTAAAAAAGCCTTCCCCATACTATCCAACGCCGTCAAAAATAGCGGCTCGAATTTGGGTTACGTGTTATTATATTATTAATTACTTAAAATCTAATAGAAAATTTACAAATTCAATTATACGTAGTTATTTAGTTATAAATTTAAATCATGTTAATAAAAATATTATGCTATCACTAGTGTATTTTTTATTCAGAAAAAGTGAAAATATAAGGACTAAGCGCGCGTGAATGCTTACGATGTTTGACAAATATAACAATTTCTGTATAAAATCTCTATTCAATACACATCCTATGAAATAAAAACTGTTAATTACTTACCCTTCCATCATATTCCAATCCTTATACTAATAATTTTACACTATTTTGTTAATTTTTTACTCACAAGTATTGAGTTAAAAGATCGCCAAAATTTAAATAAATTGTCTGCACAAATTACAATAATTTATGTTATTGGAGTTATTACTTTTTTGACATGTAGTATGATATTATTGCTTGTATTTTTCTTTACACGTTACAAAAGTTAGATAAAAATAAATATAGTTTAAATGCGAGAAATCACACATTAAATGACATCGGGACCAATCGACCTTTAAAAGGTCGCTTGACAGACAGGGGTGTTTTTGACATCGACCTTTAAAAGGTCGATCGACAGACGAGGTAATAAACAAAATGAATACTTACGGCTTTTATGACATAACAGATAAGAATATTATTTTTAGTGTAATAATTAAAATATTAATACGATAATTCCTTAATTGTTCTCAAAATATTCTAACGATGATATTCGCACCAACTACGCAAGCTGACAAATATATAATTTTTAATAAAATCTTGATTGTGACTAAATAGCTAAATATAAAATAGAATAAACTTGAACGCATTCTAATATATTATGTCAAAAAATATGACACAGATGAAGTGTCAAGCATTTGTCATTACGTGGCCTTTGAAATAGAATATCGAATAAACTCTGTTTTACTAAAAAAATAACAAGCTGTTTCATTATTAAGTATAGCCTCTAGTTGGATTGATTAGAATAACCCCATATATATTTGTAACAATGTGTAATTCATATAAAATACTATGGGTTCTTTCAACTTTTCTAGCATCTTTAATAACAATTACCAAAGGCTACACTATAACAGTAGACGCACACGCCGAAGAGTGTTTTTTTGAAAACGTCGAAGCCGACACTAAAATGGGTATTTAATATATCATCGTTCAATATTATTCGTTAAATATTTACTTAAAATTCCCTTAAAAGAAGCTTAATAATTTTTTACAATACTTAGTATCATTATTGTGAGTTGTTAGTTTTAGATATTTTATAATATAAATTTAAATTCTTTCAGGTTTAACATTTGAAATAGCTGAAGGAGGATTCTTAGATATAGATGTTAAAATAACGGGCCCAGATGGGGCCGTCATATATAAAGGCGAAAGAGAATCTTCTGGGATGTACACATTTTCTGCACCTACATCAGGTCGATACACATACTGCTTCAGCAATCAAATGTCAACTATGACTCCTAAGGTGACTTAATACTCTATGTTGTTTGATAGAAAGTTGAGTTATAAATCACTACACTCTAAAAAAGGATCTCCGTAAACGCTAGTGACTTACTCTTGCTTTGCTTGTGTACATCCCTATTATATATATATATATATATATATATATATATATATATATATAGTACCTGGGCGACCGAGCTTCGCTCGGAGTTTTTGGCCAAACAAAAAACATTAAAAAAAACAAACTAAAAATTTGAATAAATACAAAAAAAAAACAAAATTAAAAACTTTGTGTACGACCGGGATACGAACCCAGATACCTGTGGTTGCCAAACTTGCGCATTGGACGCTTGACCATGATGCTTATATCTGAGCGTGCGAAATTATCAAAAAAAATGTCTATATCACATTGCTGAAATATAAAATTATATAATTTAGTGACTATTTATTAACTTAAAATTTTTTAACTAATAATTTTGTAATCTGGAATTAAATTATTTTAAAAATCTTCATATTATTTGAAATGATATTGTATATATATAAATTATCATTAACAAATAAATAAATAAACAATCACAATAAATTAAATAATTCAATTGAGTAAATACTAAACATTTCACAATAATAAATATAAATAAAATTTCTTTCCATACATTAATTCTGACAATAGTTATAAATTAGGTATTTAATTTCATAATTAAATGTATTTATTTAGTAAATGTCTTTTTCATGTATAGACCCCTCTCGGTTAAAAGCCTCCTCCAAAGTAGTCCTGCATAGAGCTCTCTATTGGAGATTATGCTTGTATGATTGCAAAGGGTTTCTCTCTCTCAAATTTTGTTTTCAATATATAATTTGTTTCTGATATGCCTATAAAGTTTATAATTTCATCTTTGTGTTCTTTTGATTTGTTGTAGGAAATGCTGCTTTTAATTCTAGAAGTTTTTCTGGTGAAGATATGTATACCTTTGTTCATTGTATGTCTGTTTTTCTTTAGAGGGTTACTGTCGAACTTCCCCCACAGTGACCGGCCGTACTGGTGGATAAAGATGAGGAGGTTCCTACGGTGTTTAATATACTATATCTTGCTGCGTTGTTTTTAGTTGTTCCTGGTTATCATTTGTGTAGTTGAAAGTTAATTTTGGTTTTTGTAATATAAAGTCTTTAATATTACCAGGTATGGTTTTCTTTGTATGTTGTTTATTTGTTAGTTTTTGTTTATAATTGAGGTAAGGCGTTTCTGGAGATACAGGCAGACTTCTTTTTTATTTCCGTTTAGTTTAAGACTATTTTTTCCTCTAGTTCATGATAGGATTTTTCACCTTCTTCTACTCTGAAAATAACCAAGTTCTTGCGCCTAATATGTCTTTCTAAATTATTTATTGAGGTACTTTGTTCCTGGATTTTTTTCTCAAGAACTTCAAGTTTTATTTCTAACTGTTTAAATTTCTCATTTAAGTATATTATTATTGATTGTATTTTTAATGTCTTCTTTCATTTCTAACAATTCTGTTTTCTGCTGTCTTATTTCTTGTTGCATGTTTATTAGCAACTTTTTTATGTCCTCCATCTTAAGTGTGAAGTTGGAAGTAGAAAAGCTGATTGAAAAAGAGCACCAATTATACCTAGTTGAATTGCAATTTTATACCGAGTACCTATTAGTTTTTGAGGTTATAAACTTATGTTTTAATATTTGACGCTTTCACTTCACAAATTATTTTGTTTTATTGTCATCACACACAGAAAAGATGGTTTTGCACTGATAGTATCTTTAAGTTATGTTTGTCACTTTTGTATTTGTTTGGTAGGTGAATTTTTAAAAGCTGATTTGTTCTTCAACACATCAAGACTTGGTGATGTTTACATATTGCCCATAGGTTTTATTTAAAAATTTACTTAGATTAGATTTAATTTTTCTTTAGATTATTTTCACTTAAATTTAATTAAACTTGATGTAAATACGGACACGATGTTGACAGTTGCACAGTGGCGCCGCCCACTCACCAGAAGTGACAATGCAAAAATTGTGAAAATGCAAAATAAAATCGCATGAAAATTCGAAAATTCGCGTTTTTCCAGATATAAGACTAATCTAGATCGATTTATCGCCCCCGAAACCCCCTGTTTGCTCAATTTCATGAAAATCGTTGGAGCCGTTTCCGAGATTCAGATTATATATCGATATATATATATATATATATATATATATATATATATATATATACAAGAATAGCTCGTTTAAATATATAAGATATAATTATATATATTGGTATGCATTTTTTTTACATTGCAAACTGACACTTCATTTTATTTATTTGTGTAGATAATATGATTAATTACTTATAATATTAAAATCATAATCAAATTGGCTAAGGGGCATTATTTGTTGCATGAGTGATATACTAAGACATAGAGAAAGGAAGAGTTTCCAGTTGTATACTTAAATAATTTTTGATTTTAAAACAATATTGATAAAAATTGTTATGCATGCGTTCTCTAATTTATTTGTGAATTACAGGTAGTAATGTTTAATTTGGAAGTAGGGGAGGCACCAAACAAGAAGACAGATGAAAAAGATGATGAAGTGAACCATAATAAGCTGGAGGACATGATAAAAGAGCTAGGCACAACACTTAAAACAGTCAAACATGAACAGGAATATATGCAGGTACAATCGTGTTTCTAATACACTACAATAGATTAGATTGTTATATTAAATGTAGCAGTACCAAAAAGTTAAATAAATCTTCTGCCATGTGGGTCTAATAATAAATAATTAACTAGCATTTATGGCTGCTGCTGTCAGGCTATGTCTAATTGGGTTAATCTATTAAAAAATATCAATAGCAGCACAAATTTGTAAATTTAGCAAAGTGACACCCTCATGCCTTATACAGCATTCAAAGCCATCAGTCTATCAATCTAATCACTGACCGTCATGTCAAATTATCTAACTTTAAAAGGATTAAAGAGTGCATTTTTGTTTCTGCACATATATCTTCTTTGAAGTTGGCTAGTGTCAGTAAAATGGGTCTCCATGGCCGATATCATTCGAGAGTACATTTTATCATTATTACTAATAAATTAAATTTGATTTTTTTTCAATACAATTCAATTGTTAATTCTAATGTTGATGGTTTTTTTTTTTTGTAACAAGTTTTCCTTTGTTTTTCATTATCTTACAACTATCTTTCCTCTGTTTTTTATAACCCATATAGAATTAGAGCAAAACTAACATTTAAAATTATACATATATCACTTTTTAAATAGCTATAAAGAATAGTTGATAGATTTAATTGATTTCTTTTATTGAGAGCTTGATTTAAAATTGGTCTCACTATTATGTTTAATTGTTATATTAAATAATCAAATATATAAAAATCTGTCATGGTGTTTGTCGCACTCCTCCAAAAAGGCTCGGCCAATTTAATTTTTTTTGTATATTTGGTGGGTATGAGAATAGGTCATAAAGTATTTTTCACCCTCCTACCACCACCCCCCATTTTTTATACGCAATTTTAGTATTTTTATATGAACAATATTATATAAATACATAGCATATGCTGTATAACATAAAGCCAAAGATTTTTTTGTATATTGAAAGCGGGTGTAGCCGTGGGTTAGTGCAGTTTCATATATTTATTCTTTACTAGCTTGCTTCCCAATACAAACTTTCATCCCCATTTTCACCCCCCTTAAGAGATGATTTCCGGGATAAAAAGTAGTCCTTTCCAGGGTTTGAAACTATCTTACCAAATTTCAATATATTTACCCCTACAACGTCACAAACTTGAGATTAAAATTATGGTGAAGAAATCATAGTTATGATTTTCTTTTTTAAATCGATTTTCTCAGATTGTGTATTTATTTTTACTGTTGCTAGTTAGACATACTATTTGCTTGTTGCAGGTTCGAGACCGCATCCACCGTGCTATCAACGAAAGCACAAACTCACGTGTAGTGTTGTGGTCAATCTTTGAGGCTTCAGTACTACTTGTAATGACCCTGGGACAGGTCTACTACCTAAAAAGATTTTTTGAAGTGCAACGTGTTGTCTAACATTTGTTACTGTTACATAGGAAGTTAATAGTATTTAATAAATTTTTATATTGATGACTGAAAAGTACGAAATCATTTTGGTGTGCAGTGTTCTGATGTTTTGTGAATACAGAGGTACTATTTATTAATTTTGATTGTTTTTATGACATCACAGGTTCATATTTTTGGTGGCAAATTTTCAATCTTCAATCTTACATTTAATATTTTGGATAATATTAAAACAATTCGTGTTAAGATCTGTTTATTTGTGTTAGCTTCAAATTTAAAATATGTTCAACAAAACTTCATATTAAATTACATAATTAATTAAGCATATCTTAGCAGAACTAAAATAATAACAGTGTTTATTTTTGAGTGTTAAATAAAATTACTATTTGTAATTACTTCTTTCTTATTTCCTTTTTGTACATAGTAAAAATATTTCTTTCATACTAATGTTGTTTAATTTTGTATTAAAAGAACATCTATAATTAACACTGTATATGATAGAATGATATGCAAAAAAAACTAACGTTTTGATTTAAGCTTTCTTTTATTTTTATCAATTACATAAATCAACATTCAATTCTTACTATAAATTAATATTCAGTAGTCTCAAAACAGAGCACAAAACAAACCTTTTCTTATAATACATATATTATGGGAAAGAAGTAACAGGTAGATGATCAGCATTAGTTTAGATACATTTAAAATTAATATTTATAATGCATAGTGAGACAAATACAATTTAGAGCTTTAGAATAATCCTCCCTAAACCCAAAGTTCAACAATAACATATCTAATACATTAACTATTAAGTATTATTTTAGTGCACTAATAGTCATTTTAACATCTTGGAGAAATGTAATCTTCTATAAAATATATTTTTAATATAGATTATCTTTTGCGAGATAGTTTAGTAGTTGTGCTGCAGAACTTATTAGCTATAACATATTTTTTCTACACATGTTAAAAGGTTATATAAATTTATAACTCAAGCATTCTTATCTTCTCATACTATTAATTTCTTCTCATCTCATTCTCATCGCATTCTCATCTTCTCATACTAATAATATACATTATATAATATACATTTTTATTAAATAACAATAACTTTAAAAATAAATTTACCTAGGCTTGTATAAAAGTAACCCCCACAGAGGATAAAGTAATTAAATTTCAATTTTACTAATAAACAGGAACATTTCTTAACAATTAAGCAAGAGATTCTAATATATCTAACATATGCATGATGCTATAATCTAGAAAGGGAATGTACAAACATAATAGAAAAAAAAAACAACTATGTTATAATTATTTTATAAATAAAAATTCATAATGATAAAAAGTATAAGGTATAAATTAAAATATAGATACGTAAGTAAAAAATCTAAGTATTAATATTGCGATTATTAAACAAAATAGATATTTTAAAATTTACCCAACAAAGTGAAACAGGTGTAGGTTCGATGTTGTGTTGCAGCTTTTACTTGCACGCATTTCTATTACAGTGCGACAGATTTGTGGGGTCCATTAACGATTTGCGCCATCAAATTATAATGCTATATAATTTTAAATTTTAAAGCTATACATTAGCTTTAGCATGACGAATTAGCCACCATTCGTTCATGAGCTTTACTTATGAGTAGTATTATATTTATTATAATAAAAAAAATATTGTTATAGTATGTGGACCACGCAGATCGGACAGACAAATAAAGGCGCATCAGTTAATTTGTAAAACATTTCTTAAGAGACTAAACCAAATCTACTAATAACGAAATTACTTCTCCTGATATAAAAATTGTATGTGTAAGTAAATAATAATATACCATAGCCTTAACTATCCTATTGTATAATGTGAGTATTTCTTAATTAAAACTAAACATAATATGTATTGTGCAATAGCCTCCATTCTCCAAAGAATATATAGTGCTTAGTTAATTATGATCTTGGTAACTGATTTCTATTATAATATTCAGCTGCTAAAATCTCTATAATTAGTTATATAAAAAATATTTATACCTAGCCCAGCGCCGGTCCACTGGTGCGTCGCGACGAGCCGGTGACGTCACGCATTATGTTCCGCGTGGCGGTCGCCGGCCCATCGCGCGTCGGTAGGCCCGTCCGTTCGACCTACGTTAAACGCTTTTTCACTTATATAGAGTGTAAATTTGTTTGGACTTTTGTTACATGTAGTAGCAGGTTAATTTAAAGATTAATTAAACGGATTAAGTTGCTCTATAACCAATAGTCAATTGAGTTGACAAATAAGTGACGTTACAGTTGCCAGCGCTATATAAAATCTACAATTCAATTCAATTTTCTTGATAATGACTTCAAAGCGAACCAGTTGAGCACAGCTTACTTCCAATGTCACGTAGAATGGAGAAGACGCAAAGGAGATTGCTGATTGGTTATATAAAATCTATGGGGGAACATATACAATAGCCCATAAAAATTATGTCATTAATTGTTAGTACCAACTACCCACTTGAATGCCAAAAAAAAAAGTGAAAGCAAAAATCTAAAGCCTAGTGAGATCGATCCTGCCGGTGACGAGCGCGGACACGACGGTGCCGGCGGCGAGGCGCGTAACGACGCCGCGCGCCGGCAGCTCCAGCAGCACGCTGGCGCCGCACGCGCTCAGCAGCCGGCTGCTGCACTGTTGGGACACTTGGAGATTATATTATATGTATAACTAGCGACTTACGCGTCTGTGCGTATGTTTAAATTTTTTTTGAGCGGTACCCTAACTTTTTTTTAAATCTTTCTTAGCTTAGCTCTCAAATATTCATCACTCTATGTTAGAAATCGCACATTTCGGCTTATAAAACATTACGTAAAAATGGATTTTAAAATGAAGAACGTGAAGAGTACACAGTTTTCAATTTTTTTTATATATTAGCATATGTTTAAGCATTATATGTTATATAAGCTAAATAAAAGAAAGCTAGAATACTTTGGTCATATAATGAGGGACCAGAAACATGGATTGCTGCGACTTTCGTGGCAAAAGTATGGAGGAGGAGGGTATTGGCCGACAACCTACGCCAGTATTAGCGATAACCAGTTCTTCAAATAAAGCTTAAAGTTCGCCAAAGGACAAGCGAGTACAAAGCTCGGTTACCTGATTGCCGAGCAGCGTGGCTTGCGGCAGGTCGTCGGCGCGCGGGAAGCGCAGCACGGCGCGCGCGTACTCGGGGCGCGGGTCCAGCGCCACGTCGTGCGCGAGGCGCACGCCCACGCGCGCGAACTCGCTGGCGTGGCGCGTGCTTTGGCGCAGCGCGCGCACCACGAACACCAGGCAGCACACGTACGCCGACACCGGGTTGCCTGTACGTTGTTGTTGAATTTTAGTTTCCTTTTTCGTTTTATTTGTAACTAGCATTATACGGGTACGTCTCTATATGCCATGTATGTAGTAATGTGTTACTCCAAGTCATGGTATATATTTTTACTAAACTTCATCAAAATCCGTTCAATCGATCCGTGAAGGAGTAAATAAAATTTTCATTATAATATAATAAATCATTTTTCAATCAATTCAAGTTTTTCAGTATTTCTTTTTTGAGCTGAACCTAATCTGATAGTCATCTTTCAGAAACATCTTACATAGAAACTAACTTAACTAGGCTAGTTTATAAATATGTATTTTTCATAAATTTCATAATTTGTTTTTCAAAATAGGAGTATAATAAATTATATAGTTTTTAAAGTTCATATTTTTTAAAAGTTTATTAAGTGTAATAATTTTTTTTCTTACCGGGTAAAGCGAATATAAACTTCGTCTTTCCTTGAAACTCGCACGTAGCAAAGGTGCTAGGTTTTCCAGGTTTCATGCGAACGCGACCGAAATGTATTGTAGCTCCGAAGTCCTAAAAATATTATAAGTAAAGCTTTATACTAATCAATAAACATTTCCAATGTCGAAATTATTCTGTTTATTTCTTTTTTTATATTTTTGACAGAATTCAAAAAGGACTTTTTCTAGGACTATTTACAATTATTTATTAAATTAACTATTATTTAGATATTTTGATAATAGATTTCACTAGCTTTTAGTTCGGTTAGAATTATTCAAATAATCACATATTCTAGATTTAGGATTAATAGTTTAAGTCAAAATATGGAAATGTATTCTCTAATATAAAATTTTAATTATGTATTAAATTAATTCTTTTTCTTTTTGAAAACTACAAGAGCTCAATTAAACAAGGCAAATAACTAAACTCGGCCAGCTTACATTGAGCAGCACGGGCTTGAGCAGGTCGCGCTCGCCCATGGACACGCCGCCCGAGCACACGAGCACGTCGGCGCGCGGCAGCGCCTGCGCCAGCGCCGCCGCCAGCGCCGCGGGCTCGTCGCGCGCGATGCCGCACTCCACGCTCTCGTAACCGTGCTCTCTGCACATATTCACATCACTTATTCATTTTTATTTATCTATACTAATATTATAAAGAGGTAAAGTCTTATTACGAAGAATTTCTTAACAGAAAAACATTATTATACTAAACTTGGCCCGACCTGAGACTCGAACCCGGGACCTTCTAACTACAACCGTATATGATAGCCACTAGACCATCAACGCAATCAGAACGTAGAGCGTATTATAATAAAAATAATACCAATCTCAATGTCATAAATAGCTCATAATGCTTATTGTGTTGACACTGTCGGCTCCTAAGGCCATATTTTCACTTAACCGGGAAAAATTGTAGTAAAATAACCTCTATTATAAAATATTTTTTTCCCAAAACTCCAAGCAGAAAAAACTTACCTAAGCAATAATTTGAGCATAATTCTATTTGAGTCTCTGATATGAGAAGGCCGTAACGTTTCTTCTGAACGTTCTTGTAGTTCGTTGCCAGTTGACATGATGGCAACCTGGATAAAATTAATTATTATATAAAACATCTATAATAATAATTATTAAGCCTATATAATATTGTAAGGTGTCAGTGTGGGACTAATTTCTGATTGCATCTTCTGTGCTCAATCGGCATGCTTTGAAGCTATTAACAAGAAAATTAAATTGAAGAATAAGTAGATAATTATTATATTGCAATTTTGTACTAAACATTATTTTAAAAGAGCAACTGTTGAGTTTCTCGCCGGCTCTTCTCAGCAGAACTGACTTCCGAGCCGGTGGTAGATTCCTCACGGACATACATTACATATACCTACATTAAATTTCAATTATTAAATTTTAAAAAGTGACGATTTAAAATTGCTTTAAAAGTCTGTTTGAATAAAATATAATTTGATTTGAATGTGAGTCGTCTTAAATATCTGTCGAAAAATTATCCTTTTGCATAGATGAAGTTTTATATTTCTTCTTGTCCGTCCGTCTGTTTTAACGAGATGAAATTATATTATATTTTTATTGTATTGTACAGATGATGAGTATTTAGTGGATGTAAAATAAATTGATTAGACTTCAAATAATATAAAAAATGTTATAGAACCATACTTTAGGATATGCTCTGACTGCAATACGCTGAATACCAGCACCGGCTAATACTCCAATTTGTGCTGCATCGATAACATCACCTGTAAAAAATAAATAGATAAATATTAAATGTACTTTACAAAACATTTTTAGGTTTTTTTTAAAATTACTTTATAACAGTACATTTCGTAAGTTTGCATTTGATATTCGTTTATTCAAATGTAATAATCTTACAAGTAAAATGCTGTTCCGACTCTGAACCGAATTTCGGTTACGGCGGCCTATATTTCACTGAAACTCTTCGAGGCTCAGAAGTACTAACAACGACAAATTCCCAGTGACTGATTCCAGAAAAATCCAGCCCTAAATCCTACTAAGGCCCGACCCGGGACTCTAACCCAGGACATTTTCATCTACAGTTGTGAATGCGAGCCACTAGACAAACGAGATTAATCATTCAATTATACCTAATATAACAATATTAATATCGATTTAATAACCTTTTTCAGCCAATACAGATCCAAGAGGAATGTCGAACCCTATGGGGCGTACGTCTTGGTGAGCCTGAGGCGCTACGAGCACTTCGATTTCTAGCTCGGTCTGGTGATCTGCTGAGGCTTTTATTAACTTAGTATCCTCTACCTGCGTAAATTAAATAAGTAATGAAATAAAATTTCAATATTGTTTAATTAAAAACGTCAAATATAATAATTTAAAACGCTCGTTGAAAGTTTAATAATAAAAAATATCTGCAATTTTTAACGTTTAATAAATTTATTATAGCCATCGTAGTATATGTACCATATATTATGCTATAGATGTAGCGAAAATATATATAATGCAGCCGAATTTATATTGAGTAGTCTTATTTTTTAACTGTAAAACCTGCAATGTTTAGTGCATTTGCCAGCCCATCAGTATAGGCTGGACTGAGATTTAGAAACCCAGAATGTAAGTGAATAGATAATTTTAATAATTCCGCGTGTAATCTATACATATAATAAAATTCTAATTGAGTCGAATCTGTACATTAAATATTTTTTGGAAAATCTTATTGATATACATAGTCATTATTATCGACACAGAGGCCGAAACTAGTTTTTAGACTTTTTGTCTGTCTGTCTGGAACGCATCACGAGGAAACCATTAGACAGTTTTTTATATGAAATTTGATATGATGATTACCGAGTATCCGGGTCAACATATAGGATACTTTTTACTGCGGAAAATATCTCATCTCTGAGAAATCTATACTAACCGTTAAAACGTTCCTAGGGACGAACCCGGAACGAGGATGAGTCGCTAGTATCACTATAAAGTTTTGTATTTCTTTACCTGTACCACGCAATCGGCTCCTAATGGTAATGGGGCTCCAGTATTAACTCTAGCACATTCGCCAGGTGTTAGAGGCATATACGGGGTATCACCCGCAGTCACAACGCTGCGAACTTTTCGTATACCAGCTCCGTCCAAACTAAGACATGCATATCCTAATAAAATAAAATGTTATAAAGTTTATTTTAGATCCCGTGTAATGATTACTCAAACCCATTATAATTTCCCCTAAAATGAATATACCCTTTAAACCATTTCGGTGGGTATTAAAAACTATAATTGTTGGAAAATCTGTAAATATGCTGGCATGTTTTCAATAAGAGAAAAATCTCAATGTGCTATTTAAAAAACAGTATTTCAATACAACATATTATCTAAACAACTAAAAAAATATAATTATTTGAAAGGAAAAAACTTAAATTTCACAGGTCTGTAACTTGTAAGAATTTATTATACCTCAATGTACGAACGAACCTCGTTCGTACTTTGTAGTTAAATTGCCAGCCATTTAAACTATATGAATAAAGCGTCATGTGTTACTTAAGGTTTTTAACCTCTTATAAAACGGCTGTTCTTGTTTTTACACGCATCAAAGCTTGTAATTTTTTTTTTTGTTATTTAGGTAATGTAATAATCTATACATAAAATATGACTTAAGACTTCCCTACCTACTCTACGTGCTTCGATATAATCTGTTTAAATATCTGTATAAATATTATAAATGTGAAAGTTTGTGAGTATGGATGTTTGTTACTCTTTCACGCCAGAACGGCTGAACGGATCTGGATGTTTGGCACAGTCTCACATAGATAGATTATAGTCTGGAATAACACATAGACTTATACCGGAAAAATGGTACGGTTCTCGTGGGATAGGTTTGTTTTTGCTAAAGGCAAATGCGAGCGAAACGATTGTGAGCCGCTAAGTACCTAAAGTAAGTACCTAGTTTCAAAATGATATGATAGAGTAGCGAACACATATATACAGATATTTACATAGCTTAAAATTTTAAATTATATAAGAATCAACTTAAGTGGGAACTTAAAAATAGGACCATTATAAGTGTTGACCACATGTTTATTTTGTGTACTTAATATACTTAATAAAAAATAGTACAGCAAAGCATAGATAATGTGGTATATTAACGGTAGTAACAATACAACCCAATCAAATACTAGCAGCCTTGAAAACACAATGCTAGAGATATGAACATCATTATTTATGCCATATCATTCTCACTTTTAGTTATCTGAATCAACATACATGTTTACATAACCCGAATTCAATTGTAGAAGAGCCATAAAACATTAAATAATATTTAAATAGAATTTAAAAAAAGTTAGGCTCTTAATTAATATCGAAGCTAAGTGTTGGTTCAATTAATCTTAGACTCTAGTTGTTAAAGAACTAAACTCCAAATTGAATGTTGAGACATCAAATTATGGTTCATAATATATGGTGAATACATATTAAATACACAAACCAATTGATACTGATAAAATGTTATATTCAGTGTTAACTAGATCACCTTGAACTATTTTTCAGAGATAAATTTAAGATATTATTATGTTATAAAAAAAAAAAACCTATTCATTTTTCCACGATAAAAAGTAGCCTATGTATTATTCCAGACTATAATCTATCTCTGTGCTAAATTTCGTCCAGATCCGTTCAGCTGTTGTGTGAAAGAGTAACGAACATCCATATTATATCCATACTTACAAACTTTCACATACATATATGTATAATATAAGTATAGATGAATTGAAATACTTGGTCATTGCAGTAATTTTAAAAGGTGTACACTAACAGATCTGGTTTATGATTAACACACACACTGGATTTTATATATAAAGATAAAGAGATATTTAAATAATATTACTTAGGTAATATACATAAATTCTGAAGCATATCTGTAAAAACTTACCATCCTTAACAGATGCAGGAAAAGGAGGCATTGGCTCTTTAGCTATAACATCTTGAGCTACAACACGACCCACAGAGTCTTCTATTGGAATGACTTCTATACACTCATTCCATTTCATCATCACAGCATCAATAATATTAAACGCTTCTGACATTTCCAACATAGGAAATGGTGATTCTCGTGGTCTTAAGGCAACTTTTGATATATCAACTTTACTGAATACTTTGTGAGGACAAACATGTTCTGATGCAGATTGCATTTTATCATGAACAGTCCTTACTTCATTTAATTCATTACCAATTAATGAAATGGCATGTGACAAAACAGATTTTACAACCTGAATACATTCATTTACTGCTTTTTCACTGCCAGGAAAGTTAATAATGAGGGTTCTATCTCTAATACCAGCTACAGCTCGAGAAAGCATGGCCATCGGAGTCTTTTTTAAACTCTCGATTGTCATGGCAGTAGTTATTGCTGGGACTTCTCTTTGTATTACAGATTTTGTAGCTTCCGGAGTCACATCTCTGGGACTTAGGCCTGTACCCCCAGTAGTTAATATAAGATCAATATTAGAATCACAGAAATATTTTAGTTCTCGTTCTATAATTTCTTTTTCATCAGGCACTATTATTGTATGAATATTGGCTTGTGGAAACTTATCTTGTATAAAGTTAAATATTGCAGGTCCAGATGTGTCTTTAGAATTATCTTTAAAACAACTGTCGCTGACAGTGATAATTGCGACTGCTTTCACCATCTATAATATTTAATAATTATTTAATTAACAACAACTATATGAATTATTATTTTATTCTTATAGGTCACTTGTTCTCATAACAAAAGTATATTTTATTAAAATAAATTAAATTGGACTTACCTTGATAAATTTAAAAAATCTTTAAAAATAAATGTAAAACTAATCCAAGTTTCTTCAATTTTATAACATCCTATAAAATGATCCCTAAAATATATAAAAACAAGAATATGATAAAAATATAACGCTCTCTATAAGTTAAAAACTGTACGTAAAAATACATGAAATAAATCCAAAAACATAAATCATGCACGAATAACTAGTAAAATTTTATTAATAGAACTATCAAATAGTTTGGCACTCCGTGATTTTTTGTCTACATATGAGTTAAAGTATAGTCGCCTTCTTATCTAAAAACAGCACAAACATTACCAATGTAAATTAAAGTTGTCTTGATTAAACAACACCAAAGTACAATTTATAAATAAAGTTATACGTAAGTGTAAACATGCCGATTTGACAACTACTCACACAGGCTCATAAAATTGAAATATGCCGCTCGCGCCTCGCTCGGCGCTTTTGGTTTTGACGTTTCGACTTTCGGCGGCCGGCGCTTACCGCTGTTATCTAATCAGCTGTTGACACCACAGAATAAGGGCCGCACACACTATAGTGCCGATCACAGCCGTTCTCGGTCCGATATGCGATATCGGTCTGGTAAAGTATTGTTATATAAGAAACAATGAGTGGAATCTTGATGTAAGACTCGCGTTCCGATCGAATCACGCTCGAGCAACGTTTCTTGTATAGAAATACTTTACCAGACTGTTAACAGACTGTGATCGACACTATAGTGTGGAGCACCCCTAAATTATGCGGTATCGCCACAACTGAAAATATGCCTATAAATTACTTAAGATAAAAGAAAATAAATTGAGTAGGCATTTGGGTATTAAAAATTAATCCTACTAACTAAATTTTTTCGTAAATTTGATAAGCTTTAGTATAGTGTTGTATAACCTTATAAAAATTAAAAACAGCTAATTTGAACAATAATTAAATATAACTGTACACTTCAAGTTTAAAGGTAACAAAGCACATTTTTGTTTAAACAAATCTGATGTTGCAAAAATATAAATTAATCTTAATCTACACATATAATAAAACTGTAGAGGTGGAATGTCTGTACAAAGAAAAAAAATGCTAAAAAGTAAAATCCGAGTCACTGGGATAAAAGAAGAGAAATAGAACAAATCCAGATTTAAAAAAAAATGTTTTACCTGTTTGTACGGGCTATTCTCCGAAACTGTTGGATCGATTTAAATGAAATTTTGCATGGTGGTACCTTATATCCCCGGTCAACTTTTCATCCCGGAAAATTAAAGAGTTCCCGTGGGATAGTTAAATAACTATAGTAACTTATACAGCTTAGTACACAAGTTATGCACCTAATTTAGTATTTGGCATGCCGATACCATATATTGCCAGTCAAACAACACTCGTTACTTTTTATCCCGGAAAAATGAACGGCCCCCGTGGAATATAATATCTGTTCGTGCTTTTCTACATGCGTGTTAGTAAATAAATATAATGACAAAATATTTCATCGTTTTACATTCATTTACGATATATTACGCTTAAACTGCATATTAAGCACTTTAATAAATAATTAATGACTGTTGTATGTGTGCTAGTTTAAAATTAATATTATTATTGTATAAGTAATAGGGATCAAATGAAACGAAAAGTACAAAAATATTAAAAAATATATATTTAACGTTCAATATAGAAATGCAAAATTTTGAAAAATCCGTAATATACATATGCCTAGATTCTTAAACATTATATAAAGGTGGTTTGCATGATTTTTGTAGATTCATGAGTGGCTTAAAAATGAACACAATCGAGTCGATACTTATCTTACTATTACTAAAATTAAACCTATTGTGCCGACAAAATTAGGCGGCAATACTTTTAGGCACATTTTTCTGTCAATTTTTCTTATACTACGTCAAATATTTCGATATTTAAAAAAATATAATAATAATTTAAACAACAATATTTGAGATTCATTACAAATACAGAAGAGTAACAAAAGATGGCATATTTTAAGAGATTTCTTAGAGAATATAGTGAGGTAGTAAGGAAATTGTTGCGCTTCTTTCTTCTAACTCTATTCTTCAAATTAAGAGTGAAGTTACAAATAAAAAAAAATCAAGTAGGCCGCTAACATTAAATAAAATTACTTACATTTTAAATACTTGAACTCAATTTAAAATTGTAACAATAACATTACACAAAATTCCAATTTGTATACAGGATCATTATTTTATCTACTCCAATCTACTCTATTATCGACATTTATTCTAACAAACCACTGCCATATTTCATATTTAGTTGTGCGATCGTGTCGTGGTCTATATCAACATTTTTGCATACTTCGATCAGCCGTAGAAGAGGTGTATATTTTTTTAAAGCCCGAAGATCGCCTACCATGATGAATTTGTGCTTTGCTCGCGTCACGCTCACTGCTAAACGCCTTTGATCGTTAAGGACTTCGCTTTCCTGTTAATCAAAGTTTTATCCATGTATATTTACAATTGAAATTTTATCATTATTAAAGCACATAATTAAGTAAGTATTAACATTTACTGAATTTTTCAGCTGTACTTGCATTCCTTTTAATTAAAAGTAAGAAAAATCATTTAAAAATGTAATTTATTTATAAATGCTCCTATCAGAAATACAGCAGCTTATGCAGCAAACATACATACATACACCCAATTTGGACTTGTATTTAAAATTATAAATGTATGTGTATACAAACCTTAACTTTCCGCCCGTCTTCGTCACGTCTGGTACACGAGTATATAACGACACTCTTGTCCCTCCCTTGGAACTGGTCCACCGTGCTGGCTTCAACTTCTTTACCAGCCAACATACGACGCAGTAACGATACTTGATCACGATATGGAGCTATGACACCTATGTCGGATGGAAGGATGCCACCCTAAAATAAATACATTTAAGAATTATTATTATTATTATTATCCATTTATCACAAAAAAAAACTTTTCCAAAAAGAAAACATGTGTCTGTGCTTATGTACGCACGTAAGAAATTATACTTCTTTGGCGTAGCAGAACAAAAATAGCTAAAGATTTCATCTCGTATGTCACAACTCTGTGAAAGGATTGCAGCTAACTTCATCGTGTCGCTTTTTGGCTGGTGGTGTGCGCGCCCATCGTACAAATTTTACACTCAAATTTTATTTCCAAATGTGCCAAAAGAAGTATAATAAAAAATCTCACCTCTTTTAAAGTGTCTATTAACGTCATAACTACACATGCTTCTTCTGTATTAGCTAATACTTTCTCATTCGCAGACTGTCTTTTAAGGATCGTGTTCAGAAAAATTGCGGCATTTTCAAATTCTGGAGAACATGCGGTAATGAGCCATGGAGATTCCGCATATTTTAGCGATATTTTCTGCAAAAAGTACGAAAGTATTATTTTTACGATATTTCATATGCTATGTGAAAATATTTTATAACTCAATATACCTGTATATCTACGTTTAAACACGCTTTGGCTACTTCTGGGTTAGCACATTTTAATGAATTATTATATGCCACCTTGTTCGCAACATCTACAAGCGGTTGGTTCATGCGGTACTGTAGCTGCAGAGTGGTCGTCGTTTCTTCGTTCATAAGTCTATGGAAGAGACTTTCTTCCATCCCTAAACGTCTGATAAAAGAAAGTATAGTGTTTAGTATACTACTTGAACATCTATACTAACATTATAAACGGGCAGAGCTTGTTTGATTGAACGCGATAATCTCAGGAACTACTAATCCGATTTGAAAAGTTTTTTTGCATTACATAGCACATTTATTGTTGAAAACTATAGGCTATATATCATTATGCTACTACTCAAGGGAGCGGAGCAGTAATATAATATATAGTCTATTCCATACTAACCGTTGAAACCTACCTAATAGTCGCTAGTAACGTGGTTAAAACACTCGATATATCATTACTAATAAATTCTCTCTATTACTTAGGTTGAAATATTTTGATCCATTTCTCAGATTTAAAAGGAAAGATAAAAATCTAAATAAATTTTAGTTTCTGAGGGTAGGAGTGAAACGCAACACACGTCAATTCGCAATCAGCTGATTTATTTAAATTTAAAATTGAGAACTAAGTTATATATTTACACTATTTTAACATAATATGTGCATGTGAGTACTTATTTACCCACCAGCAAGAATACTCCTCGTGCTTATTCACTTAAATCAACATTTAATACATCCATAACTATGGAATCCATCAAGGAGTCTTTGTCTACACTGACTGATATGTTTAACGCCCGGATGAATGAATTTCAGCAAGACTTGCATAAAACTTCGTCACCTGTTTCATCTAGCGCCCTGCCAACTGAATTTAATAACTTCAGGAGCTTCATTGTTTCCGTGCTAAACACTTTGCAACGTCAAGTTGAATATCTTGCTTTAGAGGTTGACCGGCATGAAATGAGAAGAAGGCGTAAGATGATTCTTTTCCACGGTGTCCCAGAGATTAAAAATGAAGATAGTGCAGCCAGAATCACAAGTTTGATCGCTGACCATCTCGATCTGCAGAACTTTTCTACCGAAAGCATTAAAGACTCTTATCGCTTAGGCCGCCCCGCCGACAAGCCTAGGCCTATCGTAGTGAAATTTAGCGATGTTAATGTGCGTAATAAAGTGTGGTTCGCCAAAACCAAACTCAAAGGCACTGGTTTCACCCAGTCGGAGTTCCTCACGAAGAGTAGGCACGAAGCGTTTTTGGAGGCAAGGCAGCGTTTTGGTGTCACCAAGTGCTGGACTCGGGATGGGTGCATCCACATTATAGCCCCGGATGGGTCTCGGCATCGTGTGGAGTGTAAACTGGATTTAAGTGTAATTCCGAGCAATCCAGTTAAATCGCCGCAGAACGTATCAGTTCCCAAAACAACAGACAAAGTGGTGGCTTCTCGCGTTAAACGAATAGTAAAAAAATAGTTAAAATTATTTTATTTTCCTTTTGTTTCATACGTTTAACTTTTATGTTTTAGGTATTAGGCCATATTAAATATTTAATATTGTTTACGCACTACGATTATTTTATGGTATAGACAATAGTGTGACAGATTATATGAACAAAGTGTAACGTAGATAATATTTTATTGCTTATGAAATTTTAAGTTCTGTACACACGATACAAATCTGTCAAATATCAACTTTTTTTTTGTCATTGTTTATCAATTTTTTTTTTTGGGTTTTGTTTAGTTTTATTGTTTGAGTTTATTTGTTTCTTTTAGTAATTTAGTTTATATATTCATCTTAATGCCTATTACCTAATTTATTTAATTTATTTTGTTTTTCTTCTGTATTTCATGTTTGTTTTTTTTACGTTGTGAAATTTTTCTTCTTTCTTGCAACTGGCGGGTGAGTAGTATTTACTTGTTACTTATATTATTTTTATTTTATTATTATCTTTACATAAGAAGTTATTGAATTATTATAATATTTTATTTTGTTTATTTATCTAGTTTTAAAACTATACATATATATTTTATTTATTTTATATTAATTTTATATTATCATAACATACATATATTATGAGTTCGAATGATATTAGCCTAAATAATTCCTTCTTATCCTGCACTACATCTGAAGGCGATAGCAGCAACGATAGTTTTCACAGTATCCTTTCACTTGGCGAGACTCTCGATTTACATTTCTCAGATGTTCTGAAAAATTTTAATCTGGTTCACATAAATGCTCAGAGTATTCCAGCGCACTATCCTGATATGTTGTCATCTTTTACAAGTAAAAACATTCACGCTATATTAGTGTCAGAGTCATGGCTTAAACCATGTCTTCCTTCAACATCTTACTCTCTCCCAGGGTTTCATTTAATTAGAAATGATCGCACAGGACGTACAGGAGGTGGAGTAGCCATTTATCTACGTTCTCATATTCCTTTTTCAATTGTTAGCATGTCTCAACATCAGGGGAACGTAGATACCGAACATCTTTTTATTGAGATCGCATTATCTCACTCTAAAATACTCCTGGGCGTTTATTACAATCCGAGTCATACGATCGATTATTTCTCATCATTTGAAACCCTGTTAGAGCAATTTAAACCTTTGTATGATCACACTTTGTTGATGGGTGATTTCAACACGTGTCTTCAAAAAAATGATCATAGAGCTAATCGACTTTGTTCTCTTATAAATGCAGCCGATTTAAATATTCTACCACTAAATCCCACTCATAGATTTCCAAATTGCGTACCTTCTCTTCTTGACCTAATCTTTGTATCTTCCACCGACCTTGTTGCAAAACATGGCCAGTGCTCTGCCCCATTTTCTTACCATGATCTTATATATTTATCTTATAAATTAAAACCGCCAAAAGCAAAATCAAGAATCCTTCTGCAGCGCAATTTTAGTGGTATCAATTTAGATAGATTACATGCAGATGCTGAAAATATCGACTGGTCGGCTGTTTTTAATGCAAGCACAGTTGATGAGCAAGTATCAATATTTAATTCGCTGTTAACCCAACTGTATGACATCCATGCTCCGGTTCGCCCTGTTCGTATGAAGCATCTTCCGGCTCCGTGGCTTACTCCTGAAATCAAAAAACTCCAAGGAAAAAAATTTGTAGCGAAGTCAAAGTACGTATCTAATCCTAATGATGAAAATAAGGCCAAATATATTAAGGCTCGCAATCGTTGCAATATAGTGTGTAGGGATAGTCAACGACGCCATATCTATAAATCTATCATCGAAGAGGATGATCTAAATAAAATGTGGAAGTTTCTCAAATCCCTTGGAGTAGGTAAATCTAAGCAAAATATAAATCCGCACAATATAAATTTAAATCTGATAAATCAGCATTTCTCTTCTTCTACTACTGTTAATAGTACAAATAAATTAAACACACTCAACTATCTTTCAACTTTACCTACTCCTGATTTTCCCCGTTTTTCTTTTAGTCAATTTTCCGAAAGTGATGTTAAGAGAAATATTATGGCAATAAAATCTAATGCGGTTGGGGCAGACTGTATAAGCCGTAAAATGATTCTTCCCGTTCTTGACTATATCGTTCCTATTATTACTACCATTTTAAATTCTTCAATTAATTTCAATCAATTTCCTTCTTCCTGGAAAGATGGGCAAATCTTTCCTCTTCCTAAAATATCTAGTCCATCTTCTTTTTCTGATTATCGTCCTATTTCTATTCTTCCTTTTCTGTCAAAAGTACTCGAACGATTGGTTCACCAGCAATTGAGTGCTTTCCTCTACAAACATAATCTTTTAAATTCCTTTCAATCTGGTTTCCGTCCTAATCATAGTACGACTACGGCTTTAGTCAAAATAACAGATGATATCAGGAAAGGTATGGACCATCAAAGACTTACTGTGATGGTTCTACTAGATTTTAGTAATGCTTTTAATACGGTGGACTTTGACATCTTGCTTGCCATTATATCTTCTCTAAACATATCTCCTGAGGTCGTTGACTGGTTTCGTTCTTACTTGTGCGATCGCCGGCAACGAGTTCGGATTGAAGATTCTTACTCCGATTGGTGCAAAGTTACTGCCGGTGTTCCACAAGGTGGCGTGTTGTCTCCTCTCTTATTTTCAGTTTTTATTAATACTATTTGTCTCCAAATTTCTTCTCACTACCACCTATATGCAGACGATTTGCAAATTTATGCCGTGACATCTGTGGCTGATTTACCACAAACAATAGAAAATATTAACAAAGACCTCTCCTCTATAGCTACATGGGGTAAATCGTACGGCCTTAACTTAAACGCAACGAAATCGCAGGCAATTATTATTGGCAGTCAAAGGATGTTGTCAAAAATTAAAACTATACAAATACCAGAAATATTGCTAGATGGTGTTCAGATTCCTTTTCAGGAAAAAGTTAAAAATCTGGGTTTACTTATTGATCAACACCTGTCATGGGATCCGCAAGTGAGTGAACTGAGCCGGAAGATGTTTGGAGCGATTGCTTCTCTTCGCAGATTGCGAAATTTCCTTCCGATTCCTACCAAAATTGCGCTAGCAAATTCACTCCTACTACCGATTCTTGATTATGCTGACATTTGTTATCTCGACATCAAAGAGGAGCACTTGAATAAACTTGAGCGACTCCAAAATTTTTGTATACGGTTTATTTTCGGCCTTAGAAAATATGACCATGTTTCTCAATTTCGTAAAAAGCTCAAGTGGCTCCCAATCCGATTCCGCAGGAATACTCATATTCTTCATCTTCTCTACTGCGTGCTGTTTAACCCTTCAACTCCTATTTATCTGAAAGAGCGTTTTGAGTTTCTGGATGATTCCCATGCTCGTTCACTTCGCTCTGCTCAAAATTTCCTTCTTAAAATTCCTACTCACTCTTCCTGTTTCTTCACAAATTCTTTTACAGTAAAAGCTGCTCGATTGTGGAATTCTATTCCTTTAAGCATTAGATCTGCTAAAAGCTTAGATAAATTTAAAAAGTTATTAAAAGATTATTATATGTCTCTTTAAGTCTTTCCCTTAGTCCTTTCTCCTAATATCATCGTTATTATTATTTCCTCTATTATGTTCTAGTATCTAATCCTATTTATTTTTTGATTGATTTTTTCTTTTTTATGTGTGTGTGTAAATTTAACGCATATAAGTATGTATGAATGTATGTATGTATATATGTATGTATGTATGTATGTATGTATGTATGTATGTATGTATGTATGTATGTATGTATGTATCTATTTATCTATAAGTATTTATATATAGTAAACGTGTTAAAGCAAGTACACCGCCTACCGTTTTTATGAACATTTACTCCTCCACCTCAAGGTTGCCTGGAAGAGATCGCTTCCAGCGATAAGGCCGCCTGCTGTGCATCTTTTCTTTGTATTGTTTTTTTTTTTTTTATTTTATATTTATTTTGGTGTACAATAAAGAATATTATTATTAAATAAAAATGAATCACCGAAATGTATGTACGCACATAACTTCGGATCGACTGCACCAAATTGGATAATTCTTTTTTGTGTTTGTTATTGTCAGGACAAGCTTTGTATAGAAGAAAATAAAAAATAAAAAAAAATACTAAAATAAGATTTAAATCTCATGATATGAAAAATGAGTGAGTGATATAGTTTTTATCTCGGAAATAATCCCATAAGGGAGTTAAAATGAAAGTTTGTAAAGGGAAGCAAGATAGATCATAAAATAAACATTACTCGGAATGTTTATGTAGATATTTTATTAAATTAGAAAACATACCTAGCCGCTTTGCTTTTAACAACAGGCGGCAACTGTTCAGGATCTCCAACCAGTACAAATCGGTGAGCGGCGAAAAGTGGTCTTAGCACTGTGCATTGTAATACCTGTTGAAAATAAATAAGTAAACAAAGTGCAGTTTTAAATTGCAATCATGAATTTCTTAATTGTAAGTGGGAGTTGGAATGTTTGCGGTAATTAATCTTCGAACTTGTAATATTTAAGATTGAAAACTCTCTATGTATTGAATCAATAGGCTTGTAATAAATCGTCTCATAAATGGGCATTTTGTAGGTAAAATAATCACTATTTACGTTATCACTTTCCCCGTCAAACTGTCTGTTCGTTTTATATTTCTAAAAAAGGGACTTTCATAATTCATTAAATCAAATCGGAAATAAAGAATAAAAACGATGCTCACTTGTGTAGCTTCATCGACAATGCAAACATCAAACATGGTTTTGGATAACATTGGGTGCGTGGCGCCAAGGCAAGTCACTCCAACCACTTCCTGTAAAATATTTAAGCTTTATTAATAAAACCTATAAATAAAAATCGTACTTTTCGATCTTTTGCCTGAACGATATAAAGACCTCAACACAAACTAAATTTAAGGATCGATAGACTCTTTAAGATATAATAGAATTAAATAGGAATTAAAATGAAACGTACCATAGAATCGTAGAAGGCTGCCAGCTTTTCTGTGGTGTGGCAAGACTGGAGCAGGACGTGCTCACCGCGCGCCGCCAACTCGGGCGCCACGCGGCTGGACGGGCCCAGACGCAGTATTTTGAGTGCTTCTGGTAACCTTTATATTACATTTTATATTGAAAATTGGACTTATTATAAATACAAAAGTTGCCTTTCTTACGTTTTTTTTACTTTTTATTTTAGTAAGTAAGGAGTAACACATAATTTTAGGCATTTTTCAAAATAAGTAGCTAATCTATCAAATATATTATGTATACATTAGGGTGGGTCGCACATGTATGAAAAAAAAAAGTTTTGTGATTGCATTCTAATAGCGATATTTTATTGTCTTATGAGTAAACAAATAATTTTGGGTAAAAAAAAGTAAAATTAAGTTGAAACTTTAGCCCGCGCATGTGGTTCAAAGTTGAAGAAAATTAAAAAAAAACTAGGTAAAATCAATCCTAATTATTTAATTAAAAACCTACAATTTTTAATATAAAAATCAATATTTGTTAAAGAAAAAGCACAAAAATGAATGAAAACTAAAATGTAACATAGCTTGACATGTCTTTATAAGACATTTTACTTATAGATGCTTCTGTCACTATTTTTACTGAGCGATCGAAATAAATAAAGAAACCAATTGAACCTATGTCTGTTGCTTAGATAATTCCTTACGTTCTTTCTTCCTTTCCGGCATATTTTTGATTTATCAATCACTTCCAAGATCTGTACTTATATCGTACAATACAAAAGAAACAAGTGCAGCAGCTGCTCTGTCAGAAATACCATATCGGTCGCAGTTTTTTGACAAATTCAATTCAAATTTTTAATAGTACTTTTACAGTTCGTGTCTTCTTGTGATGTGAATGGTAAAATTAGATGAAGACACACTATCTTCAGAATCACTCAAAGATGACCCTAATTCCTGCTGTTTTCCTTTCCTCTCTCCGGATCAATCAAAAAATTTTGTTCTTCTTTATGGGTTTCATGCTCTCTCGGACAATTACATTGTTCTTAACTTTTACATTTAAATAGGTACATAAATGTAAAATAAAACTCTGCAAGAACCCATTTTTTTGATCTTCAGACATTGTTTTTAGAGATTTGATAACATTTTTGTACTTTAAATAATAAACTTTTATGAGTTGAATTGTTCTTGTGTGCGACACAGTAGGAAGTGATGCTTTTCTTTTGGCAATTTCTAAAAAGGTAATCCTTTCTTTGTATTGATGCAAATTTTCAGCTGTAGTCTATTCCATTTATAACATTTCATGATATCTTCGTAAATTAGTAACATATTGTCCTTATTGTCTTCAATACTTCCGAAAACGGGAGACTGATGAGTTTGTCTTCTTGAAATCTTTTTATTTTTTATATATTCAAAAAGAAACAAATTATTTAGACACAACAGATTTTAGTTAATTTCACGTATATAATATTGTTTTTTTGCACCAAAGTCAAATTAAAACACTAACGTAACTCAGTGACAAAATAAGCCCACGACCACTTATTACTACCCTCTTTAGGTAACAAAAACTAAGCTTTAAGTCAACAATCTCAGTTAATAATCACTTAACATTTCAATAACAATACTTCAGAATAGTTTTTATCTACCATAATATTTTTAAGGGTGTTAGTATCATATACTCATTTACACAACTTTTACATTATTTAAATTTTATAAAGTACAATGCGCGGGCTGTTCCACTGAAAATATTTAAATAATATTTTACAGGCTTGTTATTTATCTAATAAGACATTATATTTTGACTATTAGAAAAAAAATTGAGAAAAGTAAATTTCGACCCACCCTAGTATACATAGATATTATGATTGTATCTATTTTCGTTTATTTATCCACACAAACCTGCTTAACACATTATCGACGGCGGAGTGCGTGTGCGCGGTGACGAGGACGCGTTGTTTAAGAGCTACGAGCATTTGGATGAGCACGCTGATCGTTTGCGTTTTTCCTGTAATAATAATTCAAATAAAACTAGTGTTTCTGTGACGTAGTACGTGAATAAACAAATGCCTCAATTTATCCAGAGTAGCTTAATAGAGTCGTGGAGTAGTTTAATTAAAGAATTTTTAGGACTCAGTTTCAACCTTTACATGTAAACAAATAAATACATTTTATTACGACACAGGTTCGCAGTCTTAAGTACTATATTATTAGGTAAATAAGCAGACTAACAAAATAAAAGCTAAAAATAACATTTTGAATTTATACAGCTAGTTCCTGGACCAGCACACTCGATCATACAATGTGCCCAGCTTCATATATCATATTGATATTATAAATACAAAAGTTTGTAAAAAACTGTATGTGTGTTCATTTTATTCACGCTGTAAATGATCAATGGATTTAAGTGAAATTTGGAACAAAAATTGTATATAGACTAGGACTGCATATACCTACTATGCGGTAGGTTTCGCGGCCAAAATAAATAATATAGATTATAGAAAAGGGGAAATAGGATAGATGTTGCATCTGAGATGGGATGGATGGAAAACTGCCTCGGTGGTCTAGTGGCTAGCATGTATGGTTGCAAATACAAAGATCCTAAGTTCGAGTACTTAAATTTAGTCACAGCGTTTTTCTATCAAGAAATTCTCAGTAACCATGCAGGGTTGGGAAGTTGGTTGTGTTTATCGTGCCTCGCCAATCACGTAAAGCCATCGGTACAGCTACTTATCTCTTACGTGAAATGTCTCATGTCATGTCGAAATGTCGTCCTACGGTAGTATTACGTTTTACGTTGACAGGAAGTTTTACGTTGTGCTTGCGCGCATTCTTGTGCACTATAACATCTTCTTTGCACATGGCTAGCCTAAAAAAAAGTATATATTATATAAAAATATGGTCGCACCGGTGCCGGGCAGGCCGCGCAGCAGCGCCAGGCGCGCGGCGGCCAGCGCGCGCAGCACGGCGCGCTGCTGCTGCACGTTGAGCGCGCGCATGAGCCGCGCGCCCAGCCGCCCCACCTCGCGCGGCAGCTTCGCAGCGAACGACGCCGGCTCCTTGTCTATTATTAATCTAACAAATAATAATATTTTATTTATTACTAGCGACTCATCTTCATCCCTAGGTACGTTTTAACGATTAGTATTGAATAGATAGACAATATATTTTATATAAATAGGTACAAAAACACAGTTCTGAACTTTTTGATTTTCCAGCTGTTTATTGGGTTTTCCCCAACTTTTTATTATAATTAAACCACCCCTGACACACTCTCAACAAAACAAGAATTATTCATATCGGTCAGGTTCTTTTTGAGTTTTTGCGTGACTAACGAACAACAATTGATTTTTATATATTATATAAGATATAAGATAACTCGATTTTTAAAACTTTAAGTTTTTTCTTGAATAAGGTTTATGGGTTTTTTTAATATACAGAATTAATACTACTGGGAAAAGAAATGCAGGAATCAATAATATATTTTAAGGTGATTTTGAAATTGTTGTAACTAGTTAACTAAATAGTAATTTAATCATAAATATGTATTTATATGGTGAATATCTTAGTTGTTTTTCTTTCACTTTTTATTTGGTAAAGATAAAATGTAAAATAATAGTACAGAAATGGCATTAGTGCGTCTATTAGATTACCATAGAGAAATAGATTTGACTATGAAAATTAGCGATATAATTAAAGTAATGGATTTTCTACATATTTTGCAGGTTTAAAAAACTTTAACTTACTTTCTAAGCTTTAAGGCTCGGTCACTGTCTTCCATAAGCACTCCCAAATTAGTAAGATTTTGTACTGTAGTTGCGTTCGATTCGTAAGTATCCACGTGAAACAGAGTTTGTTTGCTTAAACGCCGACTTAAATCTCTGAAAACAACAAATATAAGAAGTATTTTTATTTGATTTTAAAAACTATAGCCTATTATTGTTTCACGAGAATTAAACAAACTTCTTGTCATCTTTCATATTATATAATCTAACATGGCAGGGTACTGTAATTACTAATTACCTTATCGAAAATCATATATCTTTAAATTTGAAATTGTCTATATAATATTAATATAATTGACAAAATAAATGTGACTGAAATACTTTGTTAGATGATTGCTGTAAAGCATTCGAAACGTCGTGAACTAAAAGTCTAAGTAAATCCGCGAAATAATCCGAAAATATCGTTTTATTTAAAATGTGACTTTTAATATATTTTACCTTTCTAAAAGTATATGTAATTCATTTTTATTTGATAGAGTAACTACTCCAGCTGCGATCCAGGGTCGATTTTCTATGCTCACTATCGAAAATTCACCCGCTTGGGGTCCACTTGCTGCTTTACTTCCATTTAATGAACCTATGACATAAAAATATTATTAATTTTATAAAAATATTTGTTAACTTTATGGATTCCTTCATAAAATTTTTAGAACAAAATTAACCTGAGCTTGTTAGTTGTCTAACAAAGACATGTAAAAATCTATCTCCCGAATTTGTAACATTTTTCAATTTCAAATTAGCAGCACACACCCCTCGTTTTGATCTAAAAATAATAAAGTAATTAGTGCAAAAAATGTTGGCATAAAAATTTAATTTCAACATAAATATTTTGTTATTTAACTTATATAATATCCAAAAGCTGTATTGCTATTTTGTATTCATAAGCTTAATTTCACGGTGTAAGTCATTTTCTAACCGTTTTTCTTCACTTTCAGTCCATAATGCATGTAATGGAGAATTTGTCATTTGTGCCTTTTCTTCTAACTTTAACAGACTCGTCCAGTTTAAAAAATATTCTATATGTTTTAAGGAGAGATGGCCCAGAGATTCTTCTTTTAACTTCGATAGAGGATGAGTTTCTGACACCTTTGGACCATTGGTGTGCCTGGGATAGATTATTTTTTAAATATCAAATACTTGATTGGCATAAAGTGACAGCGTCAGGCTGTTTGTATACATAAAAAGAAGTAAATTTGACAGATAAGAAATTACCATAAATGTAAGGAACAGATGGTTAAGTAAGCGCACTTAGAGCAAGCGTTGTGACGGTCGACCGGCTCCGGCAAGCTCTGCTGCAGCACTCGCGACGCGTCTTCTATATCAACTAGGTGATCCGAAATACAAATATTAGGTATTCTGGTAATTATTTATTTAAAATATGTTTTAAAAGGGCAAATTTCACTAAATTCCTGAAACTAAATCTATATTTGCCTGGTAACTTAACAATACAATTAAAATATGATAATAATCTTTTTAAAATATGATAATAATAATAATTATGATAATAATAATTATGATAATAATAATAATAATTAAAATATAATAATAAGATTTTCAAAATATTAGTCAGATCCTAAAGGTAACATGGCCCTTATACAATTTACGTCATGATGAAGTCATTGGAATAGTTTAATGAAATTTGCACTAAGCAACCAGACCTGTTCACATTACTTCTTACACAAGTCTTGAATAATTTTATAAGTAATAATAAATGAAGGCTTTAGAAAAATAAATAATTGATTAAAAACAAGACCCAACTGGAATTATATCTATTTATTTTTATAAAAAAAACTACCAACCCTTGCTGAACCTCGCTTCACTTGAGTGTTTCTAGATGGCTAAACATTAACCTATGTTACTTCAGGTTATAGTATATCTGTAACTAAATTTCATCCAAGTCCGTAAAGCCGTTCAACAAAGAGACACATACAACTTTATATGAATTTATCTATATAGATAAATTTTTAATTTTTGTCTGTTTGTTTGTGAATAAACTCTGAAACGGCTGGACTGATATTGACGGGACTTTCACTGGAAGATAGCTGATGTTATAGGGAGTAACATAGGCTACTCTTATTATAGTAAAAGAATTTAACTCACTCAAAAAAATTAAAACGTACTTTTTGTTTCACTAAAAGGGACGAACAACGAAAAGCGAGGGTGAGTCGCTAGTTTACTTTATATAACATACAAAGTACAAACACGTACCGGGGTCGCCGAGGGCGCGCGGGCCCGGCGCCAGGTGCAGAGCCAGCTCGTTGCGCAGCGCGGCCAGCCCCTGCCGCTCCGGGTAGCCGCAGCTCACCTCACGCAGGTCCACGCACTCTCTGCACAAGCGCTCGTAGTTTTAACATCGTAATAATATAGACGACGAATAATTCCACATCAAATATATATTGATAAAAATTATTAAAGTTTGTTTTCTATTCTAATATTGATTACTATTTAAATATATAATATTAACTTTAATTTAAATAAACTATGAATGATCACTAGCTTTAAAGTCAAATTCAGTAAAAACACATAAAAGCTGCCTTTAATACTGATTACTTGTTGCGAATAAAAATTTTAAGTATCCCCCGACACAAAAAAAACTCTAAAAAGTAAAAAAATAAATTTTCTCTTTTTTTGTGTTTTGGGAGATACTTTAAATTTTTAATTTTATTTTTATTTCATTCGTTTTGAATTACTCGCGGACATTAATTCAGAACACTCTCATTGAGACTATTCATATGAGCCCAAACACGCTATATCTGCTGTAAGTTTCTGAGGAATTTAGCATTCCACAGACTATTTGACGCTACAGCATCAGCTCAACGTTAGCATGTTTTGGAAATACAACCCAAGTAACTGTACTCTAAATTTCAATTCAATCGGATCTGTGAAAGTTAATAAGACCCTTCTATCAAGTAGGAAATGGGCTAATGATCATTAATCGCCTGAACAGATCTTCATAAATTTTATCTAAGAGCTATCTCGATCACGTCAGCCTTTGAACAAAAAAAACGCATTAAAAATCGGTTCATTAGTTTAGGTGCCTCGATTACACAGACAGACACGTCAATAACACCCTTTTTTTGCATCGGGGGTTAAAAACAGATCGACTAACTTCAAATACAAGAGAAATCCCCTCTGCGCCGCGCGGGCGGGGTCCTCCCGCCGCTGCAGGCTTAGCATCATGCCGTACAGCACGACCTGGCCGCGGTGCTCGACCGAATCCGTGGCGCGCCCGCTCTTCAGCTCCAGGGGCACTGTTGCTGACTGACATTCTGAAATTTTGTATTGATATATCAGCTTGAATTGAGATTATAATATCTACAAAGGGGTTAGTTTACTAAATAACAAAAGATGGCATGACGTGTTTTTTTGATAATTGTGTTAAATTCATAGCAGAACTATCCTCAATCAATAAATATAACTCATATCAAGTATAACTTATTCTCAAGCCTTTACTACATAAAATCTTAAAATTACTTACTTCGTTTTTCATGTATAGTAACTTGTAAGGTAGCATCAATCTTTCCCTTCAATCCTAACTGTGGACAACAAACATTTTCTTCAGTGTCTAGAACTTTATCTACAAAACCATTCCATTTACCATTACCAGAATCCTGTAACAAAAAAAAATATTTGAAATGAACAACAAAATATCTTGGAACACCAAACTTAATCGAACGAATTTTTTTTCTTCTAGTGTATTAGGTCCGGTATACAATGTCCTCTTGGCCTTGAAGGGGAGCTCTCCTTCTGTAAGCCCACTAAGTGGTGCCATGTATCTTCACGCGCATATGGCAAATACCACAGACTTCTAAGCAATTGACCTAAACACACAGTTCATAGTAATACTGAACATAATATTTACCTTTGGTTATTCTATTGGTCGATTGGACATTGGTCCATGTCCAACATAATTGACCAATAGTTGGATGCAAAAAATAAATTTGAAAAAGTGGCAAAATAGTGAAATTTTAAATTTTGCATAATTTATGAAAAAAAAAAATATTCTATTGGTAGAACTTCGTTATTATATTCTTTATTGCACAAATAAGTTATTTTCGTTTAGTATTAAAAGAAAACTTCCCTCTAAACATCGAAATTGAAAGGGGTTGATTCCAACCATTGATTAATTTGATACGTTATGAACTTCTATATTTAAATACTTACCATATTCTTTGGTTTGTTAACGACATACGTCTCCATAAATTTAGCCAGTGGCCCTATATACAATTCCATATTTGATCGCGCTTCAGCCTCATTAATTCCTGAGTTATATAACATTTGAATTGAGTCCTTTAATAAACTATCAGCCTCTACGCCCAATAGAGTCCTATTTGATATATTATTCATAAAAGCTTTTTGTACTAATTCATGGACTAGAATACCTAATGTCATCTGCAATGAAAGGGATTATATTAAAAATATATATATATATATATAAACAGCAAAATACTAAGGAATATTTAAACAAATATCTACCTGCTATTATCATTATTGGCAAGTTACTTACGTCAATTCAGAAGAAAAAAGTACCAAAGTTTGAGCAATACATACTAATAAATATTTAAATAAAAAACTTATGAAGAAAACAATTACCGCAGTATTAGCCGAATCGATTCCTCGCCATCGCTCTTGCAGCACAGCCTTCCGTTTACAGAACACGCCGGCCACGACGTTTGTTGTGGAGATGAGGTGGTCCGGCCGCAGCACCAGCAGCCCAGACGTGTTGTTCACGCTGAACTGGCCTGAAGCGTCGCGCGATGCTATTATACTTACTATCTCCCCTGCCTCTAATGGTGTGTGTAACCTGGGAAAACGTGCAAAATTTCTTGGATATAAACCACAATCGAAAATTTCCTATTTATTGAAAGAAAAAAGTTGTAAATATTTATAGTGAAACACTCTTTAAAATATTTATATCGGCCGCCTCGTTAAATTTGTATGTCAAATCTACATAAAATAAATAATACCTCGGAAAATCATTCATTACACATTATTATCAATGTGAAAATTTGTGAGTGATTGTGTGTGTTACATTTCGATCAGCTGCGCTGTCTTATTGAATTGTAACAGAAGTATTCTAATATCAATTAAAAATATTGATTTAGTATTTGTACTTATAATTAGTAATTACTTCATCTTTCGAGTCTTTAACAAAGATAGAATTTTGGAAACAATATTAGACTATAATATACCCATAAAAAGGAATTAGGTCTAAGAAAGCATAAAAAATTCTGGAAAAATCTAGTCAGGAATATTTGCTTTCTCAATACTTATACCATTTTTAAAAAATTATAAAAAAATTAAAATGTGCACTTCAGTTTAATTCTCTTGTTAGCACCTCCAGGTAAATTTCTAAGAAATTAATTAAAATTCTAAGAAATCTATTGTTAACTGTAGCGCCGGCGTGTCCGCGGTCATGGAGGGATTAATATCTGGCTTTAAAATGAACCAGCTGAGCACCAAAATAAAGTACTTACCAGGGTTCGAAACGATAATTATAATCATTGATAATTATCTTTGATAATTATCATCATAAATATGGGTTGATAATTGTCTTTGATAAATATAATTGAAAATATTTAATTTGTAACTCTTCAAATTGTCGAACAGAACTCTCTCAATCAGCTCAAAAAACTCAATCAGCAAACTGAGTTAATACAGTTGAGGAGGATAAGGATGATATTCCAATCATTAAGGAGTCTGCCTACTATACACCGTCTCATACCCTGACCGTACTATGAACGTATCAGGCACGGAAACAAGCGACACGGACTAATAGTAGTCCGTGTCGCCCACTAGAACGTATCATTCGCGTATCAACCGCGTATCATCCGCGTGTCATATCCGTATACATAGTTCAAGTTTTCTCAGTCGTAGTAATTCACCTGTGTTTTCGCGTGAGGCAGCCACGTCAGAAAGAGCGAGTGAATATTTTTGTTACGAAAATTATTTCCCATAACTATACGATCGCTATTAGAAACCTGTCCGACGGAAAATTTACGATGATAGCCATTGTTTCAGACGAGGAAGAAAGAAAATCAGTCGATCACGACGTTACTAGGTTCACGCCGTTTAAAAAAAAAAAATTATAAGAAAATATTATCACTAAAAGACCATTATTGTTAACTTTCCATGCACGGCATGCTACGGTGTTGGTTGGTGACGGAAATGTCTTGGTCGGTGATGGACGTCTAATGGGCGTAATCACATATTTTTCAATACAAAGAATATTTTTTTGCCTGACACAATCCTAGCACTGTCATGGTATAAGACGGTGTAGTGGGCAGAGACCTTTAATTTAATTAAATAGTGTCTTATAGTTGCTTAAATTTATTCTATTTTTATTTAAAAGTTTGTATATGTAGTGTTAAAAGTGTATAATTTATTCTAACGTAAATTATGATAGGCAAACAGTCAAATACCAATACCTACACAAGAATTGCTATGTTTATATCTGCTTGATATTATCGCGATAATTATCAAGATAATTATCGCGATGATTATCAATATATATATTTATCTTGATAATTTCATACCCTGGTACTTACCAAACACCTTCTACAATACAGGCACCTGTATTGTTGTTATCATTTTGAAGTTTTAATTTTAATTTATGTGACAGTTTTTCGATAGAAATAATCTTACACCTTTGCATTACACTTAAATCTAAATGATCCTCAATCTGAAAGAAAACGAAAGTGTTGTTTTACAATAAATATAATGGATGTAAGCATCTACATTCTTAATGTTATTATTTTGAACTACAATTGAACTGCAACCTCCAGTGTAGTAAACAATACCAGTAGAACAATTGTAACAGCAGAATTTTTTTTATTTAACACAATTAAGGTAAAAAATAACTAAAACACTATTACAGAATAGCAAAAAAGCAGCACTAGCCCAGTGGCCCAGCGCACACTTGGTTGGCAAACCAAGTTAAGTGAGTTCAAAATTCAAATCCCAGGTCTTGCATATCTGATATTTTCATGTGTAAATCATTCTGACCATAATTACTACTTGTGTTAAGGTGAAGAAATACATTACTTTTATTGAAATAACAATTTTACCTCTAAATTATGGTCCCATTCATCTTCAAACAAATCCAAATGTTTATCATTTTCTGAGAACTCTTGCATCTTTTCAGTACATCCAGACAGAGATGCTTTTTCATTTTCAAATTCAACAGGTGACATAATTTTCCTAGCTTTAAAGAAATACAACAAACATATAAAAATCATTATTTTAAAATTTATTATTTATTAAAGTAATACAAATAAAAAGGCACACTACACTTGACAGTCCCTAAATGTATCTATTTTTAAAAATTATAATATACATTTGAACTCAAGAGACAATAATAAAATTACATATAGCCATTAAGAAGAAAATTGAATTGAATTAACATGACAAATATAATTTAACTTGTTTATAGTTTCTATAAAGTTTCTATAAAGACTTGTAGAACCCCTTTTTTAATATAATTTAACAATTAAAAGTCTTCACATTAGTTTTTAGAACCAAAATGATATAAATGTAAAATCTAAGATTGCACCTAAGTATGAAATAGTATATTCTATAATTAGAAATATTGCTATAAGGCAAAATCTATTATACTAAAATATTTTGACAATCATAACCAAGGGACATTATAACTGAATTTCCAACAAAAAATGGATAAAATACCTTTAGGGCTTATAGGAGGGGACTTCATATTTGGTTTTAAAACATTATCAACAATCCCATCTTCACTAATATTGCTGACATCATTCTCCTTTTCTTTTGCATACAATTTACTACAATTTCCTTTCAATTCTGAAACTGAGCTTGTTTTATTGTCAGGCACTTCAATAAATTGTCCTAAAGTTGAAAAAATAATCTTATCAGAGATATTGTAATCAAATAATTAGTAATTTATATAAAGAATGGGTATTTCATAACATAGATTTGAAAATAAAATATAAGAAATTAAAAGCGTTACCATTCTCAAAGCTGTTATCTAATTTACATTTTTTAAGAGGATTTGCGACACTTGGCTGTATTTTAGAGGGAGATGATGCTTTTCTTTTAGTGTACTTTAAGTCAAACTTCTCTGATTTTTGATATTTATTTTGCGATTCTTCGTTGCACTGCTGTTGAGTAGTTTTAAAAAATTGTGTTATCGGTTTTTGGTTTTTTACTGCACCATTCTGTACCTAAAAGAAATTTAATTTTTAATGCAGACATTTCATTATAGAGAAATGAAAAATGTTAAGTTAATTAAAACTCACTTTTTTGAGACTTAAAGCTTTCGGCATTTTATGTTCTTTAATTTGTACTCCTTCCTTAAAATAGACAATACTACGCAGACATCAATTAAAATAAGTTCTTAGATATACTTAGTTATCGTATTTTTTTTTAATTTACAGCATTTAGAAAAAGTACTAGATTTAAATATCTTTTTTCGTTGTTTTCCCACTTCCGTGACATCCCGCGTAAATTTGCGTACATGAAGCAGACTAAAAAACATATGAAAGTCCAGATAAAAAATGTAAACGGTTTGCTCTACATCTATGGTCCTATTAAAGCGTGTTGGAAAATCGGTGTGGCTACGATATTATGTCACTATGGTCTATTTAAAGTATTTATTGCTATTATGATTATAATAATTTCTATGTGTCATCCATGATAATCGATTTGTCAATAACTTTGATAATGTACTTTTCTTATTCATCCATGTAAAACGCCGCGTTGATCGTTCAAAGTCTACTTTGACAAAGTAGTTTTGATCAAAGTTTATTTGGATATCTGTTGACAAACTGCTGTCTGCTATGACAAAAACTTTTGAAACAAACAAAAAAAGTCTACCTTGATTAAACCCCGACGTAAAAATGCGTTTTGATTGCTCGTTACACAATCAAAGTCGTCAGCATCAAAACTACTTTGTCAAAGCAGGCTTTGAGAAAAGTAGAACAAAGCTCAAGTCCACTTTGATTAACGTCCACATCAAAGTGCGCTTTAATTGTTTGTTTAAACTTGGTTTAAACCTTAAACATAATCAAAGTTACGTCATACGTCAGTCATCAAAACTACTCTGCCACTCTTTTATTTGTCATCCATGCTCTGCCAAAGCAGACTTTGATCATGTCAACGCAGCTTAAAGGGTCATTGACTGAAATCATGAACGAATTAACCACATTCGTTCATGACTGAAATATTTTATCTTCTGAGTTCTGCTACCTTTCAATTTCCATACGTGACAGTTCACAGCTGACAGTTTAAAGAAATACAATGTCAAGTGTCAATTCTGAGCCAAAGAAAAAAAAAAGAAATACAATGTGCGACGTGCGTTAGTTTATTTATAGTGAAGGTTATAATTATAAGAGGACACATTAAATACCTTTTAAGAACAACCAAAATATATTAATAATGTCTAAAAGACCTGAACATCAAGCTCCACCTGAACTGGTAAAAAAACTGATTTTATTCTTTTAAAATTAAATTCTTTTATTTTAAATTTAAGTAATTTATTTTTAAATAAAACTATCTTTTCGGATTTTGTCGCGGATTTATTTGTATTTTTGTTTCCCGACGTTTCGAATGCTTTACAGCAATCATGGTCACGGGAGAGACTGATATAATTTATTTTTATTTTTTTACAGTTTTACAATGACGATGAGGCAAGAAAGTATACACAAAAGTTCGTACATTTTTTAAACTTTTCTCAAATTGTAACAATTTTTTTTTTGTCTAACATATAATTTAAAAATTCCAGTTCCCGAATCATTGACATTCAAGCTCAAATGACAGAAAGATGTATTGAATTGTTGTTATTACCTGAGGACACACCATGTCTTCTGCTGGATATTGGCTGTGGATCGGGCTTATCTGGTGCAGTGCTTGAAGAATATGGACACATGTGGATTGGCTTAGATATTTCTCCATCTATGTTGGGTAAGTATACAATTAAATGGTTTTGCATTTTGACCTATGAAAGTGTTGTAAAACAACTTTTAATAATAAATAGTTTTACTATAATATTCTTTTTCAGATGTTGCAATAGAAAGAGAAACAGAAGGTGACTTGATTCTTGCAGATATGGGTGAAGGAGTGCCTTTTAAAGCAGGTAGTTTTGATGGAGCAGTCTCTGTATCTGCTCTCCAGTGGCTATTCAATGCTGATAAAAAATCACATCAACCAGTCAAGAGATTATATAAATTTTTTAGTTCCTTATATGCTTCATTGGTAAGTTTGAAATATTTATGAGATGATTTTATTTTCTGAATACATGATTTTTATATGAGAAAGTTTGTGTGTTTGTGATATATCTTCTACTGATTAATTATTAAACACGGCCGCGAAGGTTATATAGCTATAAATTATTGACTAAAAAAATATATTTCAAAAAAGTTTGGATATATTTGTAAAAGAAATAAGCCAATTTGTGTATTTTTACTTAGCTAAGGTATAACATATTTTTAGTATATTTTTTCTAATAAAATGACCTTTTAAGGTGTTTATTTAAGATTGCATTTGAAAAATAATAAATTTATTTTTCATTTAGTCAAGATCAGCAAGAGCAGTCTTCCAATTCTACCCAGAAAATGAAAATCAATTGGATCTTGTGACAGCTCAGGCTATGAAAGCTGGTTTTTATGGTGGTGTTGTCATTGACTTTCCTAATTCTGCCAAAGCTAAAAAATTCTTCCTTGTGCTTATGACAGGAGGTGCTGCACCATTACCACAAGCTCTAGGTAATATTTTAGTTTTCTGGGATAAATGTTTATTTATCATTTAAGATTTTTTTATTAATACGAAATATATAATCTATATCTATATTTAATTATAAAATACAATGTTTGTTTAGAAATTTAATTCATAATTTTTATGCTATGTACATACACAGGCACAGATGAAAGTGAGAATTCTTTGCAAATTAAATATGCAAGAAGAGAAGCTTCTAAAGCAGCAAGAGGCAAACCTTTAAAAAACACAAGAGCTTGGCTTCTGGAGAAGAAAGAAAGAAGACGAAAACAGGGTAAAGAGACTAAACCAGACACTAAGTACACAGGACGAAAAAGAAGTGGGCGTTTTTGACCTAAAATGTATATTACTTTGTTTATATAAATGTAACTTTTAAGCTAAAATAAATACTTATTTTATATTATTTCTTATCTTTAAACAACATATTTCCAAACTGTATCCACACCATGTCCTATTGTTTCAACTGGTATCATATTTGGTAAAGGAAATCTACATACTACCACAACTGTACCCTCCTTAACTTCTTTTAATAATTTCTTTTCAAAGTCAATCATCATTTGTTCCACTCCAAATATAACAATATTATCATAGGGCACCAAGTCAAATGTCCACAAATTTCGTCTGTAGAATTTGGTTTCTCGGTATCGTCTGTTCAGAATAGCTGATATTCTAGAATAGCATACTAAGACTGGGTTTAATTCTACTCCATCTGCTTGAAAACCTAACTTAGCTGCTGTAAATACTATTCTACCGTCCCCGGAACCCACATCTAATAATCTTCCAGATCTGCCTTTCAGCGCTAATTTAACTCCTAACAACTGATCTGTAGTTGCTGGAACATATGGTAGACAAATTTTTCGAAATGCAGGTGAAACAAACGGAATACTTATGATGCTCACACCTAAAGCCAGGCCACCTGTTGCGTATATTAAAACTTTCCCAAGTGTTGAATTTTTATTAGTACTTTTTATGTTCGTATCTTGTGAGATTTCAAAATCCATTTTAATAGATAATATTAAATTAGGTTATGTATTTTAAATATTTTAAATATGTGTTAAGTGACAAATGGAGTTATGACAGTTTGCTGATGCTCTTTATAATAAATAATAATCTGTGGTGAATGGTGATAAATTGTTTATGTAATTTTATATTTTGATATTCTTATCTCTATTTAGTCCAGGGTCATTCAACTTATATACAAATCACGTGGTAATTCAAATCATGGATGACAAATAAAATAGATGAATTAGTTCCATACGAGCTCTTGGTGCATCTATCTATCCCTTTCATTTGCTTGGTAACTAGCATGCTATCTCTACATTTGGCGACAACGAGTGGGACAACAACTTATTTCTGTCGCAGTTACATACGTCACTACTGTGACGTCACTGCAATATTTTGTCATTTTTGAAATATTCAAGTTTTAACCGTCGTTATTACTCGCCCCTGGGGACTAGGGTGTGAGGGCTTGCCGTTTTTTATATTATTTTACACTTAAAATTTACATTTTATCAATTTGTAGATTAGTATTAATTAATGTGGATAAGTGCGGATTAATGTAGATCAGTGATATAGTTAAGATTTGTGCTTGGATACATAATTTGTTATTTCTTCATTAGTGTTTCTCTTCCTTTTTTTGGTTTTTTATTAATGTTGTGTAATCATGGGAAAGCATTGTAATTCCGAATTGTCAGGAAGTAACAGAAGATTTTTCATGCCATAGAATGCCTTATAAAGATGCACTTCAATTTTATAACGTATACTTATAGAAATTCTTATAAACGGTTTATTTCTAGAGTAACTCTATCTGACCAGGTTTCTGCCAATGTAGCTGCAATAAATTCATTAATTTCTGATACTAAGGTAAATATACTTTGTAGTGCCAATGATGCATCAAGTGCTATCCATTATGAAGTTAATGGGAAGTGGGAACAAAACCTATCATAAGTATGATGTACCTCATTTACTGAAATGTTTCAGTAATAATTTTCAGAAAAAGAATTTGCTCCTTGGCAGTCAGCATGCTCAATGGGATTATGTTTATATGTTGTATAAAGTAGATGACCATAAAGGTGCTGCAAGGCTAACAAACTTACTGACAGGCATATTTATCCAAACTCTTTTGTTAAGATGAAGGTAACTATATTGTTCAGTTTAGTAAATTAAGATATTATTATATTACTTTAGATCTTGGATATTATTTTTAATATGAATTTGTTTTTAAGAAGGAACTTCTTGAAGCTATTGATATTATTATACTATTTATTATTATACTATTCTATTCTAATATGTAAAATTGAATAGTTTGTTTATTGTTTGAATGCACTTATCCATGTAATGCTCAGTCCATTAAAAACAATTTATCAACTCTATAGCCTATCTATTGTATAATGTTAACAGCTATTTAAGGGCCTAATTGGCTTATCTACCTAGACCCTAATAATACTAAACTATTACTATATTTAAATAAGCTACTATTCATCTACAGTAGTTACTAGTTCATATACTATATAGTTATGGTGACTATTTGTTGTATTACATTATTATAATAATATATTTACAGGTGAAGTATATGCTGCGCAGGTGTTTCAGCAGTTGAAGTGTTTCAACATCTATAAGTCTCCTGATAAAGGCTTTTAGTTTCCAGGAAGAACACAATTATTGTAATACATTAAACATAAATATTGAGAATGGCTTATTCACATCTGAGATTATTTTATTCATTAATAATAAAATACATGATCCTTCTAAGAATCTGTCATCTCTAGTATGGTATGCAATTTAAATAATTAAAAGACAATTACCAAAGATTTGTAAAGTTTACATATTTCCCGATTTAATAAAAGCATTTGAAAATCTGATACCTCTTGGTACACTTGTGTAGATCATAGAGAAATATTTTTAAGAGCATTCTCATTATTTATGATATGTATAAAAGTTAGACACAGGTATATAAATTTTAATTGAAGAATTGAAAATTTGCTTAATATGAAAGTTTCAGAAGGGCCTAGCTATGGTTGAACTCATCTAGTCTGAAGACTAGATTCAGAGTAGTGAATGATTTTCCAATATTTTTTCATTAATTAACTTTTAATATTTATTAGTCTTGTTTGTTTCATTTCTTGGTTATTTAAAAGATAATCACTTGGAATTTTCCATTTTCATTATGTTTCTATTAAGTATAAAAATAATGTATGAATATTTCAATTGATTTCTGTGAAATAATATTATAATTTCTTAAAATATACTACTATAGCAGTATATAATTTTAATATATTAATTATAATTGTTACATTTGATAGAAATATGCATTTAGAAATTTTATTTTAGAGTATGTTTAGCTGTTATTTCTTTTTACACCAAATTTTTACTATTACTATGTACATATTGATTTTAAATTTCTTAAGCTTTTAAGAAAATTAATTTTATTATTCATTTTTTACTGAAATTTGCATTTTTTTTTTAATTTATATAAGATTAAAATGTTTGTTTTTTCAAATGCGCTAATCTCGAATCTTTGCATTTTATAAACTGAAGATGAAGGTGGTTCTAGAGCTAAAACTTCAAACAAAAGCTAGATTTTAATTTATACCTACAATTAAACCTACTACTCGCTTAATATGATATTGTTATTAACAAAAACTATTGTTCTATGTTACTTCTAATTTTATTGCATTGTAATATTTTATACCAAATCGTTGTACTAATTTATATTTTTTGTATTTTGTATTCAATTGATAAAATTCTTTAAAAATGTCCTTTTATTGTAATAACAATGTGTTATAAATGTTAAAAAAAAGGTTATCCCGTCAAGGACCTCAGTCCTTGCTAATTCTTCTCAGGTCTGAGGCATTTTTCCAAACTAGTGGTAGCATTAAAATAGTAAAATAAAAAAACGAGAAACCTATCTTTGTATTTTATTTCTAATTATAATTAATATCATAAAAATGAAAACCTTACTATAAAACCGATAACAGTTGTTGAATACCGATAACATTACGATAAAAACATCCCTACTTAATCGTAATCGTAATGAATACCGATTTTCACATCACTACGAACTAAATTCTCCCAGATTCGCATATGACGTCATACCCTTAGAAAGAGATGCGTGGCGACTCAAAAGAAATACAATAGCCGTGAAAGTGACAGCATATTTTGACTTGCCATTTATGCCATAACTGTCCCCATATTAAGGCAAATATCATGACACAGCTCTAAAATATAAATCAATTTTTATAACATAAAAACCTATGTTAATAGATATTTTATGTTTGATATGAAATATAATTAAAATATAAGATATTCGATAATAGTTAAAATCATTTAGAATATAATTATATAAATCAATATATAGCACATATGATTTATAAAAAAAATCATTATAAACATATTTAACTTAAGTATATTTTATAATATAATAAGATATTAATTAACATATCCCATGTAGCTATTTTTAATTTATAATGGTTAAATCGGGAAAAATCTTTCTTTGACTATCTTGACCCCCCCGGCCCCCGCTTCGTCTTATTCGCCTTCGGTTTTATGAATATGCGCTTGTATGGAGCTCGGCCGGGGCTGATTCAAATATTGAAGTTGTCCCACTATACAATAGAGATGGCAGGGTAAAACTTATAAATTTTTTTGAATTCGTTCAATAGATGTCACTGCTGAGACCAGATGAGATGAGTTTTTAAATGTCCGCCGTTGATGATAAAGGTATCTTTAACAATGTGATATTTTAAAAATTTATAATTTTCCCCAAACTAAGTGCCCGTTATTGTGTTTTAACGTTGAGTTGAGCTTATGTTCCTTCGATAAATTCATATGACTGTGATCTCAATATATCACAATTTCGTAGTTAGTCGAACAGAGTTAGGACTCGTTTCTGGCGTTTGGGTTTATTTGCGATTTTTTCATTTTTGGTGTGCTCATCAAGAAGGTCAAGGCCCAATTATGCCATCAGACAAGCAATGCTGCGTTCCTGGATGTAAAGAGACTGAAGGTACCTATGTCAAATATATGAATACCCGTCATACTCGTTTTACTGTCGTAAGTATTATAATATATTAATGTTATTTTAAAGTGTCAATCAATTTTATAGAAATGAAATAGAAATTGGTAATTTATTTTCAGAATTAGTGTTTATATCTGAATGGTGGTCAGGAACAAAGTTGTCCATATACATAAAGAATGATGATACCTAGATACTATGGGAAAGAACATGGCTATCTTATTATGAACCATAGTTATGAAGTAGACTGGCTCATGGGTTGGCACTTCTGTGACGGTATCAAAGTTTTAGGAGTGAGTATATCGATCTGATATTTCTATAAATTACATAAATGACTTTTGTTTATAGTGTTCATAATATTTCAAACTGTTGTTGGTAAATAAAACTACATTCTAATAAAACTACAATACTATTATGATCAAAAATAAATGTAACTAAAAACATAACAATATAATTATTAATAATATGTAGAATATGCTATAGCTATATATGTATGTATATGTGTATGTACTTACATTTTTTTTAATATATTTTTTAATTTTGTATTAACATCATGCTATTTAAACAATTTGAGGCTTGTTCATTTTCAAAAAGCAAGCAAAAAAAAAGCAAGAAAGCTCCATTCAAGGTATTAAAAAAATAGATACAGAGTAATATTTTCATTGTTTTAACTAATGTTCATGTTGCAATTTATAAAATTCCATAGTGATTCTATGTAGCATTGTTGTTGCTAGATGAATGTAGTTTTAAATAACAATTTAGCTATAAAAATATAACAATACAAAGTAACTAGAAAAATAATTTCTAAACTATAGTATAGTACTTAAAATTGAAAAAACATGAGATCCTTTTTCAAAGTACCCCAGAAAGTACCACAGAAAAGTAAATGTTGTAGCCAAAAGAGTAAAATAATTATATTGATTTTGAAATCTGTTCAGTCATAATATAGATTAGAATGCACAAACATGCAGTATTAATTCCAATAGACAATGTATGTTTATATGTATATTATAAATTTATTTTATACTATATGAATTATATATTTTAATTTTATAATAATTTCTGCATAAACATTCCCTGTACTCAATATATTCAATTCATTTAACATAACTTAAAATAATTGGAATATTTTCATGATATGTATTATAAATTTAGTCAGTTATAACTTATAAACTAGTTAATAACATTAAATATTTAATGGTGAAATAGTTAATTAGTTATACAATATATACTTAATTAAATATTTAGACCTGAATTTGCTAATAACATGGCTATCTCAAAGCTGAGTTTCATAAATGAGTGATGTTAAACATAAATCATAATATAAGTTTTTTCCTATAAAATTTCCATTTAGAAAAAGATAAACAATTCTTTATTTAATTAAATATATAAGCAAATGAACTGTCTATTGGCCTTTATGGTTGTTAAACTTTTGTGATTTCAATGAAATTTCATTATGGACATAAATTCCCGAATCCCATTCCAAGTATTTCTATATACTTGGAATGGGATTCGAGGAGCTCTTCAATATAGTTTTCGCTACTATATCGAAGTTCAGATCGAGAAGATGTATCTGTAAAGATATGTATGCTATCAGAAGCTTGTTGAATAATACCGGCGCGGGCACTGGCTTAGTAGTTTCTTGGCTCAATTTTGCATTTAGGACATCCTTAGACTGTCTCTTCTGTGTCACGGGGCTTATTATTGAGATGAGAATCAAATCGAAAACGCGTTGTGGATTTACTTGAGGTATCTGTTCCATACGCGTCACCCATATTACGTTCCTTCTGTGCTGAAATCGTTTTTGAAAATATACGCGCATGGCGCATTTACGATTTTTCTAAAATAATCAAAAGAACAACAATCTTTTGAAAAATATATCATAGCTACATTATGAAATTAAGTTGAATTTGGAATTTGAAGTCAATCGCGAGATTTTGAGCTTCACCCTACGTTTGTATTGGAAATCGGTAATATTGTAAGAGCTTATAGGATGATTGGTAGTTATAATTTATATTGTAATCCCTTAATTATATATACTCAGTCTATGGTATAATATAATCTATAGGTACATATAATAAAGAGGTCGAATGTCTGTACATAGAAAAAAATGTTAAAAGCCGAGTCGGGGACGTAAGAAGAGAAATAGAACAAATCCAGTTTTTTTTTTCATTTATTTTTTTCTGTCTGTTTGTCTGTTTATAAGGGCTAATCTGCAAAACTGTTGGACTGATTTAAATGAAATTTTGATGGTGGTACCTTATATCCCCGGTCAACATTTTAAATACTTTTCATCCCGGAAAATCAAATCGTTCTCGTAGGATAGTTAAAAAACTATAGTAACTTATAAAGCTTAGTACAGAACAACTTATGCACGTAATTTAGTAAAATTTGGCATGCACTTTATATTGCCGGTCAAACAATAGGCTACTTTTTATCCTGGAAAAATATACGGTTCCCGAGGGATAGATTTGTTCATGTTTATCTAGAGGCGAACCCGAGCAAAGCGAGGGTAAGCCGCTAGTATACAAAATATAATCTAAACCCAGTGTAGTTGTAAATTTAATTTATTAGAATGAATAATATTGTAATAACAGCACCATATCAAGTTGTAGCAACAGTTACAATAGTTTGCCGTAGCTTCATGCGATTTAAGAAAATTAAATACATATAAGAAATAGTGTTCCTTTTGAAACCTTTTGTTTTCAATACATATTATAATAAAATTCTAACTAAATCAAATCTGTACATTAAATATTTTTTAGAAAATCTTATTGAAATCGTCATTATTATCGATACAGAGCCGAATCTATAGTTTTTAGAATGTTCGTCTGTTTGTCTGTTTGGGAATGTATAACGAGAAAATCACTGAACAGATTTTGATGAAATTTTGTATGATGATATCTAGTTATCCGGATCAACATATACGAGTAGGATACTTATTACTGCGAGAAAATATCTTATCTCTGAGAAATGTATACTAAACATTAAAACGTAATTAGAGTCGCGCGAATTCGGTTCAGCAGTTTTAAAAACGTATTCGGAAATAAATATTGTGTGTAATTTTTTAACCGTTAAGTATTGAATTGTGGAAATCTCTAATATACTCGTATGTACATAATATTATGAACATGTTCCATTAATTGAAGCAAAGATTATTAACCTTACAAATCTTGACTACTTCTCTCAAAAGAGAAATGAATTCAGTACCACGTAAATTGCACTGTATGAATTGTACTGAATTTTAATTTCAAAATTTGGTTGAGAAAAGTATTATTTTAAATATATCTTTGCTATTGTTAAGCGAAAATATTTGCTAGGAATTAGTCAAAGCAAATGCGGTCTTAGCAATTATAAATAACTAGAATTTATAAATAACTATTGATAAAGATAGATCTTACCACTTTTTTGTTTATTATGATAAGTAGACTTCTATGTATAACAACTAATAACTATGTTTATAGATTAGCGGTGTGTCAAACAAATCGATACTTATAAATAACATTAACTACAAGTAAAAAATATATATTATAAAAATAAAAATCCCGACTGCATAAAAGCTAACTAAAAAGATGAAAACAAGTTCACGGAGGAATATACTCGTAGTATTATGCAGTTGGAGACGTACACGTTTCATCCTAGCCGCAAGATGTATGCAAATACATAATAATGTATAATGTATGTATCCGACTACATAATACTATATTCCTTTGTGAACTTGTTTTCATCTTTTTAGTTAGCTTTTATGCAGTAGTTTCTTATTTTTACAATATTTCTTTTTTATTTACAGCTTTTTAGTTTTTGCCAATCAGACATTAGAAGTTATATTTAACAATTTTTTATCTTAAATTATTATAAGGAATACAGGAATTTTATACCTTTTTGGAATCCTTGTTATGAGACCTTTAATATGATACCCATATTGCAGAAAAAGATTTAAAAAAATTCACCTTAAACAATGAAATCTAGCAGCCCGCATATTTTTAATTCTTGCATTAATGAGACGAATCTAACGATACCTTAATTAAAGAAATCCATCGAGTGGTTTGGAAGATATGAGGGAATAAAGAATATTAAAAACAAACATACAAAGATAGGCGCGAAAAACATACGCCTCTCCTTGCAGTCGGGTCGGTCGCACGGTTAGGTCATCCTTCTCCTTTTAGGAAGTTGGTTAAATAAAATAGCTCTCTTTAATATTTTCTTTATTATTCAAATTGTTACAATAAGTAAACACTCGTTTTCTCGCCATATGTGCTATAGGTACAAGTAAGATTCTCATAGTTTACTTTAATATAATCTAAATCCTTACTTATTTAAATGTACTATCAATTATAAAATAGATATTATTTCACGTATAGCACACGTCACAAGTGCCGTTAAATAACCGAGATAATGTTTGCAACAGGTGTTTTTGTTCAGAATATGCATGGCTGAAAATCCAAAGTCCTCCCAATATAAAGCTTCATTATGTTTTATGTACCTAATTAAAATAAAACAAGGTATTGTAATTTGAAAAGAATTTATATATAAATTGCGATTTAACGAGCAGTGTAATTATAGTAACAGTTGACAGTAAATAATGATTTTGTAGTAAATAGGGAAAGAATGACCAAAATTGCATTTTGTTTAAAGATAATTTACCTATTTCTGATGATTTAAACAGTATTAACGATACATTATATATACTTTAAAAGATGTTAAAACTACTAACATTGAGTTTAAAATATTCTAATTAAATTATTAGTCTTCAATAACAATTGTGACATGACTGCTAATCGAATTGTGTTCGTTATAATATATTTATTGAAGTAAATACATATATCTATACATATTTTTTATCTATGGCTACTATGGACCCGTTTCATAGCATCATGCAATCTATATACTTAGTTTAATTGTTACTTATATTTGTTATAAGTAAACTTCAATAACGAACAGTATTGATACAATTTGCTGCTAAGTACTATTCTAAACTTAATAAAGCCTTTAACTTATTATTATCAATATAAGTTTTACAATAATGTATGGAAGTCTGCCTGATTTGTTGACATGATTACTGCAATGCACTCCCTTGGGTAGTAGCATAATGATATACAAACCTTATAGTCTTTTTCAATAAACCGGCTATATACAAATAATAGATTTTTCAAATCGGATTAATAGTTCCCAAGATTAGCGCGTTCAAACAAATAAACTCTGTATCTTTATAATATTAGTATAGATAAGATATTAAATGAATTGTCAGTTTAAACAAGACGGTGAATCTTAAAAGTTTATGTTTACAGAAAATATACTAATTATACATTTTTTAAGATGAATGAACTAATAATTTGTATCATTTTTCTTTTAGAACTGTAAAGCCTATGCGAAAAAATCAATACAGTATTTACCACCTATTGGTTGGATATGGAAATTTTCGCAGAGCAGGGAGCAGCCGGGACATCGACGCAAGAATCTTCATTCAAGAACCAAAGGAATAGTCAATATATATGAACCAGCAACATCATGGTAAGCAAGCAAATAATATTTTTAATTTCGAGGTGTTTATCCATTTAGACATATAGTCGGGGTAGAAATATACCGTGATAAGTACCTGCATTAAAACTACATCTAGATCTAGTGATAAATGTGCTTAAAAAAGACAAAGACAACAGCTACATAAAAAGTTTGATTTGGGCACTTGCGACCTATATACTATAAGATGTAGCAGATGGTTTATTTACTAAGTCTTATTTTCATTTTTACAGGAGAGCAGAGAGCAGACGGGACATCGACGCAAGAATCTTCACTCAAGAACCAAAGGAATAGTCAATATATATGAACCAGCAACATCATGGTAAGCAAGCAAATAATATTTTTAATTTCAAGGTGTTTATCCATTTAGACATATAGTCGGGGTAGAAATATACCGTGATAAGTACCTGCATTAAAACTACATCTAGATCTAGTGATAAATGTGCTTAAAAAAGACAAAGACAACAGCTACATAAAAAGTTTGATTTGGGCACTTGCGACCTATATACTATAAGATGTAGCAGATGGTTTATTTACTAAGTCTTATTTTCATTTTTACAGGAGAGCAGAGAGCAGACGGGACATCGACGCAAGAATCTTCACTCAAGAACCAAAGGAATAGTCAATATATATGAACCAGCAACATCATGGTAAGCAAGCAAATAATATTTTTAATTTCAAGGTGTTTATCCATTTAGACATATAGTCGGGGTAGAAATATACCGTGATAAGTACCTGCATTAAAACTACATCTAGATCTAGTGATAAATGTGCTTAAAAAAGACAAAGACAACAGCTACATAAAAAGTTTGATTTGGGCACTTGCAACCTATATACTATAAGATGTAGCAGATGGTTTATTTACTAAGTCTTATTTTCATTTTTACAGGAGAGCAGAGAGCAGTGGGGAAAACTATAATGAAGACCCAGGCAACCGGGGCAATAGATTAATCCCTAAAGTGTGCATTTAAGGATTAATCTGATGGCCCTGTTACCAACATCAACAAACCACATCCAAAGAAAAGCAAATTTAATAAAAGTAAAATTAATGTCTTTAATATTAAGCCATACTAACATTTGTGCTCATGAATGAATTCCCTCAGCAGAACCCGAACCCGCGACCGCTGGTATAGCCAGTAGCGTCACTACAAACTGAGTCGAACTTGTCATTATGCAAATGAAACTTAAATATTTTTTTTGTGTCCTTTATGCTATAAATATATTAAAGACTGGACCTCGCTCGGGTCCGTCATCATATCGTTTATATGTTAATTTATGTGTTTACCTTGTTAACCTACTGTCATCATCCCAAATTTTCATTTAATCTGTCCAGTTGTTTTCGAGTGATTTGGTCACAGACAGACAAATTGTAAAAAATTCGTCCTCTGTATTGTTAAATTGATTAACAAAATATTTAATTTATAGATATTATATAAGTTAGAATTTTATTAAATGTATAGATAGATACATTTTACTCATTGTTTCTGTTATTTTTTAATTAGATGTATAAATATTATTTTTGTTTTAGTTGTTTATTTTTCTTTTTCTTGTCTTCTGCTTCTTATTTTTTTTGTTATATGTGAAAACTTGATTGGTTTATGTAATGTCTTGTTATTATTTATTTAATATCGTGCTATTTGTGGCATGTGTCGGAGATGATGGAACTGCGAAATATGCTAGGGCGTCCCCCAAAAGCGACGGAAGAGCAAAACAGCAAGGCACCGTGACAATGTCCGAACTACGTATTGCTAGCTGGAACATTGGCACGATGACAGGACGCAGCGCTGAATTAAGCGCCATCTTAGAACGACGTCGCATCAACATCTGTTGTGTGCAAGAGACAAAATGGAAGGGTGCAAAATCACGACGAATCGGGAAGGGCTTTAAACTCATATACTACGGTACTGAAAATGGGAAAAATGGGGTCGGGATTATTCTAGATCAACATCTGAGCCAAAAGGTAATAGAAATAAATAGAGCGAGTGACCGCATCATATCTGTAAAACTAGCCTTGGAGAACCAAACCTGCCTCAATATTGTTTGTGTCTACGCGCCCCAGGTCGGCTGCCCTGAAACAGAGAAACAAGACTTCTGGGAAGAACTGTGTACACACATGAATGCTATACCTGTGACTGAGCAACGAATTATCTGCGGAGATCTTAATGGGCATGTGGGCAGTGGCGTAGATAGGTTTGAGGGTCATCATGGGGGTTTTGGGTATGGAACACGAAACAAAAAAGGAACCACAATATTGGAATTTGCAGCGTCTCTAAATCTAGCAATAGTAAACACATTTTTTCAAAAGAAAGAGGAACACCTCATTACTTATAAAAGTGGGAAATCCAAAACACAAATCGACTATATAATGACAGATAGAAAGAATCTCAAACATATTAAAGATTGTAAAGTTATTCCAGGCGAACCTTTAACATCACAACATAGATTACTATTAGCAGCTTTTAAACTCAAACGACAAATTAAATATAAAATACCAAGAATAGATAGGATTAAATGGCAGGAACTTAATTCGGAAAAGGGAAGCAACTTCAAGAATTAAGTCCTAGAGTACTTGAGCAACGACTTCTCATCAGACGACTCTCCTACAATAATCTGGTCTAAATTTCAGGATGCCTGTATTGCTCAAGCGAAATCTACACTGGGTATCTCCAAGGGTCCCCTGCATAACGAGAAAGATGCCAAATGGTGGAATAACAACACCAAAGCTACAGTGTCTGAAAAGAAACGCCTGTTCAAGAAATGGCAAGAGAGTGGCTCAGAGGAGGATAAGGTAGAGTACAAACAGGCTAAAAAGATTGCAAGAAGATCAGTTGCAATTGAGAAGGAACATGCAGACCTTGACCTTTATCGGCAACTAGAACTAGCTTCGGACACACAGATATATAGAATAGCGAAGCACAGGCATAATAGCACTAAGGACTTTAGGATTACAAAGTACATCAAAAACAGCAAAGGCATGCTGCTAACATCTGATAAAGATATTTGTAAAAGGTGGTACGAGTATTACCATACATTGCTCAATGAGGAGTTCCCCAGACAGGCTGAAATCGAAGAACCAATAACACAAGGACCCGTAAATCAAATCACCATAACGGAAGTCGAAAAGGCTATTCTGAAAATGAAAAATCACAAAGCCTGCGGGCCTGATGACATTCCAGCTGAACTGTGGAAGTCCTTGACGGTGGACGGGAAAATATGGCTAACTAATTTGTTTAATAACATCTTAACAGCTGAAAAAATGCCAGATGCTTGGAGAAAAAGCATACTTGTCCCCTTTTACAAAAATAAGGGAGACGTTAGAGAGTGCGGGAACTTCCGGGGATAAAACTCACTTCACACACCCTTAAAATCTGGGAACGAGTGCTCAGTGAACGCCTAGCATCTTTAATCTCCCTAACGGAAAACCAGTTTGGTTTCACAGCGGGAAAGGGAACCATGGATGCAATCCATGCTGTAAGACTGGTAATGGAAAAAGCTAAAGAAAACGACCAAAACCTGTGGATGGTATTTATAGACCTAGAAAAAGCTTTTGACAGAGTACCAAGGACTGTGATATGGCAGGCACTTAGGGCGCATAACATACCTGAACACTATATACGCCTCATTAAGGACATATACAACAACGTCCAAGCCTGCGTCAGGAGCTCGGCAGGTCTATCTGACAGCTTTGACATAAAAGTTGGCGTTCATCAAGGCAGTGCACTGAGCCCTCTGCTATTTAATGTAGTCATGAACTATCTGACGGCAAAAATTCAAAAACCAACTCCGTGGAATCTGTTGTTTTCTTCTTTCTTATATCTGACAGTGTGCTGAAGCTACAGGAAGACTTAGAGAAATGGAGAGAGTCGCTGGAACAAAATGGCTTACGCATTAGCAGGACAAAAACCGAGTATATGTTCTGTAACTTCAACCTCAGCGCTTCACTTGACTCGGGCATCACACTGGGTGGCACGGCCATCCCTAGAGTTAAAACATTCAAGTATCTAGGATCCGTTCTTTCCGAAGATGGTTCTATTGAAGCGGACATAACACAAAGAATGACATCGGGATGGACGAAGTGGCGCACTCTCACAGGGGTACTATGTGACGCTAAAATGCCAATAAAAACTAAAGGCAAGGTGTATAAAACGGCAGTACGACCAACACTACTGTACGGCAGCGAGGTTTGGGCAACCAAAAAGATTCATGAACAGAAGCTACACACCACTGAAATGCGTATGCTAAGATGGGCGGGAGGAGTAACACTTAAAGACAAAGTACGTAACGAATATATAAGAGGAAGTTTTAAAGTTGCACCCATAACCGACAAAATATTAGAATCAAGGCTCAGATGGTATGGACACGTAATGCGTAGGCCCAACGATTACGTGGTGAAAAAGTGCCTTTCCATTGCAACAAGAAAGAGGGGCAGGGGAAGACCCCAAGCTACTTGGATGACGACTGTCCAGAGGGACTTGAAATGCCTCGGCCTCACCGATGAGGACGCGAACACACGATCTACGTGGCGTCGCATGATAAGGAAAGCTGACCCCGCGTAACGGGATAAGGCGAGGACAAAGAAGAAAGAAGAAGTGCTATTTGTGGCATATGCCATAATACAGTTCTCCTAGTACGGCAATAGAGACTACCAGACGGCAGACTTTCTATGTTGACAAAAATATAAAATCAGTAATGATTGTTATGTATATATATATAATATGTTTGTTTCTGTATTTAATATTGTTTACTGTAAATATTTTTTGGTCATAAAATATTATAATTACCATTATTAGCAGGTGTAAAACTAGTGAAATGATGGTAAAGCATTTCCAACTTTGTAAAGTCTACTACTAAGTTAAGTTAGTTGAAGGACGATGTCTATATTTGAATTTTATTGTTATAAGAATTATTAATGTTCAAATAAATTATAATACATCATATATTTTTTTTATTTTTACCCTTTGCGCCTAAGTAAAAATATTAATGAACAATAATATGAATATATATATATATATATATATATATATATATATATATATATATATATATATATATATATAGCTACGTATATACCTATATAGAAAGTTTCACACTATACAATAGAGATGGCGCTTTTTAAGCATTACCAGCTTCGACGACGAGTTGTACCTCTATTTATATATGTAGCAATATACTCTATGATTTAGTCTCAGAGTTACGTTACAGACTACAGTGTAGTCTCACTAGTCTGCTGCAAGAAGCAACAAATTCATTTTTCAAATTATTTTGTATTACGAGGAAGTCTGTACATCTTTTATAGAGAGTAGTTTTATCGCAGTGGAGTTATCTTTAATAAAATCCCTTTTAAATTAGCATAGTTTTATTAATTTCAATTTACAATTATATTAACACAACCTGACACATTTATTTTTTACCGACATCTGTCTAAATTATATTCTTATATTTAAATTTTATTGCAAGACAGTATTCTCTATGACACTCCCCCTCACGAAGATCTTGGGGTGTCACCTCAGTATGAACGACGGTCTATGGTACATGCTGCCCAATCAGCATCAGCCATTCCTACTAATGCACTTCCTGTTTTACTGTACCTGATGCTAACATTCTTCGTGCCTTTTAAATAACGCTAAACCCTTTTTGCTGCTTGCCAATGCGTTTTTCCAAAACAAGTATTATATTGGCTCAAATAACTTACTGTAAACATAATAACTGGTCTCGTAGCTATAGCCAGATACATCAAAGAACCAATCAATGCCTGGTATGGTATGTTCTCCATTTCTTCTTCTTTTTGTGCTCTTTCCAATTTTAAACTCGTTTATATCGGCGTTGAAACCGGCTTACATTCGCCCATGTTAAATTTTTCTATTAAGTTTTCAATATAACTTGTCTGTGACAACCTCATTTCTCCCCCTAAATGGGTGAATAGTATGCCAAGGCAATGATGTAGCGAACCCATATCTCTTAATTGAAAAGCTTTTTGTAATTTCATTTTGACCTCTTTTAACAAATTTTCTGATTTATATGCCAGTATTAAATCATCCACATAAATGTTTGCTAATAGCTTTTCACCTTCTTTTTCTAAAATATATAAGCAAGGATCTGCTGTAGAGTTCTTAAATCCGATTTCCATCAATTTATTATGTAACTTCAAGAACCATTGTCGTCCTGCTTGTTTCAACCCATAAATGGCTTTATTTAATTTACATATCCCATTATTTTTATATCTATTTATATCTAATAGCATTTCTTTTGTTTTTCTTATTAATTCTTTATCTTTTCCATTTGCTATTATCATTTTTAAGTATTTATCCAAATTTTTCGGCATCTTCATGTAAATTTGTTCGTCTATATCGCCGTTTAAAAATGCAGTACACACATCTAGTTGGGATAACTTCATGTCATTTTCAATCGCATGTGCAATGAGTAGCCTAATAGTACTCATTTTTGCAACAGGTGCAAATGTTTCTGTGTAATCAATACCTTCTTTCTGATTAAATCCACGCGCTACAAGTCGTGCCTTTCGTCTATCTATTTCTCCTAGTGCATTATATTTATATTTCAAAATCATTTTATTATCTATTAAATTTTTGCTTTCGTTCTTGTGTACAACTGTCCAAGTATTGTTTTTAAGATGAGATTCTATCTCGTTTATTATTGCATCTTCCCATTCATCACTGTTTTCATCTATTTCACAGAGGAATGATTGCTCAGCATCCATCTCATAATCTTGATGCCATGCTGGTGGTTTTCTCTGTCTTTTTATACTATTAGTCGTTGCTTCGACTTCATTATCTGTGCACATGTCATTATTTATTTCGTCTATTTCTGTAGTTGCATCTAGGAATAATTCATCATTGTTAAATTCATGTCACTCAATCATTCACTCATTTCATTCACTTTGCAAATATATTATTTTATTTTTCGTAAATCGTTCAGCCTCGTTTTTAAATTTTATAAATTTTGATAGGGGTTCATCTTTAGTTTTCATTGTATATACTCGTGTATATCTCGAATCATCATCTGTGAATGTGATGAAATATTTTGAACCTCCCTTAGATGGCTGTCTCATGGGACCACATACATCAGTATGTACAATTTCTAATCTATGATTTGTCCGTTGCTCTTTTTTACATGTATTAAACGGCACTTTTTTTGCCTTACCTTTGGCACAGACTACACAATCTCTAACTGTATCAGATTTATTAAATTCTAAGCCTTCCATACTTTTCTTATCAAGAGCTATTCTCATTTGCCTCTCATTAAGGTGTGCTAGTTTTCTATGCCATAGTTGCACTTTATTTGTTCCAGAATAGTTGGATTTCTCTTCTAAATTTTCTTTAACGTAGTATAAACCATCTTCATTTCTTTCTGCTTTTAACTGAATTTGATCATTTCGCATTACGGTTGCTTGTTGCTTCTTAAATAAAACTGTTGCACCTTTATCTGTCATTTTTCCTACTGACATAAGATTTGTAGTCAGCGACGGTACATACAAGGCTTCAGTCAGTTGTAGACCAGGTATTTCCTTTATGTTCAGTTTCACTGAACCTCGACCTTCAATTTGTGCTGTACAGTTCTCTGAAGCTAACCTTATAGTTTTATGGTCTTCTTTTTCTACATTATGGAACCTTTCCAATTCATGACTCATATGTGACGTGCATCCACTATCAAGACACCAATTTCTGGCTTTTTCTTTATTATTATTAGCATTTAGACATGTTTCTATGCAATAATTCGCACTGCTTTTAGTTTTGTTCACTTTTGACCAGCATTCATTCGCTTTATGCCCCTTTTTATGACATTTGTAGCATTCAATAATATATTTCTTATTTTTTCTTTGCTGCTTGCTGTAAAGTACCTCTTGTTCTGAGTTCCCATCAGTTGTAGTAGCCATATTTTTTCGTGCTTCAGCTTCCTCAATGATTTTTATTTTCAGGCTATCTGGATTTGGTAAATCATCTCTAGATTCTATGGCTATGCGAAAACTTTCAAAAGATTGTGGTAAACTATATTAAGCAGCATTATACTTAATAAATCTTTATTAATTATTATATCCATGTCGGCTAGTTTATCGATAATATCCATAAATTTGTTTAAATGATCAACTATGCTGTCATCGTCTTTCATTTTTCTTAATATCAACTCTTTTAACAGGGTTACTTTTCTAGCGGGACCTTTACTATTATATATATTTTCAAGCGTATCCCAGACTTCTTTACTTGTTTGACAATTTTTTACTTGTTTTAGTTCGCTTGGAGATATTATAAGAAATAATTCAGCTAATGCTAACTCATCTTTTTCTATATATTTGCTCAGTTCGTCGCCTTCGCTTATTGGTTTCTTAATTTTATTAGAAACATAGTTCCAACAACAGAGCTTTTGCATGAATTCTCCATGTATCGTAATTTTCTCTTTTTAATGGCTCTATGTGCACATGATGGCTCATCTTTCTCTTTTTCAATATACGATTTCTCGCGTTTACGCGCTGCCCATAACCTTTTATAGAGAGTAGTTTTATCGCAGTGGAGTTATCTTTAATAAAATCCCTTTTAAATAAGCATAGTTTTATTTATTTCAATTTACAATTTTATTAACACAACCTGACACATTTATTTTTTACCGACATCTGTCTAAATTATCTTTATATATATAATTCTTCTGTGAGTGTGTATGTCACTGAACTTCTCTCAAACGACTGGACCGATTTTGATGAAATTTTTTGTGTGTGTTCAAGGGGATCTGGGAATGGTTTAGATTCACAATTTGAATAATAATTTTCATCAAAAAAATTATTAAAAAAAGTTTGAAATTTTCAAATTAATGACGTGTAGACAGGACAACGTCTGTCGGGTCCGCTAGTATTCTTATATTTAAATTTTATTGCAAGACAGTATTCTCTATGACAACATCTTAAACAACTAATCTGCAGTCTATGCCCAATGGTTTATATTTTTTATGTATGTAGCAATATACTTGATGTTTTTTATTAAATTTTGAGCACAGAATAAAAGAAGAGGAAGACTTATTAATTTAGACAGCAATCAAAACTCAAAAGTCAAAACTCAGGTCTGTGCAGGGTAGCCAACTTAAGAGTTTTCCTCCCAAATGTAGGGGGAAAAATGTTTAGGGGTTTTTATAAAGGGAAAACAATAATTTTGGGCCTTCTTTTGGGCTTTATTTCTTTAATAGCATGACTTAAATAGAAATAACTTTAACAATTCTTTTTATTTGTAAATAAAAGTATTTTTTAAATAAATAACTTTACAAATATATTATACATTTAAATGATTTAAATGATCGAACTTTTTAATGAGGTAACTATTTTAATTTTTGAATTATTTTATAATAAATATGAGATCTAGTGGTAAACTGCATAACTGGTAACATTTCTGAGTTTGTGCCATGGATGTCATATAAAAGTTTGTGCTGGTAACCAGTGTAGCCAACTTAGGGGCTTTCCCCTCCAATTTAAAGGTGAAAAAATGGCACAGGGGATTTTAAGGGGACAAAAATATTTAGGGTCTTTGTTTAGGGGTTTAAAAAGTTTCGGTTAAAGACTTGGTAAAATTATTTCCCTTTTTTTTAATATTTTCTAAGTTATCTATGGAATTTATTATTATTTCTAAATGTTTATATGTAATAACCATAAATAAGTTTTTTACGCTACTTGTAATCATTTAAAATAAAATAAAAAAATATTTAAAAATTTTAAAAGATAAAATTAGATAAATCATAAAAACCTTTCAAATTGTCGCTCATGGGGTTTTAGGGGTGTTTGAAATTACTTTTAGGGGGATAAAATTTCAAGTGTTGGAAGCACTGGCCGTCTCAGAACTTCACACAAAGGTCAAAGAATATAGTTATAGACCATAGAGTATATTGTTACATATATAAATTATAGACTTCACAGTTCACAGTTCAGAAGTGAAAACCGTGTGGATTGTGGAACCAATATTAATTTCTAATTTCTTTATTATATTACGAATTTAGAAAATGACAGCGTTTGAGGAATTCGGTGTTCTTCCCGAATTGGGGAAAGCTATAGATGAAATGGATTGGACTCTTCCAACTGACGTACAGGCAGAAGCTATTCCATTAATATTAGGTGGTGGAGATGTGCTTATGGCAGCAGAAACCGGTAGTGGAAAGACTGGTGCTTTTTGCTTGCCGATATTACAAATAGTATGGGAAACGTTAAAAGATATTCAGGAAGGAAAAACCAGTAAAGTAATTCAGCAGAGTTCAACAGAATGGACGATGTCTTTTTTCGATCGTACTGATGCTTTAGCTGTTACTCCTGATGGTTTGCGATGCCAATCTAGGGATCCAACTGGATGGCATGGTTGCAGAGCCACCAAAGGAGTGCACACTAAAGGTGCTTATTACTACGAAAGTACTGTTACCGATGAAGGATTATGTCGTGTTGGCTGGTCTTCACAAGCGGTAAGTTATTCTTCATTAAAAAAAATATAATTCTATCAAATTTTAACACCTCCAGGTAAATTTTTAAGAAATTCATTGAATTTCTAAAAAAATCTATTGTTAACCCTAACGCCGGCGTGTCCGCGGTCGTGGAGGGATTAAATTTTATTTTTGTAATTATTGTTATTGCATCATATTATAAAATATTTAATACACACAGGCAAGGTTGGATCTCGGCACAGATAGACTTGGTTATGGATTTGGGGGCACAGGGAAAAAATCGAATTCTAAGCAATTTGATGACTATGGTAGTGCTTATGGGAGAAATGATGTTATTGGTAAGATATTTCAGTGTGTTTTATAGTGAACTATATTTATTTATTATATTCTTTGAAATATTTGACTTCTTCATAGTAAAATAACTTTTACAGGATGTATGTTAAACTTAAATAGTGGTGAAATTCGTTATACCAAGAATGGTGAAGACTTAGGTGTAGCCTTTAAGCTAGACCAATCTCGTCGTGCTGACTGCTATTTTCCAGCTGTTGTTCTTAAAAATGCTGAAATGAGTTTCAACTTCGGAGCAGCACCTTTTAAGGTATGCACATATTTCAGCAATAAGTTAAGTAATGTTTTTTTTGTTTTTACATTTTTAGCATAAAAATAATTATAAGTATGGTAAACATATAGTAGTTTTTTTTTTATATCTCAACATTGTTATATTTTCACAGTACCCTCCAGCAGCACCATATGTGGCAATTAGCCAAGCACCGAAAGAGTATGTGAAGCAAAATGTAGTATCCAATGTGGCTGCAACTGGAGCTAAAGTTGTTAATAACGCACCGCAAGCTATAATTATTGAGGTATGTTATATGATAAATTAAACTAATTTTATAATTTTAGTGTTGTAAGTATTATTTATCTGTGTTGCTCAGAATTTTTAAGATTAGATAATTTGAGTATTTTACAATTTTAGCCCTCCAGGGAATTAGCAGAACAAACATGTACGCAAATTGCTTTGTTCAAAAAACATTTGAATAATCCTAAAGTGAATGAATTATTGGTCGTAGGAGGTATTAATATTAAGGATCAGATTAACCAACTGAACTCTGGAGTCGATATTGTGGTTGGTACTCCAGGTCGACTTGAGGATTTAATACAAGGAGGTAATTAATAAATTATATAAAATATTGTATTGAGCCCTTTTTAACGTCCTACAGCTGGGCATGGGCCTCCCTTCAATACGGAGGGGATCAGACAGTCCACCATGCTGGTCAAGTGCGGGTTGGCTGACTGCACATTACTCGAAAACTTGTAAGGTTCTCTCAGACATGCAGGTTTCATCACAATGTTTTCCTTCACCATAAAACAAGTGATAATCATGTTGGAAATGATTCGCACATGAAAATATTAGAGTGGTGAGACCTGGGATTTGAACTTGCTTCACTTGGTTTCCCAAGCGAGCGCGTTATCACTGGGTTACAACTAGAGATAGGCCGACTATGAGTCTGGTCGACTAGCCGACTAGCCGACTAGTTGGTTGGAAAAAGGCAGACAGATGATCCCTTGCAAAATAAAAATAAAACAAAAGCTAAAACAGTTTGTATACTGAAAGTTCCTATTTAATTGAAATTATGTCATGTCATACTTTCTCAGATTTACGCGAATACTTGACATTTTAAATAAAGGCATCTTTTCGGATTTTTTCGCGGATTTATTTTGATTTTTGGTTCCCGACGTTTCGAATGTTCTACAGCAATCATAGTCACAAGAGAGACTAAGGTTTTCGACGTCTCAAAGGCAATATATAGTTGTTACAGACAATGCCTACTGCCTACCCACAAAATTAAAAATGAAATTTAATAAAAATAATTATTTTCATAAATAATAATAATCTCCCTTTTTTTAGAATAGTAATATGGATAAAGTAATGGTCGACTAGTCGCCGAATATTAATATGGCCGGATAGTCTGCTTTCCTGACTGGTCAACCCCTGATCGGTACATCTCTAGTTACAACTGTAGTTTAGATTATTATAATAATAAAATGACTGATAGAATGTTATGTTACTAGAAAAAATATTTTGAGAATGTAGTAGTTTTAACTTTTATTTAATACTAGCATTGCCCGCGGCTCCGCCCGCGTTCAGATGACCAAAAACTAAATTCTTAGGTGTTACATATTAGTATACTCTTACATTGCAGTTTTTGTATTTTTCCTCAGAAATAAGATATTTTCCCGCGGTAAAAAGTATCCTAGGATCGCGCGCTACATCGCCCGGTTTATATAGCTTGAGCAGGCGGTCGAGCGATGCGGGGCAGAGGGGATGGACTCGCCGTAGGCATCTCAATGCTCGCCAAGCATTAAAAATGTTTCGCTACTAATTACTTCTAACAACGATATCTCAAAAACTATTCATCTGATTGATTTAGTGTAAAGAGCAATTTTAATCTGCATTAAATGACTAAGCTAACTAAAATATTCATTTGGATAAGGATTAATACCGAACTAAAGAAAATAACTTTGAAAATAACGTAATGTTTTTAATTAAAAATGTTAACATAAAAGTGGTTATTGTAAGTCAACCGTAAGAGATAGAGATATGCTATCGCGGACTTTTTTGTAGAATTTTTATAGATTTTGAATTCTCTAGTACATTACTTAACTGTATCTTTGCTAGTTTACGCGGCGTTCGCGTGGAAAGTTCCCATTTGGCGAGATTTTTTGCGACCTCTTCAACATTTGTCGCCGTATTTCAGCTAATTTACATAAAAGCATAATAATTTATATACCTAAACCTTCCTCAAGAATTACTCTTTCTATTGTTGAAAACCGTATAAAAATCCGTTCAGTAGTTTTCGAGTTTATCGCGTACAGACAGACAGGAGGACAGACAGGAGGACAGAAAGACGCGGCCGGGGGACTTATTTTTATAATAAGTATAGATATTATATAAGATTTGATTAAAAACAACACCTCAAAGGCTTAAATACATTTGTTTTAAATATACTAAAAGGCTTATTTTTTAAATCCTAATGGTTGGCTCCTTCTAAATATAAGTTATTAGTAATTTACATTTCTTGGTTTTCAATATGTAATTAATTTAAAATTTACTTTTGCAGGATATCTCGCATTGACTCACTGTCGATTCTTTGTTCTGGATGAGGCTGATGGTCTCCTTAAAGCTGGCTGTGGAGAATTAATTGAGAGATTACATAGACAAATTCCAAAAATTACATCAGATGGTCGACGACTACAGATGGTTGTTTGCTCTGCCACTTTACATGCTTTTGAAGTTAAGAAAATGGCAGTGAGTATGATGATTGATTGATTATGTGGTCTAGTTATGATAGAGACAACGGTCAAGTTTTACATTGAATATTTTTCATAAAAAGACACATCAGCTGGTGCATAAAAAAGTAATCTTACTGAAGTGAAACAACGCTAAACTAAAAGAATTATTGTGAAAATTATAGTTTAGGTTTAACTTGTTTTAAAAATCCCTTGGAGTATAAAGCACTTTCTGTCAATTCCTATAGTATTCATGTTCACAGACTATGCCTACCTAAAAAAAGACTTAAGATACCTACTGCTTTTAAGAATACAATGTTTATTTGGAAATTTATATAAATATAAGTATTTTTCAATGTTTGTCAGGAAAAATTAATGCATTTTCCAACATGGGTGGACTTGAAAGGTGAAGATGCGGTGCCCGAAACTGTGCACCACGTCGTGGTCAATGTAGACCCACAAAAGGACCGCAACTGGGAAACTCTGCGCAAGTAAATGTCTTTATATTTATCCTGTGAAATAGATTGTTTAATTTTATAAAAGCGAAAAGAAAAAGAAAACAGATTAATTTCTCATGAAATTTAATACATGGAATTAAATAAAGTACTAATAAGTACATATTATTTTAAAACAGAAAATTATTGATTTAAATAATAAAAAAATACCAGTCATTTAAGCACAGTACTTATTGGGGAGTCTTCCCAATATACTTAATTTCTCCTACTATGCATAAATCGTCAAAAAAATTAAAGTAGCACATAAAAATGGGTGTTCCATATATAATTGTATAACTGCTTGGTGTTACATAACTTTTTGTTTGTTTACATTTTGTTATATATAGTTGTGTACTTCTAAGTTATTTATTTTAGGCAGATTACTACAGACGGCGTCCACTCTAAGGATAATATCCGCAGCGGAAACACCACCCCAGAGACTTTATCTGAAGCTGTGAAGATACTTAAAGGAGAATACTGTGTGAGAGCCATCCGAGAGCACAAGATGGACAGGTCAGATTTTGTTGTTTGATATTAGCAGCGTTTTACCTACCAATAAAACGCATAGTAATTTACTTACCTTATTCGAAGCTTACGTATTGAGATAGGCATTACCGTTTCCGCCGTTTATATATCTATCCTTGTCTATCCGTCTACTGTCTCGCTCTCTACCGCACCACCTGGCAGCAGAGTGGGGATCGGTGTGAGCGATTCCCACTCCTAAAATTACTTCTTCATTGAGTCGAAATACACCAGGCAGTTATTCAAAGTTAAGCTTTGAATAAGGTAAGTAAATTAATATGCGTTTTATTGGTAGGTAAAACGCTGCTATTAATTTGACTTGACCGTTATTCGAAGCTTACGTATTGAGATAGGCATTACTGTTTCCGCCGTTTATATATCTATCCTTGTCTATCCGTCTACTGTCTCGCTCTCTACCGCACCACCTGGCAGCAGAGTGGGGATCGGTGTGAGCGATTCCCACTCCTAAAATTACTTCTTCATTGAGTCGAAATACACCAGGCAGTTATTCAAAGTTAAGCTTTGAATAAGGTAAGTAAATTAATATGCGTTTTATTGGTAGGTAAAACGCTGCTATTAATTTGACTTGACCGTTATTCGAAGCTTACGTATTGAGACTTGTTTGTTATCGCCTGGTGGTGCAAGCGTAGGAGACGGACGCCAATGTGATGAAATAAACTCTGCTGTATGTAATTGAAACACTGAGATGATATTTTTACCAAGACCAAAATAAACACTTAATGCAGTGCTTTTCCAAAGTCCTTTTTCAAATAAAATATAAATTATATTGTAGATAACACATAACTCAAGAAGGTATTAATACAACATGGGAGACATCTCCCTGGCCGATTACGGCCTCGGTTGCCAATGTTTCAGAAACCGTCTGCCCCCGTGATGTTATGGTTTAAAAGTATGTTCACTTAACATGACCAAGTTCATTCTTACTTTCACTCTCACAGTCCAGTGATCAGGCCCGAAGCCGAGACCCTAGACTGTTAGACCTTCAGAAAAACTAATATTTACATTACTATGCGCGACCCGATACTCGAACGAGAACTTTCGGATATATAGATCGACGTATGTTAATTTCAATAATTACCATTAACAAATAATGTGTTTGAAAATTCCAATTTTAGTTAATAATAAATTCTTCTGAAAACACACACACATTAGTTAGCTTTCTATTCCTCTTCATTATTTATAAATAGTGCGCCCCATTTTATACCATTTCTTTAATAACTCAGAAGCCCATTGGTTTGGGAAACTTAATGCGAGTTCAAACTTCAAACCCTCATCATGCACTTTTGTCCCTTTAGATGTTTGTATAAAGCCAACTCCTTACGTATATAAAAAATAAATAAATCAAATGCAACAACGCTTAAGACTTGATAATGGCTTTGGAAGTGCCTATATTTATAGATAGATTCAAGAGAAGAGATGATAACTATGGTAGGGAAAGGTCGACTTCGCACGATACTAACATATGTTGTAGGTAAACAAATAATAATAGGCCAGTAATAATACTAGGCTGTAAAAAATAACAAGACAGATCTAGTTTCATTTAAAGAAAGCTCAGCTAAACGAGTCATTGATTCGCCAAAGTGACTCTCATTCAAATTAAAATTCTAATAATATTATTCAATTTTAGAATAATACTTTCTTAAATTTACACAAATATTAGCAATCCGAAAAGATAAATATTTAATTTAGAATAATTACAACGCCTAACGTACATCCTTTCCATAAGTGTGTCAAAAATACTATAACGGAAATATACTGTTAAAAATGTTTGCATACATATTGGTGTAAAATTTATGATTTTTTAATCATGACATTACGTATACGCATCTGTGTACGTTTAACCTCGATGATAAATTTATGATTTACGTAGAAGAAGCTACGTATGATGTACACGGATGCACATCACAGGATATTTACACATATGACAATAAATCGAGAAGACTTGTTAGGCACGAGTACTATAATATAAATTTTAAAACAATGTCACTAAGACTCATCAAATATACTCCATAGCTTTTATATAGTATGGATCGGTCATTAGGTAGTCTGACATTTGGTAAAATCCATAACCAAGCAATGGACCAATTTCATTCAATTAAATTATCTTGTTAGTGGCTTCAAAAACGTGTCACTTAAGCAAAGATTACTTGCCAATGTCACGCAAAATTAAGGACAATTTTTATGATGATTACGTACCTCCTCAATTTGTGCGTATAATTCACATTTTTCAGAACTACCCTAGCTGTCAGACTGGGGTTTCATAATAATATGTCAAAACTTACAATTTTAGCGATGATCATAATACGTCATATCCGTTGTAGTTTATATATGTGATCCAAAATTAAAGATAAATTTTCACTGTAATGTGGTACATTTCAAGCCTTCTTTGAGACAATGTCATTTTCTTAATATATGCATTTGCCAGTGCAATATTTTAAGTTATATTCGATGCTTAACATTGACTCTTATCGTTTACTGAGAACTTTCAATAACCTTATTATAATTGAAAATTTTCAACGCCGTAGTTTACCAACATGTAATGTTTGAACGATTGCTAAGCTCTTTAAGGCTTAATTTGTAACAGACAACCTGTCGTTACAAGCACAGCAGGAATGCCTAAAATAGCAATTGCCCATGATGCCCCGAGTGGGAACATCAGTATAATATAAAATACAATAAGTTACATTTAATCAACGTAGTTCAGAACAGCCCGTAACGTATGTATTTCGTAAATGTACACTGGTGTTTCTTCTAATAATTTGCCTTGGCCAAAACCAATTGGATTTGGCTGTTCGACCACTGGAATAGAATATTATACTTTTTAACGTATTCAGCCGTTTTTAACGACTCACTGCTGGGCACAGGCCTCCCTTTAATAAGAGGGGGATCAGGCTATTGGCCACTACCCTTGCCCAGTGCGGGTTAGAATTTTGATAAACGGATATGCGATATCCATATGTTCAAAAATAATAATAATGTATAATATTTCTTATAATGCTCAAAAACCAATCCATTCACAGGTTTGGAGTTTATGTATTACATACATACCTAGAACTTATATCTTTTGAATCCGACGTGTATCTTCATAAAAGTGAACCAATCTTATCGAGACGATGCCTTCCCATACAATTATAGGCTCAGTAATATAGCGATTGTCCTAATACAGTGGATTTAACCAAACTATATCATGCAATTGACCATTCGGCGCATGACTCGAATTTTATGCTATGATATAACTTCAATTGATATCAAAACTGCACATTGAGCTCACTGCTATTTTTTTCTGAAGAAAATTAATATGTGACTCACATTCGGACAAGAATCTACAATCTGTAGAGATTGTTTCATGGAACATTATATGGTTTCATATTCTCAATCCCGCGAGGATTTATATTCATATTAAACTCACTGCCATTTTCTCTTGAAGAAAATTAATATGTGATCACACACTGACAAGAATCAACAATCTGTAGAGATTGTTTTATGGAACAAGTATGATGATAATAAATAAGGTAAATGTACTTACATGGTGTGAACCTTTACCTTTTAAATTTTTTTTTTGCGAATACTTTAAAAACTTACATAGAAACGTCTTCCTATAATGCTATGAGTTACTTGTATAGTCGGTGCGAGCCCAAGCCAGCACGACTGCACTCGACGGAAAACAAGACGCCAATGAAGAAGTAATTTTAGGAGTGGGAATCGCTCACACCGATCCCCACTCTGCTGCCAGGTGGTGCGGTAGAGAGCGAGACAGTAGACGGATAGACAAGGATAGATATATAAACGGCGGAAACAGTAATGCCTATCTCAATACGTAAGCTTCGAATAACGGTCAAGTCAAATTAATAATTATGTTATTAGAAGGATATATCTACAAAGAAAAAGGAATAAGTAATTATATATTTATTAAAGCTTGATTATTAGCCCACAACAAATAAAATTGCAATTTATGTAATTCATATAAAGGTAGTTTTACAATGCCATAAAGCAATAAAAAAAATTAAATTCGTGATTTTATTTATGAATCAATGGTTTATATCGTTTTTTTGTGGTTCCGTAATATCAAATAGAAAAAAAACAACAAAAAAAACCTTTTTTAATATCTCAGTAACATCATTAAGGCAATTTTGTCCGACTTCGGTTAAAATTACTATGATTGCAGGAACTATTTTATTAATGAAATTAAAATAGCGTATAGCACTAGGCGGTAACATAGCTTCCTATTAGTGAAATAATATTCAGAATCTTATCTCAAATTTCAGAGCATACCCCCTACACACAAACTTTACCTCGGTAATATTAGTGTACATTATCTATACTTAATGCTACAAATATTTAAGTGTGTTTGTTTGTCCTTCTTTCACGTCCAAACAGAGTGACGAATTGGCGTGATTGTACAGACAGTTGGAGAGCTGGAGAGTGACATAAGCTACTTTTTAATGTGTAAGATTATCTCATTCTCACAGAAAAAGATGTTATAGTACAACTCATCGTACCTATGTATATATATGTAATATTATTATAGTCTATTTATACCATTCTAACCATTAATAAGTACGTAACGATACGAACGGGACGAACCCGAGCAAAGCGAGAGTGAGTCGTTTGTTTATTATAATAATAGAATTTATTTACATTCCAATCCAGAGCAATAATCTTCTGCCGAACAAAGCTGGACTGCGATAACATGGAGCGCTACCTGAAGTCGTTCGGCAACGAGTTCTCGTGCGTGTGCCTGCACGGTGACCGCAAGCCCGCCGAGAGGAAGGCCAACCTCGACAAGTTCAAGCAGAGCCAGGTCAAGTTCCTCATATGCACGGACGTGGCGGCGCGCGGCATCGACATTTCTGGACTGCCTTTCAGTAAGCTTTTGTTAATTTTTACGACTCTTATATATTATGTAGGTACTAGATAATATGTAAGCGGCTTTTGAAATAATAGTAAAATAGTAAGTTAATCAGTTAATTAAAGAATATATATATTTGAAATGACTAATTTCTCCAAACCAACACTTTCCTATTGTTATATTAAAAGCAATAATTAATTAACTAATTATGTAGATTTATTATTCTTATTGATTTATATCATTATTTCACTTTATTTAATTGAATTACTACTTTAAAACTTAAAAAATCAAAGCGTTATAAAAAAATAAATTATGAAATCAACTTTAAACTACCCTTCTGAAAAGTAGGAAAAGTAAAGTTTTATACTTACTCAACTTTAGAACTTCTATATCATATAAGCTTACAAACATAAAAAAAATTAACAGCTGAATTGAGAACCTCCTTCTTTTTGAGGAAGTCAGTTGACAATATAAATTATATCTTATCTAACTAAATATAACATGCGAATTTGCTGCTAAAGAAACAAAACTATATATATATATATTAAAGTGGTGTTGTAGTGATCAACGTGACGCTGCCCGACGAGAAGTCCAACTACGTGCACCGCATCGGGCGCGTGGGGCGCGCCGAGCGCATGGGGCTCGCCATCAGCCTCGTGGCCACCGTGCCCGAGAAGGTAGACACTTGCTTATACTTACTTACTCTTACTTACTTTCGCTTACGCTTTGCTTGAAAGCCTTCCTAGGTACCTAGCAGCCTTATCTATATACTAAATTTTATCCAAATCTGTCCAGCTGTTTTAACGTCAAAGAGACAGACATACAAATTTTCGCATATGTAGTAGTCTGATTTGTCCCTACGTTTATTTCAAAACTCGCTTCTTTTGTTACTTATTATAATGTCATGAGATCTCAAAAGGAACAAAGAAAAATTAGTTTAAATAAATATTAATAGATGGCGTTATTATTATTGTGTTATTGTTATTCATGTAAAATAAGACATGAAAAAAACCCCCGAAAAGTTATATTCTGGTTTTATATAATACTCTTAAGAAAAGGAAAGTACATAGATAGTTTTTAATTTATTTAGAAATGTACGAGTCAAACATAAGTTACATAAAAATGTTTAAAGTTGCAGTTTATACTTTTTACGTAGTGCTATTTTATTAACGTTTTGTATATAGACTTCTCAGTGAAATGAAATGAGATGTTTTCCCACAGTATCCTATGCACATTATACCAAATTTTATTAAAATCTGTCCAGAGGTTTTCTCGTGATGCGTTACCAGACAGATTTTACAGATTCGGCATCTGTATCGATAATAATGACTCTCAATAAGGATTTTCTAAAAAATATTTAATTTACAGATTCGATTCAATTAGAATTTTATTGTATAAATGAAAAGATATTGGAATATCTAACGAAATCATCATAAGTATTGATAGTAAATTGTTTAGGTTATGCAATTAATTATCGTGCTGCAATAATTATAAACTTAAACACGTCACTTTAGACGCAAGTTCGTTTAATATTTGGCTTGATTGCAAACGTCAATAATCTGGGGGTTGCGTAATTTTGCACGAGTTTTATTATTTAAGAATATCTGCAAGCCTTTCGAAAATAAAAGTATTATTAATTGTTATTGGTTTGTAAACGAATATTTAGAAAGTGAAAACAAAATGTATATGATTAATAAGACTTTTATACTCATGAATGGTCTTTTAGTTTTTCCTTTTTAGTACAACATAAAGAGTGGTGAAACGTAAAGGCCCGAGCGCTAAATTTTAAAATTTTAGCATATTTACTATATTGCCTGCAAAGTGGTTTGAAAAAGAATGACATAAATTATGTATATGTGTAATATTAATAGGTATGGTATCACGGCGAGTGGTGCTCGTCTCGGGGACGCAACTGTTGGAACACCAACCTCATCGATGACAGGCCGAAGGGGTGCTGCATGTGGTATAACGAGCCACAGGTAATTTATACATGTTTTTATTAATAAATAAATACTAATATTGTTAACTTCATTAAAAAGTGCATGCATGCATGAAGACAGTCGATAATATAATCGTTTGTACATGTTGTAATAAACATTGGAAATAATGGAGTATTGATTAATTACTAATTATATTGAATTAACTTTAATAAAAATTCTCAAAAAAAAAGCTATTTTATTCCTAGATTCAAATAAAAATAAGATAGCGCTGTAATTATAATAAATTTCTAGTATCTGGCGGATATTGAAGATCATCTGAATATAACCATACAGCAAGTTGAAAACGATATGAAGGTGCCAAGCAACGAATTTGACGGTAAAGTCGTATACGGACAGAAGCGAAAACAAGTTGGCTCCGGTTACCAGGTATTTACTGCTTTGTTTATTTTTTTAAACTTATTTTGCCACATGATTTCGATTGTTTAATGTATTGATGATTGATTTTGTTCAACATCTATGAAGTGGCTAAATGATTTAAAATTGTGGCTTGAGCACTTGCTCACCTATAGCATTCCTTCAAAATAATTTTTATTTTACTAGCGGCTCACCTTCGCTTCGCTCGGGTTCGTTCCTAATGCAAAACAAATTATCCCACGGGAACCCTACATTTTTCCGGGATAATAGAAATCTACGTGCTATTCTAGAGTAGATCTATTATTGTGCCAAATTTCATCCAGATCTGTTCAGTCGTTCTGGCGTGATTGAGTAACAAATAAACCTCCGTCCATCTAAACTTTTGCATTTATATAGTAGTAAGATTTGACAAATATGAATTGGCTTGTAATGTAAGTCGTCACTTCAAGAAAAATGGTTTTCGTTTTAATAGGGTCGATTAGAATTTTTGACTCTTGTAAAATGATTCCAGGGTTGAAGTGCGTACCGGAGGAGAGATAGCTTTACTTTAAAATGGGTTAGTTATATTATCGATACATTTCTAGATGGGGTTGTGTTAGACCGGTTGACCATTAAGCAAAATAATATTCAATTTCGTCTGGGTTATATAGGGTTAAAGAATTTATTTCGCAAAAGAATTACAAAAAAATCACTTATATGAGAAACAATATTTTTTCTTTAATACATTAAATTTTATGCGCACTTTTACTATGTAAAAATGTAAAAGATTATTAGTTTACAGAAACAAAATAGTATAATATGCAATGATATAATAAAAAGAGGAAGAACATCATTGATTACATAAGTAACACTACAACTTATAATATAATTTATTAATTATATTTAGTATATTAGACAAACGAAGTGTTTAGCATTATTATTTTCTCAACAAACTATTTTTCTGCTTTAACTTGCATTGCCACCTCTACAATGTTCATGCTGTTAAATTTTCACAGGACCACGTGAGTCAGATGGCGCCAGTAGTCCGTTCCTTGCAGGAGTTGGAATCGCAAGCACAGTTGTATTACTTGAAGGCGAATCACAAAATCGCTGTAGCATAGACACAATAGTTATAGTAATATGGACTAATGCCATATTGTGTCAATAAATTAACCAGACTGAATGTATTTAATGTAATATTAAATTATGATAATGCTTGATTTTTTTATTTTGTACTAGCGACTCACACTCACTCCGCTCGGGTTGGTCTAGTTACGTTTTATGTTTAGCTCAGAGTCCTATATGTTGACCCGGATAAACAGCTTTCATCTTATAAAATTTCATCATATCTGTCTTGTGGTTTTCTCGTGATGCGGTCACAGACACAAAAATTCTAAAAACTAGATTTGACCTCTGTATTGATAATAATATTTATTTCAATAAGATTTTCCAATAAATATTGAATGTACAGATTTGACTCAAAACTTTATTAAATATATTGCGTGTGTGCAAATTTTACTATAAAAAAATAGGAAAATAAAACACTTAATATTTAAAGACATTTAAAATTCTTTAATCACTAATGTATATCGTAAGGGCAGTGCATTGAATAGCCCATTCAAAATAAATTAATGAATCTGAATAAAACTTATTCAAAATCTTAGTTTTACTTCATTATCATTAAACAGTTGCAAACTTAATTGTTACCATTTGAAAATACTTAAGAATTCAATTGATCTAATGCTATAATAGAAGATACGAGCATACTTTAGTTAAATTAGTATTCGAACTGAAATTTGAATATAAACATGATTTTAAACAATTATCTAATTAATATTATTTTTAATCTACAAAATATCGAAGTGCCATTTAACTTTTAAATTTTGTCTTCTAAAGCTTTGGTCACCCTGTAGGAAAAAAATATTTACTTTGGATTAAGCGTCATATAGATGCAATCTTGATAAAAAAACAGGCAACATTTCAAACGTTTCTATATTGAATTTTTTATTGACATTATTGTTAAATTGCCCACATTATTAGTTCAATTATTAAAAGTTCAACAGCAATGATAACCAATTATAATATAATATTTAATATCGCCACTCATTTTTGTTAAACAAAATGCAAAACAATTTCCAAAACTATTCTATGATTACATCATAGACCTAGAGAGTGGACAGAGTGTTTCTTTGCCAACCGTCAGCTAAAAATAGTGGAAAGGCGCGACAGACACAAAACAAATGTTTTGCAAGTCCTCTCTATAAATTGAAATACGGATAATGAAGACAAATATTTATAACCATATTACATTTCATTATAATATTATAATTTTAAATATATTTTTTTTCATTTCATTTATAATTCAAATTCAAATAAAAGGCTTTCTGTCTTTCAAGTGGTAAATTTTATGGGAATATTGCTCAGTCCATCCTCTACGTCTATGGATTACACCTAACCTAACATTTGAAATGTCAATACACAATAGTATTTAAGCAATTTTAAAAAGTTAAGTATAGGTTACTCTATATGTTACAATTGTCATCAAATTAATCTAAATTAGCCTTTGATGGGCAGTAATATTAAGGGTTAGGCGCTCACACATGTTAAATTGGGAATAGGAACTACAAAAAGCAATACTATTCATAGCTATAATGTTGCTGGATTTTATTCAAAATAACAGAAGATTGTGAACAGGAAGAGTGGAATTATGTATTTCGATGGAAATTTTAATTTGTGGTCTTAGTGGTGCTGTTTAAATGCTTGAAATTCAGTCTTAAAATGCCTAATTTTGAAGAGAGGAAGTAACTTCGATAATATTAAACGTACATTATTACATAAATTAATTTTTATATTATATAATTAAAGAAGCAGTATTACACGTAGGATTTTTAATCTAATATATTTAAATACATAAGTCATCCAATCGCACGTTCGATTAAAATGCTTATCATTTTAGGTCTATCAGTCGTTAAGTTTTTGGCTTTAATACAATGCGACTTTATACGAAAGTGTAGGAGATACAGTTTACTCGTTTATTTGGACACTTACAGGTAGTGAGGAGTTTTAACGACTGGCAAACCACAACGTTTCGTATATCTATCAACACTTATAACGAGCTATATAATATTAATAACTTCGTGATCATTCACACCGGCTGCAGTAAATTACTTTTAATTTCACATAAAAATAATATTACATCAAAATTGTTCTAGGATATTTTATGCGTACCGGGCCTGTATTAAAATTTATTTTTTTATAATTTATCTGTCTTTAGAAAGGACACCTGAATCTAAGTCAGTTAAATGTCGAGGAATAAACATTCGATATATTATAAAAAATGGCAAAATAATTTAACTCTCAGTATACAGGACATTGTACATAAATAACATAATTGAAATTTAAATACATTTGAACATATTAAAATAATTATATATTCTAAGGCCGGAAACGCATAGTTCTTTAACATACGTAAGAGTTGCAGCCTCTATCACACAACGCTTATTAAAATAAAATTGCTAACACAAGTCTTCGGTGGACTTGTATCCAATAAAGTGTTATTCAGGAAAATGCAAGGAGATCTATACTGCGTTCCTTATCAATTTCCACTTGTCAAACCAATTATCATTTGGACGATAGTGATTTTCTCTTATTATTATTTGTTAATTTTCTTAATAAAAAAGTAATCTAAAATCATTAGCATGATGACAGTCTACGAATATTCTCGCATATGTAAACACACTTTTTTTTATTAATAAATATAAAAAAATGGGTTGTAACTTAAATGAGATTAAAATTTGACAACAAATAAGTTTCAATTTTCTAGATAGCATTAATTTAGAAGTTCTTATTTGTACACATACATTGGAGAAAAAAAAACTCCAAGTCAAATATGCATCCGAATTCGATCTAGTTTCGGTGGGTGCTTGTACAAATTAATATGGCATATTATAATATTCATAATTATGACATAAAAAATGTTAGATTAATCCTCGTGTGAACTGAACACAACATGAAGTTTCCTGTAAGCAACACTTACAACCTCGTATTCATGAAAATTAAATAACTTAACATAATTGAATGTAATTAACTATTCGAGTTTGTGTTTTGACCATGATATGAATCAACTTTTTATAAATTTAAATCTCATTACTCTTAAATAATATTATGGACATTAAACATTAATATTACACAAATATAAATTGTCATCTATTGTAGACTATATTTTTATCAACCCTTTATTGCAATCAAAAAAGCCGTCAAGTATGAAACGGAAATTTTTTACCACTAATTCATATATACGCTATAAAAATACCTTGGAATATTGAAAAATATAGTTCGATTCATAAAAATAAACATTTAAATCAAAACTCTCAAAAAATTTGTATCAAAATTGTTACGAATCTACTACATAAATACGGCGTCACGCGCGTTTATTTGTACCTTTTTAATCAGTATGTCTGGCTTCATTATACGTATCTGATCTCTGCATACGTACAGTCTATGAGGAACTGTATGTTAATACAATACAGTAAATATAAGGAAACAATGAATCGATATTTAATCTATTGATATTTATTTTCTATTCTAATAATCTAATTCATGAGTACAATAACTTTGTCGATTCCATGTTATAATAAAAGTAGTCAAATAGGAAATATTGATGCCTTTACAGTGTTACGAACGTCAAGTAGCTATCTGCTTTTTTATCAACCTATAGTGCCACAAACATAATTGAGTTCCGACGCGGTGGCCAAAACTGGAACTACGTGTCTACCATTTTGAAATGTCATTTTATTGTTAATAGACCAGAGTCGATAATTTTTGAAACCAAAAAAAATAATAGTAGGATGCAACCCATTAGAAAAGGAGGGGAACATTATGAAAATGAAAGGAAAAATAATTTACGGGCGATCTGAGGTCGGGAAGGGGGTGGGGGGAGCTTTTAAGGGTAAAAAACGGTTTTTCTCGATTTCCGGCAAAACTAAAAGTCCTATCGAAAAAAATCAAATGGCAAAGTTGTAGGTAATAAAACGATCTAAAACTTTTGTTTTTACACTTTTTTCACATAACCTCAAAATTTATGTGAAAAAATCAAAAAACCAAGTTTTTGGTTTTTTATTTTTATCTTTTAGAAAAATGTTTTTGTTTTAACGAAATTTGGTGAAAACTTACCTTTTTATGTCCCAAATACGCTGTAATTTATTTGATTAAAAATATTTATTTTTTCACCTTATTTTGAATTAATATCGAAAAAACACCCCAATTTTCAATCGAAAATTCACCCGTCAAAATATCAGCTTTTTTCAAAAATTTGGTATGTTTTCAGTTCGTTGAAATGTCTACTTTCCGATGGTCAAAAAAAATATATGTTACTATAGTAAATCTTCTGAGAAAATGCAAAAAACAAAAAACCTTTTTTATTTCTTACACTTGCTTATCATCTGCCTTATTGCAGATGATACAAAGAGATTCATCCATACTGATAATCTGAAAAGACAAAATCGAATTAATAATGCCTTCACTATTTTATCGTGAGTGGTATACTCCCATGAAAAAAAAATTTTAAAGAAATAAATGTCAAAATATATAAAAAATATATTATGAATATATTAAAAATCTATACAATACATATTTTTTATATAATTATACATAAAAAATATGTATAGTATAGATTTTTAATATATTTATAATATATTTTTTATACATTTTGACATTTATTTCTTTAATATATTTTTTTCATGGGGGTATACTCACGATAAAATAGTGAAGGCATTATTAATTCGATTTTGTCTTTTCAGATTATCAGTATGGATGAATCTGTATCATCTGCAATAAGGCAGATGATAAGCAAGTGTATGAAATAAAAAAGGTTTTTTGTTTTTTGCATTTTCTCAGAAGATTTACTATAGTAATATATATATTTTTTTTTCACCGTCGGAAAGTAGACATTTCAACGAACAGAAAACATACCAACTTTTTGAAAAAAGCTGATATTTTGACGGGTGAATTTTCGATTGAAAATTGGGGTGTTTTTTCGATATTAATTCAAAATAAGTTGAAAAAATAAATATTTTTAATCAAATAAATTACAGCGTATTTGGGACATAAAAAGGTAAGTTTTCACCAAATTTCATTAAAACAAAAACATTTTTGTAAAAGATAAAAATAAAAAACCAAAAACTTGGTTTTTTGATTTTTTCACATAAATTTTGAGGTTATGTGAAAAAAGTGTAAATACAAAAGTTTTAGATCTTTTTATTACCTACAACTTTGCCATTTGATTTTTTTCGATAGGACTTTTAGTTTTGCCGGAAATCGAGAAAAACCGTTTTTTACCCTTATAAGCTCCCCCCCCCCACCCCCTTTCCGACCTCAGATCGCCCGTAAATTATTTTTCCTTTCATTTTTATAATATTCCCCTCCTTTTCTAATGGGTTGCATCCTACTATTTTTTTTTTCACTTTTTATTATTTTTAAAGGCTTCTACCCTGGTCTATAAGTATTGTTTTGGAATTCAGCCTTTAAATTACCCAAATAATTATCTTTATGATCATAATAATAAAATTAGAATCATTAAAAATATATTTTGATTATTATTCCTTGGTATATCAGCAAATTAACATTTCTATTACTACTTGAAGACTTGGGCTATGTCATTATTTTTACCCTAAAAACTGCGGAAATTATATTTAGCAGCAAAACTAAATTCAACAACAGCGACGCCGTTATTGGGTCAGATAAGTGGCACTATATCAATTATTTAGTAATTTTTAATGAAGAATATTGATATCTTCACAGTCACTATCGGGCATCGGTACGTTACAAACACAGTCGTACACCCTCAGCAGAACAAAGACATTTGAAGAACTTTTTGAAAACACAAAATTTAAACTTAGTTTTAAATACTTAAGCGAATTAATAGAATAAATTATTTACTAAATATATCTAGATATATTTAAGCTATGTGTTTCTTTTAAATTATAAGTTTCAAATGTGACATTGTTCTATGAGGGTTGATACTCGTGGCCATAAGGCAGTCTCCACACATTCCGCGCCGTCGATTTCAAAACTAGTGTTACGCCACTTGCCTCACTATCAACAAATATGATGTCCTCAAACAAACAAACAAATCTTATATAAAACTATTTTTATATTAAGTATTTTAAATTAATAAATAAACATCATTAGTCCAACTAGAATTTCTTGATACAGATCTGAAAATAATAAAATAATTGTGATTATTGGAAACTAGTGACTTCCCTAGATACGTTTTAAATAGATATAAATAGTTATTGCGAGTGTACCTTAGGAGAAAGACTTATGCTATTGCAGAATTTTCTGTAGACCTTGGTATGGGTATGGTATGGTAAATTCTGTAGACTTTATTAAGCCCTACAATTTTCTAGTGCATTGGTTTTATATTTCTCTTAAGGTTTACACAGCATTAGCCATGTACATTTCTAAGAACGACTAGACAGAATTAGTTATCACGTCTTCCTGAGGAAATCAAAGATTTTTCTGTAGTAACAGGTATAAGTTGTCACTACACAAAATTTAGTTAAACTCGGCTCGGTACTTTTTGTACACAGATATACAGACAAAAAGGCATAATCTTTGTTAACTATTGTTTTTGGGCCTACATTCTGCACACAATAAGTTACGTTAATATTTTTTTTTAATATTTAGATGTGTGATGTGTGTGCCGTGCACGTATTGAGGCAGATGGGATGTCCCACAGGAAATATAAACAGAAGCTTAAACATTAATTCCTATATTTTTAACTTCTCAATAAACTTTCATATCCCTGTAGTAAATTAATTATGTATATTTTCTTCTTAGAATACAATAATATATAAGGACTTTTACACAAAAATCCATGCTCCTAGACTGAACTGACTGACTACTGAAGATTGATAGTGTATTGTCTATCAGTAAGTGAATTTAGATTAAAAATGATATGGTCAATGCACAAGTCCGGTGATTGTGAATCAATGACTAAAAGTTTGAACCTAGTTTAGTCGCGTCACGTTAATAGTATAATAATAATCAGAAACCCTCTATGATCTAGTAGCTAGCATGTACAGCTGCAGATCCGGAGATCCTCGATTCGAATCTGGGGTCGGGCCAAATAAAGTCATTGGGCTTTTCCGTCAAGAAATCTCAGTAACAGCCATTAGCCATAGCAGTTTCGTCGAGTCTCAGAGAACACATAAACCCATCACCATTACGCTCGATCTCTCAACGATCATGTCGTCGTGCTATCAGAGTATAGAAATGAAACAAACAGAATGCACTCGTATATACCATCAAAACTGAGCCAGGTCATAGCGCGAGCCAGGGGTGGTGCCGCAGCGACTCCCGCGAGCGGTCCCCGTAGTCGTAGGTGAGCTCGTCGCCGGGCGCGATGTCGTGCGCCGCCAGCAGCACGAGGCGCGGCCCGTCCACCCACAGCGCCTTGGTCAGCAGGTTGCCGCTGCGCGAGTGGTTCACTAGCCGGCCCAGGCGACCAGACTCGGACGTCGCGTCGATACTACGCTCAAAATGTTATAATATTAATATATGTACATTACTCAGATAAGACAGTGGTAGCCCAGTGGTGAAGTGCTCGCTTGGGTAAGCGAGTGAAGCGGGTTCAATCCCGGTTCTAGCACCTCTGATGTTTTCATATGCGACTCATTTTCAACATGATTACCACTTGTCTTACGGTAAAGGAAAACATCGTGAGGAAACCTGCATGTCTGAGAAAACCTAACAAGTTTTCGAAAGACATGTCCGCCAACCCGCACTTGGCCAGCGTGGTAGACTATGGCCTGATCCCCCCTTGTATTGAAGGGAGGCTCGTACCCAGCAGTGGGAAATTAAGAAGGGCTGAATACAATTAGATTACTCGAATATACTAGCTTAATCATCAGGAACAAAAAAAATTGAAGTGGATGGCATTACATGTACATATGTATGGTTAACATGTATATTAGTTATGAAGGGTGTGTAAAATTAACATAAGATAAAACAAAAATTGTAATGAAATATATTATGGTTTTAATAACACTTTTAAATTATTCATTTATTTTAAAATCACTTTAGGAAGTCGTCATATATCCCAATAGTTAAAATCAGTTCATGAATGATTTATATTTGGTCAAATAAATTGAAAAATTTAGATATTCTATTCTTTTATGTCCATTGCATGGACGAATTAGAGACTGGACCTGACATAAAATACAAATGTATGAAAACTAGTTCAACCAAGTGACGCATAACGCACACAAAGATTTTTTATTACATTGTTATAAACACTGATACACAATACAATATTTCTAGTGCTTGAACGTAATCGATAAAATACATATATCGATGAACCAATGAATGACATTTTAGACATTGGTTAGCATAGTCATCATATTTTACATCTTTTAATTTAAAATATCTGTATTTATTATAATACATTAAAATAATTGAATTAAAGAGGCAATAATAATGTGTCAAATAATAATCATTTTTTAATTTCATTTATATCAATATGATGGCATTGATGGCAACATTCTGTTGGCCTATAATAATGTTAATAAACAAATGAATATCGGGTTTATATTCCATTAATATATAATAAATATTATTTTGTAAAGATTAAAAAAATATTAAGCTAATTTAATTAAATAAAGTGATTTTGTTGATTCTGTTATTGAACTATTTTAATTGGCAATTGATTGTCTCGGGTAGTCATAAAAATATGACACTGTCCTAATATTGCTCAGTTATTAATAAACATTTGTGAAATTAGGAAAAAGAAAAAGTGATTGTAAATTGTGAAAAAGTGAGTGTTGGATCGTGAAAGTAAAATAATTAGTGCAAGTGGTAAAGTGTTTTATTACAAATTGCGAACCCAGAAGTTTAGTGCTAAAACATTATTGTTTGATTTTGTGTAATTTATGTGTTGAAATAAAATAATCTTTATTATTATTACAATGGAATAATATTCCAAAGTATATAAATGTTGTATAAAATAAAATAAAAAATTAAGTACACATACTAATTATAATTTTTGCATTTATATTTTTATTTGATTTAGAAAATATTTTTATAAATTTATTGTCATCAGATTGTAGGATACTGTGATAAAAGTATTTTATGTTATTGTACTGTACAAATAACACAATTCGTTCAGTTATTTCGTCAAATATCGATATATTTTTCGACATTGTCAAGCACTAGTCGATGTCAAATGGACTCACTCGACAGTTTTGTCATTTGTTCTGAATGGTATAATCCAGCCATTTTATGATGGTTGTCAGATGTCAGGATAATATGACATTTTATTTTACATTTAATTAAATTGTGTGATAAATAACAATAAATGTAATAAAATAATGTATTTACAAGTAAAAAGAAATACTGCTGCTTCCGCCGTTATAGTTTTTACATCATTTAACAGAACATTTAGTCATTTTTGGGAGATGTTTTGTTGACAAGTGCTTGAGACTGACACAAAAAACAAACGACCTAGGCTAAAATTCCCTGGTTATTGACATGACCGTTAAAGGTACGTCCGCTTATATGTCTGGTCCAGTGGTTGATTCGTTTATGGTCCATTGGTCCCAACACATAAAAATAAAGACACAAATATGTATAGTTACATAGCTTTAAATAACATTTCTCACGGCTCTTTCTGCGTAGTTTAAAAGCAACGAATTTTCTTAGTAACTTCCAACCCATTTTCATCCGACTTCAAAAAGGAGGAGGTTCTCAATTCGACTGTATTATTTTTTTTATGTTTCTTACCTCAGAACTTCGTCATTTATTAACCGATTTGGACAATTATTGTGTTGTTTGAAAGTGTATATATACTTCCAGATTGGTCCCATTTAAATTAAAAAAAAAAAAAACCACCCCTAAGGTTGGAAAAATAGCTAATGATGAATTTAACCTACTTCTAATTGTCATATTGACTAGAAACTTTGCAAGTGTTTCTATTTCCGTTGATGGTACAGTGGTTCAGTATTGTTGACCTGTTCTGATGGTAAGGCCAGAAGGTGGATAGGTGGAATTCTTCAACGGCTAATAGTAGATACTTTGAGTTTGGGCTTATTTTGTTTAATTTGACAAGCCTAACACGTTAGAATTCTTACTTTGCTACTACTGTCTACACTAAAAACGGAAAAATAAAAACTTAAAAAAAAACCGACTTCAAACAAAAGCACTAAAAAGTAAAAAATAACTGATTGGTAGTTTTTATTTACTATACATACCTAATCAAATATTTTCGAAGTCGGTGTGCTTTGGCTAAGTAATTAAAGCCTACCTAAAATACATACCTAATCAAATATTTTCGAAATCGGTGCCAGCCCATACAAAGCAAATAAATAACACGTTAACTTAAATCTAACAATACACACTCACCAATACTGCTGATCTTGAAGTCTAAAATAATACATGTAACAGCCAGCGCTGGGGTCCTGCGCGTACTTGCGTTCCCTCTCGCGCGCCTCCGCGAGGCCGACCAGCTCACCCGCGTACTCCACCACGTACTGGCCGCGACCGAACGCGCGCGTCGCGACCACGCCGCGGCCCTTGCCGTCGAAGTATGCCACCTGGATTTATATGTATTTACTAACGGGTGAAATAAAACATGCCTAAGTTACTTCTTATAACATCAACTACCTGTCAGTGAAAGTCCCCTGAAAATCAGCCTAGCCGTTTTGGAGATTAGACCGAACAGTCAGACAAAAATTTCAAAATTGTGTTTTTCTTATAAAAACCGTATAAAATTCCATATGTACTGAGTAAAAAGCTGTTATTTTGACATACTTCTTTGCACGCATGACTCCATGAGAATAACATTCCAAGGCCGCGTCATGAGAAATCGTGACGAAAAAACGTATTTACCAGTCAGTCCCGTCAAAATCAGTCCAGCCATTTCGGAGATTAGCCAGAACAAAGAGACAAAAACTTCAAAGGCTGCGTTTTTCTTATAGGTAGCATATATAATTTCATATGCATTTCACTTCAATATTGTGTATCTGTATGTATGTATACGAGTATAGATATAATGTAGGTTTCACAATATAAAGGAAAGTATGTAGACAAAAGCTAACTTATTTTTTTAAAAGACCTCTTGAGATGTGAGAAAATGAGTTAATTTAGGGTGGTGTAAGCACAGTGTATTAATAATATGAGCTTGTATAAACTCCAATAAAATTACTTTATATATAGAGAAATTTTAAATAAGGGATGATGAGGGTGACAGGATATTAGCTCCTCTTTATGTTAGACTAGCGACTCACCCTCGCTTTGCTTCGATTCGTTCCTACGTTGATTCCCTATACAAACATTCATCCTCATTTTCACGCCCTTAAGGGGTGATTTCCGGGATAAAAAGTCCTTCCCAGGGTCTCAAACTATCTTCTTACCAAATTTCATCTAAATTGGTTCAGAAGATCCAGAGATACTCGCTACAACCTCACAAACTCACAAACATTACCTCTTTATATGACCTGACATTAGATATGTGTTACCTACTGTAGGTCATAGTCTAATGTAATTTTACATCATATTACATGTCTACAATATGTTAGATGTACATTACATAATAAAATCGTATAACATATAACTTTGTTGATTCGCGTGGGATGTGCCTACATAACTCTTCCTATGATTACATTGTTACAGCCTTGTTCTTATTCTTATCTGTTGCACTTGGATAAGTTATTAATATATAGGAAGTGATCTCACATTATGCAATACTTATGACAAGTCACTTTTGAAGATTTAATTAATTATGAACATGTAATTTATTTTAAATCATTATCAATAATAATTATTATTATTAAGCACAATTTTAAATTCAAATATATGATGACACAGTAAACAAATGTTACCTGAAGCCCGTCTTCCCTCTGTTCTCGCACTGCCCTTTCCAAATCCCTCATTTTTTCAGCCATCACACATTTAGAAGTCTTCCTCACACTTTTCCTCACCGGGAAATGTTCAGTTAATTTTTGGTTATTATTGTTTCCATTTGATTTAGTTTCTACTTTAACACTTTTTTCTATTGTGGGTGGAGGCTGAGGAGGTGCTTCCACTTTAGGGCTTTTGATTTCTTCCTTGAAATATTCAGTAATTTTGTGGCTGTCAGCCGCTCGGGCTGCAGCTCTGGCCGCTCTAGACTTTGCCAAGTTTCCATTTGTCATGTTTGTAAAACCATTTGATGCTTTCAATGGTTTAGATTTTAATTCTGTTTTCTTAATTGGTGGCTCAGAGTCTTGCTCTTCGTTCTCAGTCTTTAAACATTCAGGGGCAATGATTCTGCATAGAACAATATTACTATTTTAAGTAATAATAATATTTTTTACAAACATAAAGAATGATGATGAATTATATGTAATAATCCAGTTTTAGTTTTAAAATGCTATTATTAGCATTACTTAATAATTAATGAAAACTTGGAAGTCAATTTTAAACCACTTGTAATTGTACAATCGACTTGAACTATGTAACTGTATCAAATATGGATAATAATACAATAATTTGAAATCATGGAGTTGATCTGATAATAGGGCCAGGTGGTTAATGGAATGTGCATTCACCTTGTCGTGGTGGGGGGAGGGGACAAAAAAGGCTGGTTGGTAGAAATCTTCAATGGCTGTTAATAAAACCATTGAGTTTGGGCTCATTTGTTTTGTCCTGATGAATGCTATACATTACATTTGATCAAAAGTGTGTTTTTCTAAGTTGTTAAAGCTACATTTTTTTAAAATATTAGAATAATTCATCAAAATCTTACCTGCGTTTCCTATAATTACGTGCTGGTTTTACTGGTTTCTCTTCGCAGAGCTCAATCCGATGAGGTGTTTTTACACCCTCCTGGGTGGTAATCGGGTTATTTACTGAAAATTGTAGTCTTACATTAGACAACTACACGATAATAATAACAGTACAGATCAATAAATAGTATAAATATTTCCAATATTCATTATTGGGTTAGAGGTCCAGTATACACTCTACACTATGTTGTAGTAGCTCTATTTCTTATGATTTACTCAAGTAATTTGTTTGTTATTGCTAGAGTTATGGAAAAGGTTTTCATTAAACAAGAATAGATAAATATTTTATTGATTAACTGTCTTCTACAGCATGAAAAAAAAACAACATTTAATAATCATAAACATAAAGGTTAAATATTAGAACCAAATTAAGTAGTAACAACCTCTCCTAAAACAAAAACCTCTCACAGTTACCATTTCAGGGTTGGATATATCCCTTAATTTCAAATTTAACTATAACATTATGGGTAATAAAGGTCAAGGTATGAAATAAAAAGAAAAGATCTAACAAGATAACGAAAGCTATGCTACCATTCACTGCTACTATTTGTCCCTGAACTTGACTTTAAAGAAAAACATCTTCAATGAGGCAGAGCATTACAGGAGGATTATAATTTAAGCCCTAGTTTCCTCCTTTCGATTTGATCTCTGATGACTTTCATTGAAAGCAGTGAAAGGCATTGGAGGAGGCCTATGACATAAGGCACACAGAGCGAAGAGACATATTGTAAATATAGCTAAGTAATGTTTAAGTCATAAAATGTATGAAAGTTCAGAAATAAAGATTTTATTATTATTTGTCTTCTATATTAAAAAAAAATAACCAAGGGTGGGTTCTGTATGTGTTGCATTCCATTTCTTTGTTAGTATGATAAAAGTACAGATGTTTTTACACTCATATTAGGTTCTTGGTGCACGCTTAAGGTACACAAGTGTCTAGTGAGAATTACTATTCAATGCAAAGGCAACAGTTTTAACATTTACCTCTGCCGATGACTATATTTGTAAAATTTATAGTGTACACTATATGAGAGCTGCTAGCCCATAGCTTATTTATAATAAGAATAATTAAAGTAATATTTTCAAATGCAAAATATGGCTTTAAAATATTTAAGATATCCATATGGTTTGTATAAACCAAAAATGTATGCAATTATTTATAATTGTCTGTCTTAGACGGAAAAAATGCTCACATTATTTTTTTTGTAAGAGGGTAAGATTACATTTTATCAATTACCAATGTAATTACATAGATAATTATACGTTCAACAATTATGTTTTGTGCTATAATATATATATGTAATTCACAAACAAAGAAATATTTTTAACAAATCACGGCAGAATGCTGTTTATTTATGTAAATAGAATATACTAACCTCGAACCATTTCCACTTGCACTTCATACACGCCGACTCAAAATCCAAGACCACCATCGATAAAATACTTTACTTATTTTTATACAAACAAAATTTAAGACCTCATAAATTACAAATGTTTTGTAATAGACCTTGTCATTTTTGAATAATAGAAGATTATTGTTAAATTTATACAATTGATAATTATAGCATTACTAATAAACCAATTTATGACTATTTAAAGTTTTACTGGCATATTTTATAAATTATTCACTCACTAAAATCAGTAAAATTCGGCTAAACATTGCTTTCTAAAATGTCAAAATTGATACTTCTTTTTAGAAAATGGACGCCATAGAGTATATCGCTACATATATAAATGGACGCTTTGATATCTTTGGCTTAAATAATTGATATTAATGGTTGACACAGATTATAAATATACATATAATAAAATTGTAACTAAGCCGAATCTGTACATTAAATATTTTTTTGAAAATCTTATTGAAATAGACATTATTATCGACACAGAGGCCGAATCTATAGCTTTTAGAATTTTTGTCTGTCTGTCTGTTTGTCTATCTGTCTGTCTGTTACCGCATCACAGAAAAACCACTGGAGGGATTTTGATGAAATTTGGTATGGTGATGGCTGTTTATCCAGATCAACTTAAAGGATACTTTTTAGCGCTGGTAAATATTTAATTTCTGAGAAAAAATACAAAAACTGCAATGTAAGAATATACTAATATATAAAACCTAAGAATTTGGTTTTTAGTCATCAGAACGTGGGCGGAGCCGCGGGCAATGCTAGTATCGATATAAAAGTTAAAACCAAACATTGTCTTGTAAAGGCTAGCACAAACGAGTCCGGCATGCCATCGATTCATCAGCCACATTATAATCTTCTTGTGTACGTACATTACGTTGTTCCTGTTTTCCAATTACAGAGCATAATGCCGCACTTTTGTGCACAATACTGAGTCGTACTAATGCTTATTTGGACCGTGAATGAGTATTAAAGTGCACCAGCAGGGGGCACTAGATTATATTGACAGGAAAAATATAACTACTAAACATATATTTATTAGTTATATATATAACTTATAAATTTATAATAATATAAATAAAATTTAATAAATATTACTAACGATAATGTATATAAAATATTGATTAAAGGCACCTTGAAGAAAACACTTTCTGCTAAATAGATGGTATCCTTGCGCGCACGGCGTATCACGCCAAAGTAGTACTTTTTAAAATGCTTGATTGTGCGGGGCGTTGCTGTAGTTGAAACATTCGAAGTTAGAATTATACCGCATAATGCTCTAATTGGAAAACTGGGTGAATGTATACGAGATACATCCACAAACTATATAGAAATGCTACGCAGGATTATATCATGCGACGTAAATGCTCACTGCTCAGTTCTCACGCTGTTTCATAGCTAATATATTTAAGTCAAAATCACATTTATTGTGACCTTATAGACTATAGTCACATTTACACGATTCTCTATAGCAAACTATTGTGTAAAATCTAAATGAAGTAAATAATTATTTTAATATAATTAAAAAAACTAACATAAAAATCTAAGCAGATTTTAGTTTTGAAATCTTGAAACAAATCTTTAGTTTTTTAGAAATATTATTTATATTGAAACATTATTCGGGAACTTTAATAACTATCTTTCTCTAAAGAATATTTCCCTTAGTAAAAGTCCCTTTAAAATAGGTTCAGGCATTTCAAAGTAATCTTCAGATAAATAGGATAATTATGACCTACCCTACTTCAGCCTGCAAATTTATGATATTTGCAATGAAAAAAATACTAATCGATAGATTTTCAATAGCTCTATTTAACTACGTAGCCCTTTCAAATTGCTCACCTTTAATTATTTAATTAAAAATCAATAAAGTCTTTGAAAAAAAATTAATTTATCTGTATATTCAAACTCCTATATCTTTTGATGTATACAATATTTCAAATTGCTCAAAGTTCTAAAACACTGCTCAAGTTGCATTTGTAATTGCTCAAGTAGAGTTTTTACCAGCTCCACTTTCGCTGATTATTAAATAATTAAAAGTATAGTTGTAATAAATGTAACGTAGGTTAAGTGAGCGTGCGCATGCGCACCGCGCATTGTCGGTTGGCCTCGGCGGGCTTGGACAATCGTTCCAATTCAACGTCTTAATTCTGTTTCTCGGTGGATTTCTTTAAATTTATTGAATTTATGAATTGTTCACATTACGTGATTCCACTTCAGATATTATAACATAAAGAACAGATCTGGAATCTACCAATAAATGAAAATTAATACCAACAGATAAATTAAGACATTTATATATATATTTATATATATATATTTATTTAATAATTAAGGAAAGTGGAGCTGGTGAGAACTCTACTTGAGCAATTACAAATGCAACTTGAGCAGTATTTTAGAACTTTGAGCAATTTAAAATATTGTATATATCAAAAGATATAGAAATTTGAATATACGGATAAATGAATTTTTTTTCAAGGACTTTATTGATTTTTAATTTTATAATTAATGGTGAGCAATTTGGAAGGGCTACGTAGTTGAATTGAGCTATTAAAAATCTATCGATTAGTATTTTTTTCATTGCGAATATCATAAATTTGCAGGCTGGGGTAGGGTAGGTATAATTATGTGTAATAAACAAAAAGATTTAATATTTCTTTTTCATTTAGTCTGTGATTGATGATGGTAATTGGTAGTAGTCTGCATAATCTGTGTTGATGATCTATAATGTATATAGACTCATAGAGTCATAGACAGTTAGACTTTATTTTATAATTTTTCGCGCCATGTTTATTAAACTTCAATTTCAAACAGAAATCATTTATAAATTAAAATTATAAAACTTTGCTGTTTGCTTTATAACTTGCACGAATCTATTATGTATAAAATGTTAATATGAATAAAAAAAGAACAGCTTACGTCTGGGAGCAAACCTTAATAGAACATTGTGATCGTTTACCTGCAGTAATTGGTAGAGTAAGTTCACTGTAAAGCCGTATTTACTTTTACACTTTTTCCTGTTATTTTTACATACAAGGTTACATATTTATTGATATTTTTTAGGCATCAATGGTTCATGATCTTATAAGTGCATATGGACTTCTTAAAAATATTAAAGTGATAAAATCTATACCTGCTACAAATTCTGATCTAAAGTTATTCCATTCAGATTTGTATTTAGATCACTTAAAAACCTTTAACCATGTTAGTGACGACTTTATGCCTAGTGCTGAAGATGAAGAGTATGGTATTGGTAAGTTCATGTTAAAGGCATATATTAACAAAGAAATGTAGAAATATATATTTAACTAATATAAATATAATTGATTATTGTATTTATATAATATCATGTACATTTTTACAGGATATGACTGTCCACCAGTATCAGATATGTATAATATCATTTCCACTATAGCAGGTAGTTCATTAACTGCAGCTAAATGTCTTTTGTTGGATATTGCAGATGTTGTTATTAATTGGTGTGGAGGATGGCATCATGCACATAGGTAAATTATATTCTAGACATTCTTTTAGTTAGTTAAACAAATCAGAACAATAATTAAAAATGATAGGAAGACTAATTACTCACTTTTACCTTATTGCAGATTTGGAGCAGAAGGATTTTGTTATGTAAATGATATTGTTATTGCTATTGAAAAACTTAGATTGAAATTTCCCAAAATACTGTATATAGATATGGACATACATCATGGTAAATCTAAATAGTGTTTAATATTTGCTTATTTAAAGTATATTTCTGTTATCATAAATATATTATCAAATATTTAGGTAATGGAGTTCAAGATGCATACAATATAAGTAAATCAGTATTTACCTTGTCATTTCATAAGTATGAACCAGGATTTTATCCTGGCACAGGCAGTTTGGATGATATAGGAACATTAAATGGAAAAGGTTTTGTTTGCAATATACCTTTACATGCTTGCTATTCTGATAAAACTTTTAAATATACTTTTGACAGGTAAGTTTTTTGTGTATCGAGTTGATGACTTAGACTACTTTTAAGCCTCAGAGATAGTATAAAAAGTTAATATAATACATATTAAATCTGATCTGTTGTAGAACCAGCAATCTTATGCGAGATACTTCTTGAGAAAATAAGATTTGATATTTTGTCTATATTTCTTTTCAAATAACAATATTAATTGAAGTCCCAATAATGAGTGTGTGTGTGTGTGTCATATTCTTTTTTTGTGAAATATATGATTTACTTAAGGGAATGCATAAAAAGCAAGGAACATCAGCTAAGTTGAAATAAAAACTATTTATTTTCTTTTTATTGTTAATTAATAAATATTTTTTAGCATTTTCTCAATGGTGTATTCATATTTCGTTCCTGATGCAATAGTAGTACAATGTGGGGCAGATGCACTTGCAAGGGATCCACATGGTGGTGCGGGACTTACATTAGATGGCTACCAATCTTGTATTCGCAGTGTAATTAACAAGTCAAAACCTACTTTACTTTTAGGTGGAGGTAAGAAAATAAATATTATATGAATAAGTATTAAAACTATAAAATTATTTCCTTTGATTTGATATATAAAAACAACACTTTTTTTATACTTTCTTTAGGAGGATACAACATATCAAATACTGCCAAGCTGTGGGCATCACTCACGGCTTTGGTAACAGACATAAAATTGGATAATAACATTCCTGAGCATCATTTTTGGCCTAAATATGGACCAGATTATACATTAACTGTACAACCATTATTGGCTAAAGACCTGAATACAAAAGAATATATAGAGAACTGCATAAGCATAGTAGGAGGTATGTTTGTATTTTCATTAATTTGTAAACAGTATTTACCAAAATTATAATACCTATACATATAATAAAATTGTAACTAAGCCGAATCTGTACATAAAATATTTTTTGGAAAATCTTATTGAAATAAACATTATTATCGATACAGAGGCCGAATCTATAGTTTTTAGAATTTTTGTCTGTCTGTTACCGCACCACAGAAAAACCACTGGAGGGATTTTGATGAAATTTGTTATGGTTATAGTCGATTATCCGGGTCAACATATAGGATACTTTTTACAGCGGGAAAATGTCTCATTTCTGAGAAAAAATACACACAGAGTATGCTAATATGTAAAACCTAAGAATTTGGTTTTTGGTCATCTGAACGCGAGCGGAGCCGCGGGCATTGCTAGTAAAAGTATAAATTGCTTACAGGAAATTTAAGAAATTTTTTAGAATCTAATGAAATCGAGGAAAATGCAGAACCATGTGCCAAAAAAAGAAAAGTGGAAATTGAAGCCAATGATGTCAAAATTCATTCAATGTTAAAAAGCAAATTAAACTTCAAATCTGAACAAAACAACAAGTCTAAAGATCCTTACGAGTTCCTTGATTATTAACTACACTGAAGCAATAAGGGAGGACATCTCTGTTATATAATATTTTCTATGTTTATAAGCTATTGATTAAAATTTGTAAGTTATAATAAAATATGAAATGGAAAAATATATATATATGTATTTCACATTCACTTACTGAAGACACAGCAACTTAAAAAAATGTTCATTAACAAAAGGCAAGTAAGTTGATTGTAGTGTAGGGAAATTCTATTTTTTATAATATTTTGTTAATGACAATACTGATAAGTTACACATTAAGTATCACATCATACAATTAAAGAAGTGCTTAAAGTGTAAACTCTTAAATTAACCTTGTTACTAAAGTATGTGATAGCTTGCATGCATATTATTTAATATAAAAAAAAGAATAAAGGAGTTCTGCCCTAAACATGTAATAGGAAATATGTTACTAAAGGAATATTTAAATTATATCAGAATTATAAATAGTCCTACAATTTGCATTCCCCCACAATTAAATATAGTGTGTACTGCCCTTTAGCCATAAAGAGCAAACTATAATTTTATATCTTCTTTATTATAACCATAAATATCTGCAACTTACAACAGAATAAAACAAAACTTATTATTGATAATGAAATAAAAATCAGTTTACCTGAAAATATATAATAATGATGACATTTGAATATATATAATCCATTATTTATTCTTAAAAGCAGTAGATTTCAGTATTAATACTCAATGTTACATTTTTATGTTAAAATTTAAGGTGATAAATAAATAAAGTTATTAGGCAAATAATAAGTGCCTAATTAATGTTGATAGTAACAAAAAAAACTTAAAAATCAATGATCAAAAGTTCTAGTAAGCTTCTTATCTTTAGATAATCTATTAAAGTAAAACTTTGTTCATATTACTGGTGCTTTGATTTTGCAAGCTTGTGGATTTTTATAAAAACAATTAATCCATATCTAATAGCAGAATATTTTAGAATCTACAGCAATTACAACAAATTTACTTGTATTGCACGCTGCATAGTAGAGGCTAAATTATGCAGTTAATAAATGCAAATATCATAAAAACATCACAAAAAGACTTATAATTTTGGAGAATTGGTAAGTCAACATTTCTCATTTTGTTTCAAATGAGATTTATATGTTTTTTACTAATTATCAATATGACCTGCAATTTTTCCAAAATTAATACAGCAGCAATACAAGTTAATCAATATTTAAAATCTTTGCTGTAAATTCATTTTACACTATTTAATCTGTAGGCCGCTTTTCACTATGCTTCTTAGTAAACTCTTCTGCATTCTTAGTAAACTTTTTCCTATCCTTCAGAAATTCTTCAGCAAGCTCTGCACGCAGGGGATGTTCTGGTTCAGGGTCATTTACAAGAGCAACTAGAGCTTGTATCACTGAAATAAAATAAATATTTGTTAAGTACTTATTTATAGTTTTCATTTAAAGTAGATAGAGTTAAAGACTATACCTTGATCAGTCTTTGTAGCCGGCTTCCAATTTTCTGCACTAATAATAGGTAGGCAAACCTGGCCCTTCTCATCAATGTTTGGATGATAGATTTTGGTCTTGAAGCTTATTTTAGGAGGTTTAAATGGGTATTCTGCAGGAAAATTAATCTCAATGCGAAAAGCACCTTTGTTGTATGGAGGATTGTCCTAAAACAATAACTATTTATTTAGGATTACACCTAATCAGCTTAATTACCTCTGCATTAAAATACTTATAAAGCATACTTACAGGAACGATTAGGCCTTGCCAGGTTAAGATATTTGATTCATCAACTTGGATATCTCTAAACGATTTCAACCCAGACTGTCTGATATCTCCTAGTTCCTGAATATGGAACGAATCACCAATATTAGTAATATGCAGCTATTCAAATTACTAATGTAATGAAAACACATCTAACTCTTTAATATAATTAATATTATGAAATAAGTACACTGGCTAATTCGATTACTTTATATTATACCTCCACTCGCAATAAATTTAAAAAAATTGCTATCAGGTTCATACCTTTTGAAGCCTTCGTGTCGCCGCCATTGTCTATTATCTTGTTGATAAATTGCAATACTATTATTGTTATGTATTGAAATCTGTGATTTTCACAATTTTAAATTGATGTGCACATATACAACATAATTCGTAACACCGAAAATATGACTCAGTAAAATGTCAGTGATACCTATGTTCACCTCTGTCCCCGCTGCAAATTTGATAGGCGCCATTATCGAACCTGTTCCGTTTGACGCAGAATATTATAAAAATACACAGTGTATATATATTTTTGGCAATAATATAAAAAACGATTTTTGCATAAGCTAGACTAAATATGGTAATCGTTTTATTACATTTCTAATTTTAAAATAAAAAAATAAATAAAAATACAAAAATGAAAAGAAAATCAGTTACGTCATTCATTAGTCACTTTCATCAATGACTTTCTTAGGCATAGAGAATTTAATTAGGTACTACATTTATCGTAAGATTAGGGAGGATTATAATTCGTAACACCGAAAATATGACTCAGTAAAATGTCAGTGATACCTATGTTCACCTCTGTCCCCGCTGCAAATTTGATAGGCGCCATTATCGAACCTGTTCCGTTTGACGCAGAATATTATAAAAATACACAGTGTATATATATTTTTGGCAATAATATAAAAAACGATTTTTGCATAAGCTAGACTAAATATGGTAATCGTTTTATTACATTTCTAATTTTAAAATAAAAAAATAAATAAAAATACAAAAATGAAAAGAAAATCAGTTACGTCATTCATTAGTCACTTTCATCAATGACTTTCTTAGGCATAGAGAATTTAATTAGGTACTACATTTATCGTAAGATTAGGGAGTTACCCATAGAGTATATTGCTACATATATAAAGAGTTACCCTTGCTTTGCTCGCTAAAGATAGTTATTGTGAATTACAGATCAATGATCATATAAATACTATAATGGTATGTTATGAATGTATCTTAAGAGTATAGATGTAAGGCCGGCTTAAAACCAATTAAACCATTCCGTTTAAAAAGAAAAAAAAATCAAACCGAAATAAACCATTTTTTTGGATTTGAAAGGGTTGGTGTTGATGACTATGTTTTTCGTAAATATAACTACATTTTCTTGATTTTACCGAAGTAGGGAATACGGAGTACCTATAAACTATGTGTTTTACATCTATATTTAGGAGATAGACATATTATTATGCTAAGGCTATAGATGTAAAACAACAGATTTAAAACGTTTTCGGTTTTAAATAAAATGTTGCCGTTTTAAACCCTAAATATATCGTTTAAAAACAATAAAAAAAAATGTTTATTTACCAACAGAGTTTTTAACTTATCAATAGAACTTTTATAACTTAGGTAGGTCCAACTAGAACTACGTCCGCAAAGTTTTATGAATATCAGTATATCACATGTATATTAAAAAAAATCTTTACATCATTTATGTGTACACGGTACACCAACCGTTTCAAATCGAAAAAAAAACGTTTATTTCGGTTTTATAAGTTTTTTTTTGTTTTAAACGGATTGGTTAATTCTTAGAGTAAACATAAGCTTTATAGCGCGCGCTAGCAAGTATGAACTGTAAGCACGGGTATGAACAGTCTCGAAATGTCAAGGGCGACGCTATTAGTCACGAAAACTCAATCGCGCTATTTCTCTCGTCGGTATTTATTTGGATTTATGTAATCATGGTGAAATATGCAGTTACAAGATGTAAAAATGATTCACGAAAGCAAACTAAATCGAACAAAGATATTTCTTTTCATCGGTAAATAACATTTTTATCAGAAAACGCAGATTTTTTTTACGATTAGATTACACAGATTACACAGGCGTGAGCGGGAGTTGCGGGAGGCGCGCGGGCGGGTCAACACAACACGTGCTTCCGCGCACCCCGCTTCTTAGTTTCCCTCATTAAGAGCTAGCGTTGTACCACGTTGTACTACTCGAATATTTTGTATAAGCATAGTATCATAAATTAAGATTTTTTGTATTTGTCAAAAATAAAACCTTTAGATTTTAATGGCACCAAAGTACCTTACAATATTACTTCATTTTAAACATTTTTATAATTTTAATAAGTTTTATAATTGTATGGAATATTATTTATTTCATTTTAGCTGTTGTTATTCCAACAATTTTTTTAGAAAACCTTATTAATTAGGCATCTTGCATCAATGTGAAAAGTTAAAGAGAATAAGTAATATATAATTTTAATTTAGTATACTAATATTTAAAAAAATCAAAATATTAAGCAACACTATTACTACATAGATTTACAAATGAAAAATATTAATTTGAAATATTGTATTTTAAAGTAATTTTGTATTTTAAAGAAAGTATAGTAATTTGAAATATTGTAATTTTAGATAAATAATAATAAGTCTATATGTTCGTTAATAAATGACCTTCCGTTAAATTGCTTATGATAGTAGACTTCTTTTTAATTAAATTTTAAAAGTTTTACTGGGCGCATCACTATTCAACCGCTTCATCTACAAGTATGTATCAATAGGTGTGTATAGAACATCAGCTTACACTTCGCAGGTCAATGAGCGATACGCGCGCTCTATAGCATATGTATACTACTCTAAGGTTTAATTGGTTTTAAAGTGGCCTTACATCTATAATCAGGATAATATTATTTGCTGTGACATTCAAAATTTTTTTTTTGATATTAATGAAACAATTTACATTACTGAACAAATACCTTTATTTTTATATACCATCGAAAAGCTATTTAGAATACAATGTAATATACATATAAGGGTTATTTTTAAGCAATATATAAAATGGTAATGAATTTTTTTCAAATTAATTTGTAGCGCTCTTCCACCCTACAAGTAAGAAAACACTGCTGTTTAAGATATAAAGTAGCACTACAGTAATAATTTGATGACTTATTGTTTTTAAATTGCTTAGCAGAGACATTTTTGAGGTAACCATTACTTGCAGTTTGGAAGAGCGCTGCAATCCAATATAAAAAGTATTTATAATGAAATAATTAGTGTGGACGACCTTACAATCATATATGGCTGGATAATTTGTACACAGTTTTTCTGAGCTACAGTAAAGGAAATTCTCATACTCAGACTTATTGGTGGCAAATACTGTGTATAAATTGGGGAAAACCTTAGATTTACTATTCACTGATACAATGATACAAGATGATTTAGATATTCCATCTTTGGGTACATTAGATTCACTACAAACTGTCTCAATTGTATGATGATACTTCTTCTTCTTAGAAATGCAACAACTAGATTCACTGAGACGTCGTTTCTTTGTAAAATCCAGAGTTTTCCCCCGTACATTCCACTTGCCATTACAGATGTAAGGTGTGACGTGTGCGCCACGGCCTAGTCCTCGTGTCCGCGCTCGTCGTCGCGGCGGCGGTTGCGCTGGCGCCGCCCCCAGCCGTCGCGCGGGCGCTCGCGCTGGCGCCCCTCCCCCCGCGGCGCGCCGCCCCGCTGGAAGAAAGACCCTTGCTTCTCGAATATTCGCTCGTTTGAATCCACCAAGTTGCCCACCTGTAATATGTAAGGAACATTTTAATTTGAAATTATAAGCTAATAGCGACTCACCTCGCTTCGCTCGGGTACTTCGCCCTAGGTACGTTTTTACACTAATTATGGAACAGATAGACTATATTATATACATAAGTATAATGAGTTTTTCAATTTTCAAATAAAGGATATCCCTTACTTTGTATGGAAAATCAACCAGTTTTGAAATGATTGATTTTACATACAAAGTTCCACCCCCTTAAGGGATTATTTTCGGGATAAAAACTATTCCATCCTTCCTTAAACTATCTCCTTACCAAATTTTATCTAAATCGGCTCAACTGAATTCAGCAGTTACGTTCACATTTATAATATTAGTATGGATGAATGCTACTAAGTTTATTTCAGGTATTAACAGGATAATATTGGAGTACTAAAAAAAAGTAGAGTAGTAAAATAGCCATTTTCATAATGTTTTATAAATTTGTTAGTGACATTTTATTACGGCTCACCTTATCTGCAAGTTGCAGTGCCAATGCTTGCATCCTAGTGGGTTCTGAGCGGTGTAGAATAGCGCACTCACTCGGGTCGTCTAAAGATGCCAAAAGCTCTTCATTGATGATCATCTTAGATACAAGAGAGTGAACGCGTTGTCTTGGCAACTCAAACATGTCCGCCAAAGAACGGAGTGACAGAGATGCGTAAACGTGGGCGTAAGTGAATAGATAAGTGCGAAGCGATTCCTCCCTAATGAGGCGTCCCAGCATGGCGCGTACGTTGTCAGCGCCGACCATTAAGTCCCAAACCTGAGGAACATTTTTTTATAAATAAAATTTTTTTGTGTATTAAAAAAAACATCTATTTTAAATTGTAAAATAAACTGCATATATCCGAATAGTAACACACGCTATTAATACCAAATATATTTGTGTTTGTATCCACGATATTTAATTTTACACAACTACTATTACAATATAAAAAATATATATGAAACGTTATAATGTAATATATAACTATATTTACCTTGGCATTCATTTTTTCATTAACAATGAAGTTAAGACAGGCGCGCCAGTCCCCGCGGCGCATAGCTCTGGCGGCGGCTACGGCGTGTTCCCGCATCGACTCCGGTGGCCCCACCAACGCTTGTCTTTCACTTGCGCGCAAATTTTGGTAGAACGTCTTACTGATCATACGACGACGTGCGTCGAACTCATGAGCCGCCATGTAAGGGATCTCGATCAACATGGCAGACACCAAGTAGACACATTCGAGCAGTTCCAAGTTAATATGCATGTGGAACGGCATTTGACGTTGCTTCTCGATCTTCTCCTGTTCCTTTGAGCGCTCGTGTTGACGCTGAGGCAGCAGACCCTGTGCAAGTAACTCTTTAGGTTTCCCCGTCATCATGAGCTCAGCCAAGCAACCGTGGGCTTCCTTCACATTTCCGCGACGGAATGCGCACAATCCCAAATTGGCCATGGTACGGTTATACAAAATCTGAGTGCTGGGATCGGAATGTTGAACATTTTCTTGTAGATGAGACATGAGAAGTAGATCTCGGGCTTGAAACCAGTTATCATGCAAAGCGTGATGGTATATATGAGAGAGAATGGCTCTGGTTCTCAAACGATCAGTATCGTCATTTGCATAAATATATTTGCACAGACGCTCCATTTTCTTAATTGTTGTCTCTTCTCCAGGCGGAAGGTCTTTCTTAATAGCGCGTGGGTCAAACTTGTAGTAAAGATGGTCTATCTTGCGGAGATAAGCGCGACAGACTTCTTGAGGGGAACCGTCACGCTCAACCACTTGACATACACGATCAATCAATGCTGAAACACGCACTTCATCCTTTAATCTTTCTACATATTCATTAGAATGAGGGTCACATTCTTTAAGGAGTTTAGTAAACTCATCGTCGAGTCGCTCCAACGCTGTGAGCAAACAGCCACGTACTTTAAACGGTGCCGTCACAAGTTGTTCATTCTCTTCAGTGATAGTTTCACTAAGAACCATATCTTCATGTGCGAGAAGTAAAGTGACCATCTGGTCCACGTTTTCTACAAGTCTCGACCAATACTCAGGCTTCATAGCATCAGAAACCTTTGGATTGTAATCAAAGAGTGCTGCGACGGTGGCAGCACGCAGTTTTAGTTGCAGAGCGTCCCCAAGATTGTGTTGCTGGGCGACAGTGCGCAATTCATGAAGAAGTTCAAGCTGTGCCCGACGATCAGTTCTTTTACGTCCACGCGCAGCACTAATTTCACCCAATTTCTTAACAACTAGCGCTGCATCGATGTCACTATCCTATAAAAGTATAAAAAAATAGTTACTATTAATTAACACATAATATCCAGTTTGAATATAATCTTTAATTATAACATTGCAATAAAAAAAAAACAGGAAAATAATTCCATAATATTAAAAAAATATATTAATTTTCATTTAAATAAATACCTTAGCAAACATTTTGGGTTTGTCGGACGTCGCTGCACCTTTACGTACAGTTTCCCACTCGCCTCCATCATCGGCCTGATCTTTCTTGCTTATTTTACCACTTCGCTCACGTCTTTCACGTCTCACGCGTCTCCTATCTCTTTCTTCTTCTTCATCCCTCTCAGTGGTACGTTTTAAGAACTTCTCTCTAAGGGTAGCCGCACCTCGGTTTTCGTCATCAGAGCTGGAGCTAGAATCCGAAGAGCTAGATCCCCAGTCCATGGAATCAGACGAGTCATCATCTTGTGGTATTGGTCTGCGCGGCGGTTCAGGCGAATGAGCGACTCGTGGCTTCTCTTTTACTTTGTCTTCATCATCAGACTCATCAGAAGATGAGGTATCTAAAATATAAAAATAAATATTTATAACTTAACAATGATCATATTCTAGCATTGATATTTTTGATGATATGGTATTATTTATATAAAAAAACGATCTCTCCCGGTTTTACCTGGCTGAATGCTGTACCTTGGTGTAAATGAGTTCAAAATTCAAGTACTTTGTATTTTGTTATACTTCAATATCATATTCATCATTCATATTGTTCAACTTCGCTTCGGGTTCGTCCCTAGAAAAATAAATCTATCCCACGGAAACCATACATTTTTCCGGCATAGAAAGTATTATGTGTATACCTATGTGCTATTTCAGACTATAATCTATACAGCCGTTCTGGCGTAAAAGCGAACTAACATCAGTACAATATATGTGATCATAACATTACTAGCGAGTAGTGATTTACCCTCACTTCGCTCGGGTTCGTCCCCAGGTTAATTTCTACAGTTAGTATGGTATAGATAGACTATATATACATAGGTATGATGAGTTTTGTATCCCTTACTTGAGTAATGATTGTTCCTCACACAAACTACCACCCCCCTTAAAGGATGATTTCAGGGGTAAAAATTATCCTGTCCTTCCCAGGGTCTCGAATTATCTCCATACCAATTTTCTAATCTAAATCAGTTCAGCCGTTTAGTCGTTAAAAGGTAACAAGTATGGATGGTTTTGTCTACAAGCATGAATTATTGTATTGTTTTACTAGCGGCTCACCCTCGCTTCGCTCGGGTTCGTCGCTAGGTACGTTTTAAATAGATATAAATAGTTATTAGCCAGCGTTAGCGATATATATATATTTTTTGTTAATAACATTGACAAATATTGACATTAATATTTATACGATACTAACGTCACTCAATTGTTTTGCCTTCACGGAAACTCTCCACTTAAACTACCACCAAACTTAAACTTTATGGTATGGTATTAAAGTTCAAATTGACTTTTAAGTATTATTACTAATCTTTTGTATGGGAGTATAGAAAAGTGTGGTTTTTAAACTTTTATAGGCAATTTTTCAAAATTTTCTCTCCGTAAGAACCATCCTCGTACTTCATGGAATATTCTAAAAAAAGAATTAGCGAAATCGGTTCAGCTGCTCTCGAGATTTGCGTTTACCAACACATTCAGCGATTCATTTTAATATTATAGATAGATTGTTTTGGTAAGGTGAAAACAATAATGCCCTTGTAACAAACAGGTATTTTAATGCAGTGAGAGAATATTAAAGAGTCATTATAGTATATTCTTCTTTTTCTTGGCTCAAACACTTAGCGAGAGATATAACTTAAAAATATGACAAGTACATTAGGTACAATCCCGACCGTCGACTCACTTGGCGCAAACACATAAGGACTAAAAGAAAAGATCTAGACACCAAACTCCGCAGCATGTATTGGCTCTTCAGTCGTAGGTCACCGTTGACAAATGACAGTAAAATGGCTATCTACAAAGCTATACTAAAGCCTATATGAACTTACGGTATTCAGCTCTGGGGCACAGCCAGCCATAGTAATATTGAAATACTCGAAAGGTTTCAAAGCAAAACAATGAGAGCCATGTTCAATATTCTACCACATATAAGCAATAAATATGTGAACCTAGATTTCAATTTGTGAACAGTGAAAGAATCGTAAACAGCAATAATTATCAAGCCAGATTGGACCGACATATCAATAAATTAGCTGCCGAACTGAAGGGAGTGGGCAGTTTAAGATTCTCTCGCCTTAAGAGAAATAGTATATCAGAACTAGCGACTAGATTTGCAGACATAAAATGAGGACTGCACCAATAGGTGCACATCTCTTCTGAAGATACATTTACCGATGAAAATTTGACAGCATATTAGATTATTGTTTAGAACAAATATATTGCAAAGTAGCAGGATCCATTAAAATCTCACCTTTGCGTTCATCATCTTCATCAGGTAAATCAGGATTCTCCCTAAATTTAGAAACTTCAGCTTCAAAATCTTTTGTATATTTTCGAAGCTTTTGTCTCAAAGATGTTAGGGCTTTGCTATTACCCTTTGACAGAGCTTTTCTTCCATCTCGGTCATTCCAAGCTCCAGACACCCAATCTTCTAATTCAATTAACGCTCTAATAAAGAATCTAGGTGCAATTCCATTTTCTTCCTTTTGAACCACAGGAGCAGCTCTAGTGTAAGCTCTTTGTAGCTCTTCAAAAGAAGCTAATGCAGATGAAAAATCTTTAATTTTTTTATGGTTACGGAGAGAATGGATTATTGCTTCCAACTCTTCATATCTCTTTTCTTTCATAGAACGCACGACACGTTTTGTTTCTTCTTCATCGTCACTAAACTGCATAAGACAAATAAACATAATTTAGCAAAAAAAAACAAATATTTTAACATATACAACATTAACTAAGGTGCCAAAAAAACATATATTATGAGAAATAATATAAAAAATATATAACATATATAGATGATTTTATAATAATTGCAAATATTTTACAAAAAATGGTATCTCTTTATTTCAAAGTTAATAAAAAAGCAAAACCATTTTTTAATTTTTGGCTCACAATTTGTGTGCTCTTATAACGAAGATAGCAGAAGTTAAGATAATATTCTGTACCATTCTATATTATATACTAGCAGTACCTGCGGCTTTGCCCGCGTTTAAGCTTCCGATAGCTATCAAACTTCACAGGATAACCTGCTGGTCTAATTTGAATATTGCCTGGAAATTTCATCATAATTGCTCCAGCTGTTTTAGTCCATAGACAGGGAACACACATACACACACACACACACACACATATATATATATATATATATATATATATATATGTGGCTAGGGTTCGTTAAAACTAATGTAAAATAACACCAGTTTGTGTGTGTGTGTTTGCCCAGCATTACAGACATAACTTTGCTGCACCCAGTTCCAAATTTTATTTAAAAATCAAATTTAGTATAAGCCTTAGCACTTCCAGAATCATAAGCAATATTTTAAAAAAACTTTGATTGAAATCTGTCAGATAGCTTTTACTTAAATTTGTTCAAACATACAAAGTATTTTATATATTTAGTATAGATTTTTAATAATGAAACAAGTGCTAATTGTAAGCTAATATGAAAAATATGCTAATAAGATTTTATTTATAAATGTGAAAGTGTGTTTGTCATTCTTTCACATCAAAGGCTTGGCGGATTGGCGTGATTTTTTATGTGGAGATAGTTGGGAGGGCTGGAGAGTGACCTAGGCTACTTTTTACTGTGGGAGATTATCTTTTTCCCATGAGAAAACATGTTAAAATACAATCCAAAAAAATATTTATGATCAGAATTACTTGAAACTTGGTATTAATGCTCTTCAATACAATTAATTTAAGATGTGTTTTAACATTTCTCGAAATTCATTCCACAAGGGGGTAAAATAGCAGATGAAAGTTTGTATAAAGCCTATTGTTTTAGAGCTTTTTTTATAGTTTTAGCGTGAGTAATGCCATGGGTTCTGCTAGTACTTAATACATTGCTACTGTAGAAAAGTGGTTATTGGAATATTGCATTTTTATTATTTATGATTGCATAAAAATATTCCTGTATTACTACTAGTGTGTGTAGTAATACCTACTTGCTTTAAATATATAATGTACATAATTTAAAATCTTATATGTATGTATATATTTTTAACCGACTTCCAAAAAGGAGAAGGTTCTTAATTCTTCGGAATCTTTTTGTATTAATTATTAAAAATGCAATACATCCTATAGTTATTTTTAATGTAACAATAGTGTTGATTTAAATATTGTTATCTTTAGATATGAAAAACTGAAGTAGTTCATACAACATAAGTATTTATTGTTAATATATTTAATAGGAATATTACAAATATAATCACAATATTATATATAAAAAATATACGTACCGTATATACTGGCGCTGGAGCACGAACTATCTGCTCCTCTTCAGACGAACTCTCGGACTCGGAGTCCGTACCAGTTGCAAAAAATCGACTCATAGTTCTTTTCGTAAGTAACTGAAATAAACTTAATTCATTTAGTATTTCATAAATAGATGATCACATAAACTTTCAATAAAATGATCGCCGTTTTATTTCATTTAATGACACTTTAATTTTAGTTTTAGGTTAGAATCCTATTTTTTATAAAAATATTGTATTACACAAAGGAAATTTGATAGATGCTAAAATATACTTTTTTTTAGGTAAAAATGATTATACCTTACGTGTTCATTAAAACAAGGCAATATTAAAAAATTAACGTTTGTTAATTTATGTTCCCACGACGCAATCTACACGTCAAACGGTCAAAAAGGGAGTGATAAAGAAGTATACAGATTATGTAGATTATTGAAGAGATATTCATCCGGAGATGTCTTTTTATATTTATTACTCTTATAAAATTGATAAACAAAGTTTAATTAATTATAAATATTTACAAACATACAGACTCGTCTATTCACGCCTATATCCTTGTAATTTAAAGCCGGCCATACAAGTAAGCAAGTTTGAACTGTAAACACGAGTATAAACCATGGATGACAAATAAACAGTCTCGAAATGTCAAGGGTTACACGCCACGGTCACGCTAAAAGACATGCGCCCTGATTGTTTCTTTCGTCCGTATTTATTTAGATTTATGTAATCATGGTGAAATGTACAGTTCCAAGCTGTAAAAACTATTCACGGAAGCAAACTAAAAAGAACAAAAATATTTCTCACTAAATTAATATTTTTTCTATTCGCCTGTACAGGCGTAGAAACCTGCACAGTTGTGCAACACACACGCTTGACGCTGCAGTTTGCTTGTCCAATGTCCAGTTGACGTGTACGGGCATACTTTCAGGTTCACCCTAGCATGTATGGCCGGCTTTATTCTCAATAACAGAATACAGATGCTTAATATATCTATATAGTTTGTGGAATACAGATTAATAAAGTTAAAAGTTATACTACGCTCGTTGGCGTTGCTCGATCAGACGATCTTTATTTCATGAATTAAAGTGAATAACTGATTAGTGATTTTTTAATTATTAAATAGTACATAATTAGAATTTGGTATCGCGAATAAAAGTTATTTTATTGAAAATATAAAAAAATAATCTTTAATACGTAAATCGTAATTATTGGTCAATTGGTTATGAGGCGGAAGGACTTTTTTGAGATGAATATCGTTTTATTATAATGAGTTAGAGCAAATTGAGCATGGACTATGGAGTTTACGAGCTTAATTCTCCCTTTAACTAAAAATATATGCCGAACATGCTTAGGCGAATTTGATTCCAGAGATCCTACTATGTTTATGAACATACAAGATTTAATTGAACATGAAATGAATAAAATAAAACTTATCGATATATTAGTTTTTTTGAATTGTTTGGAAGTATGTCTAATATATCATTATATATATTATTATTTTTAAATTTAATGTAATTAAATTGTCTTAATATTATTTTATTTGTTTCAGAATAATGATGAAGAAAATTGGCCTCAAGGAATGTGTGCTTCGTGTGTTTCTACAGCTTTACTTGCATACAATTTTAAGCTCAACTGTTTAAAAGCCAATGTCACCCTTTCTCAAATATTTACAGTTCAATCAACACCTAACAACCAACAAAGATCTGATGTGGATGTCATTGACATAAATGTTGTGTATCAAGACCATGAGTATGATGTCCCTTTATTTAGTAATCATGCAGTTATTGATTTTGAACCAGATGTACCTGAAAATAAAGAATTAACACCTCTACCACCAGTCACTGAAATAACCTCAACAGAAAGACTTCGCAGAAAAGAAGGAGATAAAAGATACTCTTGTAGTGTGTGCTCCAAATCTTTTACCAGAGTTTACAGTTTAAGATATCATATGGCGAAGCATAATGATATTCGTAGATTTTTGTGCCCAAAATGTGGTAAATGTTTTCACACAGCAAGTGGGTTGAGGCAACATTTATTATCACATATTGAAAATAACCAATTTAAATGTGGTTTTTGTCATAAGACTTATAAGTCGAGGCAATCATTGAAAGAACATTTTCGTGTGGCACATTCAAGTAATCGAAAATTGTTTGTTTGTGTTACATGTGGAAAGAGATTTACTGCAAAATCTACATTGATGATGCATGTTAAAAGTCATAAAGGTGTGAAAGAATTTGCTTGTTCTGAATGTTCTAAAACATATACAAGAGCAACTTATTTAAGAGCTCATAAGCTAGTTCATTTGGGTCAAGAGAAACCAAAGCCCTTTACTTGTGTTTACAAAGATTGTGATAGAAGTTTTGCTACAAAACATTCCCTAGTAGTACATATTGCTCATTCACACACCATGGAAAGACCACATAAATGTAATGTTTGCTTTAAAGGGTTTGCAACATCTTCTGGCTTAAAAGTTCACATGGAATCTCATACAAATAAAGAAGTTTCTTGTGATATTTGTAACAAAAGACTTGCTAACAAGAGAGTGTTACAAAAGCATATAAAGATCCATAATTTACAAAGCAATATTTCTTTGGATAATGTAACAATTGATAGTTGTTAGCAGGGTATTCTAATTTTATGAAGTATATCCTGGTCCAACTACAATTTTTAATTTGCTAAATAAAAATATAAAAGCTTATTTTTCGTTTTTATTTGTTTCTCTTATGATGAAAATATGGTATTATAAATCCCACTAAAAGAATTGATCCATAAAGTACTATGTATAATATTCCTAATATAACTTATTAAGATTAATTAATTAAGAAAAATATTGGAAGACTTAAAACCACACTAATCTTAATAAATACTAATGATTGATGTATAATTCTATTTACTTCATGAGTCACAATGTGATGTTTAATCTTAAATCTAAAATTGAAATAAGTGATACAATAACCATTATTTTAATTTTACATTAAACGTGTGGTCTGTTTGAAATAACATATCCTAAGGTAAAATACCAAAATTGTTATATTCATATAAGAACTTCCTTCAAAATCAAAGAAATTTATATGTTGTGGGCTTTTGTTTTTCATCATAGTTGATTAATTTACCAACTCACATCCATTTGTACTTTAAAAATTCAATTTTTGGGTTTTAAAGGTTGATAATAAGAAATGGTTCATAATATTCAATTTTTTTTATTTCAAACTAATATGACATAATATATATGTAGTTGTATTATATAGAATAAATATATAATCAGCATGGAATGTAAAGGCAAAATGAAAACACTATTTAGGTATATACAATGTAGGGTACATTGTACAAAGTGAAGTAGGTTAGTTTAAATTAATAATTACTTTTGTAAACATTTCATATTATATATTAAATGTAATTACAGCAGCTATTTTATTTGCTCTAGCCCCGGCACTTGTATTCTAAACTTCATATATGAATATCATTTATAATGATTTTCACACATGAGAAAACCTAGTTAGTCTTTGAAAGATTGTTGATGTCAACCAATCTGTATTTGGCCAGGGTAATGGACTATGACTTACATCCCTTTGCATCGAAGGGAGGTCCATGCATAGTAGTAGGACATTATAGTGAGCTAAATTATAAATGAAAATAATATTAAATGATTTATCAAATGTTTAGAATTAATATGTGGTTGATAAGCTATATTTAATTAATTGAAAAGATAACATTTTTCCTATGTATGGATATGATATTGAGTATTGTTTCCTAGTTTCATTAAACTGATACCATACATACATATTATTCTGTACAATAATAAATTTAATGTGTACCAATATTAACATTAACCCAAGATCATATTTGTGGATATAAATTGACTATATAAATAAACATAAATTAAAATTAACCACTTTGTAAATTATTTTCCTAAAAGTTTATTCATCTGTTTATTTTGATGTCCAATTTTTATATCTGCAACATCAACTTTATCATGAATTTCATCAATAAGGTGGTTTTGTTGTTCAATTTCTTCTCCAAGGGCTACTCCAAGACCTTTGAGTCTAGAAATATGAGTCACCATTTCATCTAAATTAGCATCTAACACTTTATTTATCCGTTGAGTATCTGATATTGGCTCGGCAGTGATTTGTTGATCTAGACCTCTTAAGCGAGTTGCTGGATGGGTACCAAAATGATCAATTCCACTTATACTCATTGTATTTACAGTATCATCTAATCTACTGCTTGTACCTGCTTTAGAACTGTTAGAGCTAGGAGATGCCTGACTTTTTGGAGGAGTTTGATCTGATTTACCTGATAAGTAATTCTTGAATCCATAAAATACTGACTTAATACCGTTTAGATGTTTTTGACTATAGTTTAAATTTGTATTTATTTCGTCTAGTCGCCTGCTTGTGTTTTGCAACTGTTCACGTTGGCGGGTAAGTTCTTCAGCAGTCGCAATTCCAATTTGTTCAGATTCGCGCAACAAACCAATGCTCCTTGTCGAGGAGTCCAGAGTACGTTGTTCAATTTCTTTTTGTTTTTCAAGCATAGTTTGTCGTTGTCTTTCTAAGTCAGCAATGTAAGGTGATGATGAACTAGGTTTTGGTTTTGGCGGTGGAATCCTTGACCTATAACTGTTAACGAAAGTATCGTCGTCCACATCATCATCATCAAATAAGTCTTTGCCTTGGATATATCTATGTCCCGACATTGTAACTTGCTTGAACTAAGTACAGTAATTAATATTTTAAGAACAATTACTTACTTTTTACATATCAAGTTGTTTTGATATATAAATTAAAAAGTTTAAAAATAGTTTTTAAATTAGGTACCTACGTATTTACATGAGAACAATGAAATCACAGAACAATAATAATTTACTGGGGGAGGGGGGCGGATCCGGATGAGGAAGAAATTCGTCACCACTCACCACAGACTGTTAGATATTACTAGTATATACCAATGTACTCTGTGGATATTACTTTAAATCATGGATGACAAATAAAATAGATGAATTAGTTCCATACGAGCTCTTGGTGGATCTATCTATCCCTTTCATTTGCTTGGTAACTAGCATGCTATCTCTACATTTGGCGACAACGAGTGGGACAACAACTTATTTCTGTCGCAGTTACATACGTCACTACTGTGACGTCACTGCAATATTTTGTCATTTTTGAAATTTTCAAGTTTTAACCGTTGTTATTACTCGCCCCTGGGGACTAGGGTGTGAGGGCTTGCAGTTTTTATATTATTTTACACTTTAAATTTACATTTTATCAATTTGTAGATTAGTATTGATTAATGTGGATAAGTGCTGATTAATGTAGATCAGTGATATAGTTAAGATTTGTGCTTGGATACAAAATTTGTGATTTCTTCATTAGTGTTTCTCTTCCTTTTTTTGGTTTTTTATTAATGTTGTGTAATCATGGGAAAGCATTGTAATTCCGAATTGTCAGGAAGGAACAGGTTTTTCATGCCATAGAATGCCTTGTAAAGATGCACTTCAATTTTATAACGTATACTTATAGAAATTCTTATAAACCGGGTTTATTTCTAGAGTAACTCTATCTGACTAGGTTTCTGCCAATGTAGCTGCAATAAATTCATTAATTTCTGATACTAAGGTAAATATACTTTGTAGTGCCAATGATGCATCAAATGCATCCATTATGAAGTTAATGGGAACAAAACCTATCATAAGTATGATGTACCTCGTTTACTGAAATGTTTCAGTAATAATTTTCAGAAAAAGAATTTGCTCCTAGGCAGTCAGCATGCTCAATGGGATTATGTTCATATGTTGTATAAAGTAGATGACCATAAAGGTGCTGCAAGGCTAACAAATTTACTGACAGGCATATTTATCCAAACTCTTTTGTTAAGATGAAGGTAACTATATTGTTAAGTTAAGTAAATTAAGATATTATTATATTACTTTAGATCTTGGATATTATCTTATATTTAATATGAAATTGTTTTTAAGAAGGAAACTTCTTAAAGCTATTGATATTATTATACTATTTATTATTATACTATTCTATTCTAATATGTAAAATTGAAGAGTTTGTTTATTGTTTGAATGCACTTATCCATGTAATGCTCAGTCCATTAAAAACAATTTATCAACTATATAGCCTATCTATTGTATAATGTTAAAAGCTATTTAAGGGCCTAATTGGCTTATCTACCTAGACCCTAATAATAATAAACTAATACTATATTTAAATAAGCTACTATTCATCTAAAGTAGTTACTAGTACATATACTATAGTTATGGTGACTATTTGTTGTATTACATTAATTTATTATAATAATATATTTACAGGTGAAGTATATGCTGCGCAGGTGTTTCAGCAGTTGAAGTGTTTCAACATCTATAAGTCTCCTGATAAAGGCTTTTAGTTTCCAGGAAGAACACAATTATTGTAATACATTAAATGTAAATATTGAGAATGGCTTATTCACAGCTGAGATTATTTTATTCATTAATAATAAAATACATGATCCTTCTAAGAATCTGTCATCTCTAGTATGGTATGCAATTTACATAATTGAAAGACAATTACCAAAGATTTGTGAAGTTTACATATTTCCCGATTTAATAAAAGCATTTGAAAATCTTGATACCTCTTGGTACACTTGTGTAGATCATAGAGAAATATTTTTAAGAGCATTCTCATTATTTATGATATGTATAAAAGTTAAACAAAGGTGTATAAATTTTAATTGAAGAATGCATAAAGTGGATTCGAGAAAAAAGGGTCTGGAAATAGAAAATTTGCTTAATATGAAAGTTTCAGAAGGGCCTAGCTATGGTTGAACTCATCTAGTTTTCAGAGTAGTGAATGATTTTCCAATATTTTTTCATTAATTAACTTTTAATATTTATTACTCTTGTTTGTTTCATTTCTTGGTTATTTAAAAGATAATCACTTAGAATTTTCCATTTTCATTATGTTTCTATTAAGTATAAAAATAATGTATGAATATTTCATTTGATTTCTGTGAAATAATATTATAATTTCTTAAAATATACTACTATAGCAGTATATAATTTTAATATATTAATTATAATTGTTACATTTGATATAACTATGTATTTAGAAATTTTATTTTAGAGTATGTTTAGCTGTTATTTCTTTTTACACCAAATTTTTACTATTACTATGTACATTTTGATTTTAAATTTCTTAAGCTTTTAAGAAAATTAATTTTATTATTCATTTTTTTTACTGAAATTTGCATTTTTTTTTAAATTTATATAAGATTAAAATGTTTGTTTTTTCAAATGCGCTAATCTCGAATCTTTGCATTTTATAAACTGAAGATGAAGGTGGTTCTAGAGCTAAAAATTCAAACAAAAGCTAGATTTTAATTTATACCTACAATTAAACCTACTACTCGCTTAATATGATATTGTTATTAACAAAAACTATTGTTCTATGTTACTTCTAATTTTATTGCATTGTAATATTTTATACCAAATCGTTGTACTAATTTATATTTTTTGTATTTTGTATTCAATTGATAAAATTCTTTAAAAATGTCCTTTTATTGTAATAACAATGTGTTATAAATGTTAAAAAAAAAGGTTATCCCGTCAAGGACCTCAGTCCTTGCTAATTCTTCTCAGGTCTGAGGCATTTTTCCGAACTGGTGGTAGCATTAAAATAGTAAAATAAAAAAACGAGAAACCTATCTTTGTATTTTATTTCTAATTATAATTTATATCATAAAAATGAAAACCTTACTATAAAACCGATAACAGTTGTTGAATACCGATAACATTACGATAAAAACATCCCTACTTAATCGTAATCGTAATGAATACCGATTTTCACATCACTACGAACTAAATTCTCCCAGATTCGCATATGACGTCATACCCTTAGAAAGAGATGCGTGGCGACTCAAAAGAAATACAATAGCCGTGAAAGTGACAGCATATTTTGACTTGCCATTTATGCCATAACTGTCCCCCTATTAAGGCAAATATCATGACACAGCTCTAAAATATAAATCAATTTTTATAACATAAAAACCTATGTTAATAGATATTTTATGTTTGATATGAAATATAATTAAAATATAAGATATTCGATAATAGTTAAAATCATTTAGAATATAATTATATAAATCAATATATAGCACATATGATTTATAAAAAAAATCATTATAAACATATTTAACTTAAGTATATTTTATAATATAATAAGATATTAATTAACATATCCCATGTAGCTATTTTTAATTTATAATGGTTAAATCGGGAAAAATCTTTCTTTGACTATCTTGACCCCCCCGGCCCCCGCTTCGTCTTATTCGCCTTCGGTTTTATGAATATGCGCTTGTATGGAGCTCGGCCGGGGCTGCTTTAAATTATACCTAAACTGCATATTCATTACACATACCATAGAGTATATTATACCTCTTGATAACGAATCGCTGGTTTGAGGTAAATAACTTAGTATTAAATATTTATTAACAAAATGTGTAGAATTTACATTGCCTAATGTAAAAAAGCAAAATTTAAGTCTAAATCTGATTAATGTAACTAAAAATAACTGAATCAACAGTATTTTTAGGCATGACACTAGTCTAGTGTCTAAGTATCAGTGGAACCCTCATCTCTCAACAATTACAGGTAAACTCAGCCTTGCGGCGTTTGCAATAATTAGGAAAGTTAGAAACCTAACAGACACGAACACTGTGCGATTTGTATATTTTAGTTATTTTTATAGTATTTTATCTTAAAGCGATACTTCTTTGGGGCAGTGTCATTTCTGTATTCTTCAAAAAAGAGAAATAAGCTTGTTACGCCCAGATTTTGACTTCAAAGGGTGAATATATCCTTCATGGGTCTGAGACTCAGATCCATGAAGGATTTCTTCACCTCAGGCCCTGAGTATACCATATACGCATATATGTACATATAATAATATTCAACAGACTCAAATTTATCTTTTCAACAATTTAAAGATAACATCAAAAATATTTTAACGAGTAAACGGGCATATTACTGTGTTCAAAAGTTTCTTGTTTGGAATTGAGATATACTGACTCATATGCAGGCTATCTTTAACGTTAAGGTAATAAAATAAATAAAATGTAACTCGATGATATTAATTAAAAGAGCAACTGTTGATCGAAGCTATTTAAATTTAATTGACGATTCATAAGTGCTTGTAGTATAAGTCTACTTGAATAAAGTTTAATTTAATTTCATTTCGTTTTTTCAAAGTCAGAAAATGTAACATCCGAGCTGCGTTGTGGTTGACCCCGGAATCAAAATTGTACCGAACGTGGCTTGAGGTACGTTGTAGGTGTACTTGGATGTCGCGGATAGAAAAAAGGTGGGACTCAATGGGTCTAATGCTTGCGCGCCCCTAGATTATCTTGATTTATTTTTTTAACAGGATAATCATTCCCTTCTTCCAAAATTTTGGAATGTGGTCTTCGCGGAAGATGATGTTCTTCAGCCTGACGAGTGTAACTATGCAGCGTTCCGTTGATTAGAAATATGTAGTGGTTATCACCTTTGTCTTTCGGAAGATGAAGAATACATTGGATCATCTGAACTGAAAAAGTTTTCAAATTAAGAATCTAACTTACTCTGGTTTCGATCACCTCATGGAAGAACTCGTCACGACTCGGGTTGAGAAAGCACTACTACACCAAGTAGTACAACTACTTCATCTCAGATCTCTCGTGAGCTCCAAAACACATTGTAGCATCCACATGGAGAAACTTTGTCAGCTAATACAAACGACGAACGGATATCAGTTCACTAGCATCGTCTTTTTCAGCTCTTAGCTGTCCTCTTCTCATTCAGCAACCCCCACAGTTGTTGGAGAGACCTTATTAATTAAAGAAGGTGATGGTTAGGATTTCGATAGCTATCGCCAACGTTTTGTTCTCCTGTAGAAGACAACGATACCAAAACCAATACGTTGGTGCCAATGCTGTGAGGGTAACGTCACCTGAAGAAGGAGAATGCTCTAGTTAACGAAGGTGGCGGGATTTTCGTGGGCATTTATGAGTGCTGAAGGCTTACCTTTGCATTTACAAACTTCTAGGACATTTTTAATTGAAATATCGGTAAGCATTAAGCTTGATACCTATCTATGACACTGCTGCGAACAAAAGTTCGGTAACATTAATAGGTGCTGCCGAAAATGACGAGGAATATGTAGGCGAGAGTCGATTTCCTATAGGCCTTGAAGGGCTTCTCGTATTCTGGAGTATACATGGTCTTGAAGGACTCTTTTGATTTCTTTTGGTTTAATGAATGGTCATCAGAAGCTTTTTCCTGGTAGTCGCGTCGGGTCCACTCCACCTTAAGTTAAAAAGCCCTTTAAAATGTTAATTTAAGAAATATATTTTTTAGCGGATCTCTACATTACAAAAATTAAAATATGACCAAATGATAGTAGTTTTTAACATTAGGATATTAATCCGTCAGTGAGTGGAATATGTTGAAGGCATACGATCGTTAGCATAAAGTTTTATGTTGACAGTTGCCTTTTAACAAATTTGATAGTTGTCACATCTCTTAGTACTTAGCATGGATGACAAATAAAAGTACTTAGTAGTCTATGACATATATACCAATCATGGATGACAACAATGTACTCTGTGGTCTATGAATTGAAATAATAATATGAATATGATTAATTTTCAATTTTTCGTGTGATAGTGATTACTAAACTAGTTTATATTTTGTTTATATTAAATTGACTTTTTTTTTGTAAATTTGAAATGCGTTTCTAGTTATTGATGTTTTTATTATAAATTTTTGTAGCCTAATTATCTTGTGATTTAAAAGTCTGTTTCAAAATGATGGCTGGAAAAGGTGATAAATAAAGGATATTGTTTTATTGTTAGTGTTTTTTATTACTGCTATAAATGATTTATTTAATTATTTTTTAGTAATGGAGACAGAAGAGCAGAATAGAATACGATTCCAGGTGGAACTAGAATTTGTTCAATGTTTGGCTAATCCTAATTACATTCACTGTAAGTGCAGAATTTGTTTGTCAAAGAAATTATTGAAGGATGTATTGTACGATACTTGTGGAAAATATATTTATGAAAACTATATCTATAATTCAATATTTTAGTTCTGGCACAGCGCGGTTACCTTAAAGAGCAAACATTTATTAATTATCTGAAGTATCTGCAATATTGGAGGGAACCAGAATATGCTCGCTACCTCAAATATCCTATGTGTTTACATTTTTTAGAATTGTTACAACATGAGGCATTCAGAAGGGAATGTGTATCAGCACAGGTTAGTTATTTAAAACTTTACTTCTAAGAATGTTCGTATATAGACAAATATCTACTTTCAATTTTTGCATATTAATCAAAGCTTATTTTAATTCCCATTTGATTAATAGGTAGATATTATTATTATTTCATTTATAGTAAACTTCACATGCAAAACACTTTCAAATAAATTAACTACAACAGATTCAGCCCCCTTCAATTTAATTTGATAAATGTTAATAAAATACAAGTACTTTATCATCAATTAATTTAGAGATTAATTTATAGATTACTAGTTACTTACCCTCGCTTCGCTTGGGTGTGTCCCTAGCTTGCTTCCCAATACAAACTTTCATCCCCATTTTCATCTCCTTAAGGAATGATTTCCGGGATAAAAAGTATCTTAAGTCCTTCCCAGGGTCTCAAACGATTGTCTTACCAAATTTCATCTAAATCGGTTCAGTAGATCCAGGGATTATCCCCTACAACGTCACAAACTCACAACCTCACAAAATCACAACCTCACAAACTCACAAAATGTACCTCTTTATAACAGTAAAATAGATAATTGTATGCATAAAAGTAACTTTGATTAAACACTATGATTAAACTAGACTTTTCTTCCATTAACTTTCCTTTTCTAAAATATAGTAATAAATATGGTTATACAGTGCTAGTATCGTAAATATAAGTTACACTGCTTAAATTCAGTAAAAGTGAAACGTATTTTGCATATTGTTTAGCAGGATTTATACCAAGAAATTGCATAAATAGTCCAATTGGAATGTGGTTTGGGAACAAAATATTGAAAACCTGAAGTTTTATGATTTTAAAATATTAGCAGGTATATGAGGAATAGAAATTTGTAAAATGCCCCATAGGGGGCATAGGCCCAGCTACCCCCGAGAAATGGGGGCATTGAAAAATAGTTTTTTTCAATTTCCGGCTTACTGTGACGTTTTATCGAATAATTATTAAATATAGATTAAAAAAAAACCTGCTAACGTTTTAAAATCATAAAAAAAGGTTTTCAATATATATTTTTTTCTCTCAAAAATAAACGGATTCCGATTGGTCTAAAACCCTTTGAGATGCAACATTATTATTTTTCCATAGTGTAACCTATTTCAAAGTTTAAATTAAATATTTCAGGTATGCAAATTTATGGATGACCAAGCTATTCTCCTATGGCAGCACTACACTCGACGGAGAACACGTACTTTGCAGCCTCCCGATGCTCCTGCACCACCTGCACCTCCAGCACCTCCACAAGGTCCACCGAGACAGCAGTCATAAATTGAGTTTTACTCAATTCTGTATCATATAGTTATCAAATGTAAAGTAACTCAGTATAAATATAGAAAATGTAATTGATGATGATCATTATAAGTTTACAAGCTTGTTGTAGTCTGCTGTGGTAAATTACAACTTTACAGATTTATTGCAGTTCGCCAAATATAATTTTTAGTATAATAGAGAATATTTGTGAACTTTTATTGTTTTACAGAGTTGAATAATTAACCTACTTCCTAAAAGGAGGAGGTTCTCAATTCGTCGAAATCTTTCTTTTTTTTTAATTATGTTTGTTCACTCGAAGTCGCCTGAACCGATTTAGAATTTTTTTTGTTTCAAAGGGTACTTCCCAGGTGGCCCCATATAAATTTTATCTAAATTGGTCGAGCGGTTTTAAAAAAAAATCTACAATAAATCATATTTTTTAATAAATTGTTTAATCGAATATGTTATTAAAAAACTTTCTTCTTACAAATTACCTGTTTATTACGACTACACTAAAAATGGAAATAAAAAAAATGAAAACCGACTTCCAGGCACTAAAATGTAAAAACTAAACATGGGTTTCCATTTTGAATATAGCGAATATACCGAATCAGATATTTTCGAAGTCGGTGCCAGCCGACAATATTTTAAGATATGAATATCTAATAGGTAAATAATAAATATGTATTTTACGTATCGAAATATATTAGATTTGCTTTGTATCGGCTAAACTAAAATATAAATAACTAATACTTTCTTAGATTTACGCGAATGTTTGACATTATTAAATAAAACTAATTTTTCGGATTATTTCGCGGATTTTGATTTTTTTCAAATGCTTTACAGCATCCATGGTCACGGGAGAGACTGAGGTGTTACATGTCTTGAATGTATAGTTGTTACAGACAGCCTACCCACAATTAACAAAATGAAAAATGCACAAATTACATTACAATATTTTTAACTTTAAAACATTTTTATAATTTTAATTATAATTGAATATGGAAAATTATTTATTTAATTTTTGCTATTATTTTTATAATTATTACAATTTTAAAATATTAATTAGTAATCTATATTTAGTGTTGCCATTATTATATTTATAACCATAAAGAAATATAAAATATAGTATTAATTATTTAAGCCATATAATTGTTCTAAGTGTAATTTAAAAAAGTTAAATTAAAATTATTATCCTTAATTAATTATTAAAATTAAAATTATTATCCTTAATTAATTTTAACTTTTTTAAATTACACTTAGAACAATTATATGGCTTAAATAATTTATACTATATTTTATATTTCTTTATGGTTATAAATATAATAATGGCAACACTAAATATAGATTACTAATTAATATTTTAAAATTGTAATAATTATAAAAATAATAGCAAAAATTAAATAAATAATTTTCCATATTCAATTATAATTAAAATTATAAAAATGTTTTAAAGTTAAAAATATTGTAATGTAATTGGTGCATTTTTCATTTTGTTAATTGTGGGTAGGCTGTCTGTAACAACTATACATTCAAGACATGTAACACCTCAGTCTCTCCCGTGACCATGGATGCTGTAAAGCATTTGAAAAAAATCAAAATCCGCGAAATAATCCGAAAAGATAGTTTTATTTAATAATATAAATAACTATTTAACATTTGGATAATGTTTACAAAAGTGTAGGTTAAAGTATCCACATACGATTTAATTACAAGTTGAACTGTTGCTGTTAAATAATAGTACAGTAAATTGCTTTTTTTAGTTTCGTGAAAAGGCACTAGGAAACTTATTACTCCAATATGTATTTGTAAATTGTAATATTAAAGAAAACACTTGAAAAAGCTTTATTTAAATCTGTTCATCCGTACTCGCCTTCTGAAAGTTTAAAGAGACAGACGGAAAGTCGACAACTTTATTCTCTTCTTTTTTTTCACATTTTAATGCATCAAATCTAAAGCACGTTTAAAGAATAACATTGTTACATTTTTTATATTATTATATGGAGGCCACTATTCGTCCAATCTACGGGTCTACGGGAAGCTTTCCCGTAGCTGACCCGTAGGCCAAACTGATTGAAATAATATTATAGCATTTATGTTATTAGGGGTTCTGGGTTTGAAATAAAAAAAAGACCTAACGAGATGGCTTTCAACGTATGTTACCCAAGTCGGGCCTGTCACATAATAATACCACCCACTCATTCAAAGGCCGCGTCCCTACTACTCCCTACTACTTAATACCTCAAAATCAGTTCGGCCTAGGCCAAACTAGTTAAAAAATATTTTGTCCGGGCTAAAGTGGTATCCTGACACACTTTGGATGAACCGGTTTGGCCTAGGACAGACCAGTTTGGACTGAAATCTAGTTTGTCCTGTAATATACTTAGCAATCGTCGCATAATTTGTTTTGACAACTTATTTATAGGCAAATGTAAAACTTCCCGTGGATCTGAATGCTTAATTATCGATCAACGGGTCAGCTATGGGAAAGTCCCGTAGACTCGTAGATTGGGCGAATAGTCACTTTGTTATTATAATTTTTCGTTAGAATAAGTGAAAAATTTAATGATGAGAGACTGATTGTATAATATAATAATAATAATATGTAAATAGCCAAATAACAATAATACAATGTATGTACGAAAATAAAAGATCTTTTTACAATTTCTGCTTTTAATTTTCAATAGACCAAAAATGCGCACTCAGGCGTCTAATTAGTGATTCTCATTCTACCCCGGTAGGTGGTAGTTGTAAATACATTTGTGCTATAAAATAAATGGTTTGATATTTCGAAGACAAAGGTTATCCCAAGTGCTTTATTTGACATGCTGACATGACAGATGTCGTGTCAAATATATTTGCTTTTGATTTAGTCCTATTACGAAAAAAAATTGAAAACAAAAACAAACTGTTTTTACCGAATTAATCCATTTTCTGGACAAAATCCAATTTTTGTCCCTGAAACCTTATTCAGACTAATATGAATATTCTAGGAAAAGAATTAGCCAATACAGTCCAGCATTCTCTAGCGATATCAAAGAAAAACATTAATTCATTTTTATTTTATTTTTATGTATATAAATGTATATTAGAAATGCAGTTGAACTTTTAAATTAATGAGCCGATATTTTTCGGGGTACGTTTAAAAGCCAAAGTGATTATTATTATTTATTTGATAAGTGCATATTTATTTAATAAATGGTGTCAAGCTTTTCTTCTGTCGAATGCCACATAGAGCGCGTAAAGTTAAATAGTACAATAATTCAACGGCGCTCATCATGCTGAATCCCATGCATAGGCCTAGCAGTCCACCAGTGTTCGCTGCAAAATAAAATTGTAGGCAAATCAATATAAAAATATCCTTCTGACCGATTTCGGCCACGGCGGCCAATCTCACTGAGACTAGCCAACTGCGCAGGAGATATTATACTCGTAGTAAAGCGCGTGTGCGCGCAGACACAAGTGCACTCTCTATTCCTATCACTCTCATACTCCGGTTGGATGACTACTTGACACGACCGGTGAGAGTTAAGGCGCAATACGACGCGACATGCGCTGTCCAAGGCGTAGAGTCGAAAAACCGCCAACTTCTGTTACTAAGGCTTCCTAAACAGACAGAGTCAATAACTAAACTTGGCCCGACTCGGGATTCGAACCCAGGACCTTTGGATGTGCAGCCGTATATGCTAGCTACTACACCACCGAGGCAGTTAAATATATAGAAATGTCGAATAATATACATAATAACTATATAGTATGCAATTTGTAAAAAGTAGTTTATTTAAAACACTTAGGGCCTCTTAGGCTCCGAAAGTATAATCTCAACCTATAGAATGAGCTACATTAATACTTGGGATATATTAAACTTGGGGCGTTAAAAACTATAGGTACTTAGGTAAATACTTACATAAAAATTCAGTTAGACCAAATATTTCACCTTTTGTAAATCTCATAAATGAATTGTCTTCGAAAAAAAAATGAATTATGAGCATGTTCTCCCTGTAAGAAGTAGGAGAGTGTTTAGGTGTAATAGTTCCTACAACCCACTAACAATAGAAATAGACTGAATTATTGCAACGTCAGAATAGGAAAAGTTTATGTAGGAACATAATATGCTCAATGCTCACGCATGTAATCTGTTCCCTACTAATAATAATTTAAACGCTTTCACGTAGTTATATATTAGAGACAAGTGTTATTTTGGATCAACAACTACTTTGTTTTGGATACTGCTCAGTAGATTAAAAAAATCACAAAAATAATTCAGATAATAAAACGTACTTTTATACGTAAAAAAAAATTGGCACTTGTTTTGCCCTTATCAAACGATGTTGTGAAATATATGCATATAGTTAAGAAAAAGTTTCTCTATACGTATAAAATGAATTATACTGGATGATAAAAAATGCATCGTGATAAATTAACAGTAAACATTTACGTGAAATATTCTGGAGTTTGGTTTTGTGCGAGGGTAATACCCTGCGTGTAGTGCCCCACAAGCGCCTTGTTGAGCGGCGCCGCGCTCGGCCGCTCGAAGTAAGATATCTCGGTGCAGGCCGGCAAGCATTCCTCACAAGCTCTTTGGCTGTCTATCGATGTCAAATCATTATATATTTAGATTAAGTTTTATTTAAGGAAAGTGGTAAAGTATAGTTATTCAGTTTTTAGTAATTTACAAAATATAAAGTTAGTAAGTTTAAGAAGTTAGTTTTTAAAAAATATATAAATATTACTATCTTTTCTATATTTTATTCAACTGATATTATTTAATCACTTTTTAACTATGAAGTAAAGTGAAGGTACATCTAATGTAAAATCAGTTTCGAGGTTCAATTTATTCCATCTATAATAGGTCTGGAACTTTTCTTGAAAGTTTTATGAGGCTTGAGGTATAACCGAAACATAAAAAAAGAATCTCAAATGAAAATATACACCCAAATAGCGAGGTACTCAATCTCTTTTTATGGTGGTCAAAAACAATATCAAGGGCCAATTAATGCACACGCATTATTGTCAATGTTTTAAACTATATGGATATTTTGTTATCTACACTTATACTAATTTTATAAAGTGGTAAAGTTTGTGAGTTTGTGACGTTGTAGGGGTAATCTCTGGATCTACTGAACCGATTTAGATGAAATTTGGTAAGAAGATAATTTGAGACCCTGGGAAGGACATAGAATACTTTTTATCCCGGAAATCATCCCTTAAAGGGGTTAAAATGGGGATGAAAGTTCGTATGGGGAATCCACTTAGCTAACGCTAGTTCTTAAATACATATAACATACCTATCCGTTTTATTAATAATCAAGGATATTTAAAAAAAGTATGCAATACAAACCATCTGGTACATATTTTTTCATATTGCTGTAACACTTAGCATCTCCTTTGCCACACACTCGTGTTGTTTTATTTTCTGAAAATTTTAACTATTTAGATACTTACGAATGGATTTAAATTATAGATAAATATTAATTTCAGTATATCTTTATATGAAAACTATGTCATATCGTCAAGTTTAATTACGGAGTTTTTCTTTTATGATATTCTCAGTAGTAACTCGGAGTTAGGAATGTTGGCGGTGTTTCATCCCCATGTCTCGGAGAGCACGTAAAGCCGTCTGTCCTGCGCCTTAACTCTCACCACGGGTGTCACCAGTCCGATGGGATGATACTTAGATCATCCCATCGGACTTTGAGAGTAAAAGTAAAAGTGAGTGCAATTGTGTCTGCATGTACACTTGTGCACTATAATGTCTCCTGCGCATCTGGCTCCGCTCAGTGAGATTGGCTGTCGTGGCCGAAATCGGTCAGGACATTATAGAAAATTTTAAAAAGATACTAACTAGGCATATAATAAAGCACACATTTACAAATATCTAGCATAATTCGAGCTTCACATTCCATTTCACAGTTCCTTAGCGTGTATGTTCTGTAAGAGAAAGAAACAATTAAATTATTCAAAATATTATAAAAGTGAAATAGTTATCGCCTGTGAAGAGACTATAAGGACTGCAATATCAATATCCGTCCAACTTTGTGCTAAGCGGACTGGGATAAATATTTATGCTAAAATAAGTCTTCAGAATTGAATCCATGATTTTTTTCTGCATAGGCATTGTTATGCAACGTATTTCACGAAAATAAAAAAATGGTAAGTGGTGGTTAAACCAACAAAATTTTAATTTCCTTCGACAGCAAACGTCGCAAGCTAGGCCGCGTTAGCCGGTTCCTCGAAACTCGTCCTTTTTTACAAAAGAAAGGCATTCACTTGCAAACAATGTGAGCAGGTCTCTGCTGGATGTTCTAGCCGATGAAGGCAGCACAGTAACACCTTTCCATTACAGGTGGACCAGTTTCCTTCAATTCTACTAGACAATTTCTAAGAATACGCGCGGGCACGCCTTGACCACAGCAATCGGGGGCCCGGGGCCACAGGCTTTTATTTGTCATCCATGCCACAGGCCAACAGTGAACAGATTACCACAAATATTGACAGACTAAGCACCCATCAATTGTTAAGAAAGGTTTTATATTTTACGAGCGGCTCACCCTCGCTTCGCTCGGGTTCGTCGCGAGGTACGTTTTAAATAGATATAAATAGTTATTAGCCATATAATTTTTTTTTGTTAATAATATTGACAAATATTGACATTAATATTGATACGATTCTAACGTCACTCAATTGCCATCCATGTTTTGCCTTCCCGGAACCTCTCAACTAACACTTAAACTTTATGTTATGGTATTAAAGTTCAAATTGACTTTTAAGTATTATTACGAATCTTTTGTATGGGAGTATAAAAAAGTGTTGTTTTTAGACTTGTCCAGGCAATTTTTTAAATTTTTCTCTCCGTAAGACCATCCTCGTACTTCAAGGAATATTCTAAAAAAAGAATTAGCGAAATCGGTTCAGCTGCTCTCGAGATTTGCGCTTACCAACACATTCAGCGATTCATTTTTATATTATAGATTAGATTAACATTAAAATTAATTATTATTATCCATTTATTTTTGTTTATTATAAAATTAAAATATATTAAATAATATAATATTAAAGTATATTAAAATGACTGGCGTCACCATTAAGAAATGATGTTTCCTTAATACCTTTTAAAATTCTCTTACCTGTAAAATACTAAATCCTTTTCACTTGAAAATAAACAGAGCCTCTTATTGACATCAATATATTTTAATGTGGGCTGTGCATCCAGTATCCGTGGTTCAATGGCCACGCGGGCCTCTATGCCGGTTCCATACACTTCTCCTAATTTAGCTATATTTGGGTTCTCTGTTGGATTGTGCAGAAGAATCTGGAATTATGACAACATGTGTATACCTAGATATATAATAATAACGTTGTTCCGATCTATTTTAGCTTTAGTATATAATCCCAGTGATACTAGCCATGTGCGCGGGAGATAATATAGTGCATTAGCAAGGGATCTAATCAGGAACAAAGAGAAATGGTTTATATATATTATAAAGTGATTTATACGTAATGATTTGCTATTGAAATCTAACGATAATTCCTCATGACCGGTGAGAAATCAGGCATAGGAACTCAAACTCAGAACCATCGTATCAACAATTGTAGCCAATAAATAGGGCACGGGGGCAGTTATAAGTACATACTCGTACATATTTCCCATTATCCCAATTCCCATCTTACTACTATATAAATGGAAAAGTTTCGATGGGTGAATGTTTATTACTCAATCACGCAAAAACGACTGGACTGATCTAGATAAATTTGGCACAAAAATAGATTATAATCTGAAATAGCACATAGGTTACTTTTTATCCTGAAAAATGTACGGTTCCCGTGGGATAGAGTTTTTTCTGACTATTATATTAGTAGATATTTGTATTACGCAATTATATCCTTTCATATCCACGACTCTACGAGGTATAAATTATTTGTCAGTGCTACTAATTTTAAGATAATTACCTACTATATTTAATTATGCCATATCACATGAAATAAGAAAACAATTTGGACAGTAATAAAGCAGTGCAAATAAGTTGTGACAAGTAAATTACAACTGTAATTCAGCTCTTTTAAAGTCCTACTGCTAGGTCTCCTCTAGATTAGGTCCACCACGCTGCCCAAATGGTACTTTGCCACAAATATGCTGGTTTCGTCACAATATTTTTATTCAATGTACCTATTAGCAAGTGTTTGTAAAATGATTTACTCATGATAATCTCAAGAGGTGTGAGGCCTGGGTTTAAACACGCTTCACTTGGTTTTTTACCTATTGTATATTTTATGTATAGTATAAAAAAATAGCAACGAACCTTGAACCCAGTGCTTTTAGTAGACGCACAATAATATTCTGCAATATTAGCATCTAGTACTAGCGTGAGTCCATGGTCAGTTCCGATACCTGTTTCATGAAACTAAATTATACCTATTGCTTAAAAGGCGTTTACAAGGTAGGTGTAAAAAGTATAAACTTGAATCAAAATGCATACATATGTATACATATATAAAATGAATATGTTTGTATAAAATTTCTGTAACATCTCGATGAATTCATTGAATTAACCGACTTCCAATTCCAAAAAGGAGGAGGTTCTATATTCGTCGGAATCTTTTTTTTTTATGTATGTTCACCGATTACTCGAAGACGCCTGAACCGATTTGTAAAAAATTTTTTTGTTTCAAAGGGTAGGGTCCCAGGTGGTCCTATATAAATTTTATCGAAATCGGTCGAGCGGTTTTTTAAAAAAATCAACAATAAATATTTTTTTTAAATAAATTGTTTAATTGAATATGTTATTAAAAAACTTTCTTCTTACAAATTACCTGCTTATTACGTCTACACTAAAAGTGGAAAAATAAAAACTTTTTAACAAAAAAAAACCGACTTCCATGCACTAAAATGTAAAAAATAACTAAACGGAGGTTTTCGTTTAGAATAGATACCTAATCAGATATTTTCGAAGTCGGTGCCAGCCTGCAATATTTTAAGATATGAATATCTAATAGGTAAATATGTATTTTACGTATCGAAATATATTAGATTTGCTTTGCATCGGCTGGCACCGACAGTCGGTTTTTATTATTTGTCAAAAAGTATTTTTCTTTTAGCAAAATTATATTTGATAAAAAAATACTAGTAAGTACATTAGTGAAGTAGTAGAGTGGCTGTCTGTCTGTATTTCTAGCATAGAAACGATAGTGGTATCTGGTATATGGCATCGCTTGTTTAAATTTTTGTTAAAAATCCAAGGAGATATTAAGGTATTTAGTTTATACTTAACTTTAGGTCTCCAAGGAAACCCATCTGCAGGTGCATCAGCAGGATATCCAGTTTCAGGCGTCCAATCCACAGATGGTAATGGAAAAGTAAAGTTCATATCGTTCAGTTGCTTCCTGAAGAAATAAATTGACTTTGTACGCAACATAAAAAGCTACTCGATCTTTCTATTATTATTCTATTCTAGTTAAAAGATTTTTATGGAGTAAATAATTCTATTTATTTAAAAAAAATGATTAAAGCCTTTACGGATTTCGGAACATCTTTTCTCGATGTACAACGTTGAACGTGCAGCAGAGTCCTTCATCAGTGAGTTGCGCATTAAATAAATCCTGGCAGTTCATACTTGCTGAGTTCCAAATGCATAATGCCAACATTTCGTTACACGGTTGTGTTACCTGTGCATTCAAAAATGTTTTTTTTTTAAGATTTTATCATAAAACTAGCGACTTACCCTCGCTTTACTCGGGTGTGTCCAATAGTTGATAAAGTGACTTAATGGCCTTTTATACCCAAAATTAAAGTTACTATGATTTCTAATCGGATTAGTAGTTTCAGAGATTACCTCTTTTTATGTTTTTATAATATTAGTGTATATATTTCATCTAACTGCTAACTGTATCCACCTCTTGTTTAATTACCTAACCATTTTTTTAAATAAGCCTTTGTCCATTCACTCATGATCATCCATTTCATTTGGAGGGCGGGATTTGTGATTTAACGTTAGAAAAACCTATAATTTGATATTTAATCATTATTTAATACATATTAGGAAATACATTATATATTTCTTCATATATTATATTGTGTTTCTAACAGACTCTGTGGCTTGTGGCTAGCTTGAACGTTTCCTGGGTTCGAGCCCCGGGTCAGACCAAGTTTAGTTGTTGAGTTTAACTGTTAAGAAAATCTCAGTAACAGCTCGAAGTTGGGAAGTTGGCGGTGTTTCACCCAGGGACTAACAATAGATTACTAACATTGATGAGAAAAGATCGCGTGTGGTGCCAATCCGCTCCTTCACCATATTCATCTTCAAAAATATCAGCATCAGTCTGCGTTGAGCACAGGCTTTGAAGTAACTTTTTGTCGATCGGATCTCTGTACAAAAAATCACTCAAGTTAAGTGAAATTTTATGAATCTTGGATATTAGAACGCCTAACAAAATTAAATAAGGTCTACCATAAAATCAATGAGCTTCGTGAGATTTTGATGGTTTCATGTAGATGCTTTATAGTAATATCAATTTAATTAAATGTTTTTATTATAAATCCCAGCTATGTTTTTGGTTAAGTGAATAAAAAATAAAATGTTTGTACGGAATAAAATATAAAATCTTGAGGTAATAAAAATAAATATAATATTTTATTCGTGATTATTGGGCAAATTGGAAAATAAATTAATAAATATGGGATTGGAAAATATCAGAGGTGCGAGATCCGAGATTTGAACCCACTTCACTCGGTTACCCAAGCGAACGCGTCACTATTGGACTACCACTGCCTCTATTTCTGTTATATTAGTCAACTAAAAAGAACAATAATGTACCCGAATTGATTGTATCTCTCAGCAACAGATTTCTTCGCTTGGTTAACATTGCAGATAGTTATTGCGGGGAAAGCAAGTTGATTGAGTGGCATGTTCTCCGGGTTGATGCTCACTATCATAGGGGACGTGCGCCACTTCGCGTACACGTTCAAAATGAAAAACGCTGCACAGACCAAAGAGCTGCCAAACGCGGCTAGCCAGAAAAATCTATAATTTTTTATATTAGTAGTATAGTAGTGGTATTTTATATATAAGTACTAAAGACTCACCCTCGCTCCGCTCGGGTTCGTCCCTATAACTATTTAGTATAGATTTCCCAGAGATGAGATACTTTCCCACAGTAAAAATTATCTTATATGTTGACCCGGATAACTAGCTATCATCTTAATTCATCAAAACCCCTCGAGTGGTTTTTCCGCGATGCGGTCACAGACAGACAGACATATATTCTAAAAACTATAGATTCGGCCTCTGTATCAATAATAATCTCTATTTCAATAAGATTTTCCGAAAAATATTGAATGTACAGATTCGGCTGAGTTACAATTTTATTATATGTATACATTAGTAAGTACACACATAGATATCTATGAATATGATAAAATTGTAGAGGTCGAATGTCTGTACATAGAAAAAAAAATGCTAAAAACCGAGTCAGGGGGATGTAAGAAGAGAAATAGAACAAATCCGGTTTTTTTTTAACTTTCTCGTTTCTCTGTTTGTCTATTTGTTTATTTGTTCGGGCTAATCTCCGAAACTGTTGAACCGATTTAAATGAAATTTTGCATGGTGTTACCTTATATTCCCGGTCAACATTTTAAATACTTTTTATCCCGGAAATTTAAAGAGTTCCAGTTGGATAGTCAAAAAACTATAGTAAATTATACAGATTAGTTAATAAAAACTACTGATTGGATTTTAATGAAACTTTACAATAATATAGTTCATACATCAGAATAACAAATAGGTAACTTTTTATCTCGGAATATGTACAATTCCCGTGGGATATATTGGTTTTTGTTTGTCTAGAGGCAAACTCGAACGAAGCGACAAAATAATAATAACAGATCGAACGTATAACCCATTCTTTTTTTAAGTCTGTTAAAAAAAGTTCTCCAAGCTCACTAGATGAAGAGACAAGCACGTCGGCTGATAATAGCTTTATTTTTTCCGATCTATATTGTCACAAAATTATTATTCCGACACACTCACGTATATACGAGTATAAAGGTTTTTATATCCTATTTACCGTTCACACCAAGTAAGTTTTTTTTCTCCAATGTAGCGTAGACCATGCAGCGTAGATGTCATTAAGTATTCTCTTAGATCTTGTCTGAACGATTGGTTAAATGTTAGATTACGCGTTAGGATTTCCTAAATCAAAAATGCTATATTAGACATGGTTTTTAAATAAATAAAAACGAGCAAATAGAATAGAATACGTTACAATTGTACATTTTATATTTTAAATATTGTATTACAATACAAGCGAATTATCCTCGCTTCGCCTACGTGTTATTCCAGGTCTATTTGTGTACCATTTATATCCAAGTCCGTCCAGCCATTTCGTAAGGCAGTAAGTAACAAATACACATGTACATATTTTCGCATTCATAATAGTTTCCCGATTACAGTGGTCTAACCACCGTAGTGCTAACCACCGAACTAAATGGGTATCTATATTAGAGCTAGTTGACTATATTAATCATTTTACTGAGATCACGCCAACTTAATTTCTTGTAAATGACTTATGTTTAAAAGTATTTTTGATTAATAACTCACTGACCTCGGATTTATTGCGACTTGTCGGTCTGATTGTGTTCCAATCATACCACGGGTTAGATGCTGATTGAGTAGCCCAGTAGTTTGGCTTAATATGAAAAAAGGAATGTTCGTTGATTGATTTAACCATAGATACATTTATAGTAAAACTAGAATCTTGCCCTAGATTGCTTTCATTTAATTTAACACCCGAATAAATTTTTCCAATACAAACTTTCATTTTAATTTCAATATATCCCTATTAGGTATTTCATCATGTCTATGTCATTGCAGGACAACGTTATCTTTGAATCCACTAAGTCCAGGGGTTTGACTAGAGTGGTGATGAAGTTCGGACAGGCACATTTATTTGTATATAGATTAAGCAAGTATGTATGTATTTTCTGATGATCTTGGTCTTAATGTATTTATATAACTGTCATAAATATTTCTATAAAATAATATTATAGTACAAAACAATATTTTACCTTTTTAATGTTATTTGTTAATGTATTTTTGACTTTAGTTTTATGCTTGATTACCATTGTTTCAAGTCCACATAGACTTCCACTTGCGCACGTTTATGAGTTTCAACTTACAAGTGTTTTTTATAAACTTCAGCGACCAACAGAATCGAAAAAGCTACAAATTTCCATGATTTAACCTAATTTCACATTGTCAATGTTTGTGGTTTAATCGGTTGATAGCGGACATGACAAATCGACCTTGTTCCACCTCAGTTTACTTTCGATGGCAAAATTATACATTTTACAGTTATTTGTCGTCCTGCCCTCATCCATGTAATTATTGGTCAGTGAGACTGAATAATAAAATTTAGTGCTTCAATTATAATACTTAATTTAACGTTTGCGTGCAATTGTGACTTTAAGAAATAAATTATTAGGTAGCGTTAGTATCTATAAAATACTATGTATTTCGACCGCCTTAATGTTTTCCAAGCTTTAACATTCTGTTTATTGTACCGCCCGCCACTGCATTAATATTGCACGCCAATATTATGTCGTACATCGCTGTAAATGTCACGCTATTATTGTTTAATGTGAGTCTAATAATTGCTTTGATCAAATCTATGAAATGACTTTGTTGTCTAATAAGTTTCGTGAATACAAATAATTTAAAATTACTAATAGCGTAGCAAATGTTTAGTTTACCCGATGGCTTCTGGTTGATTACTATCAATACCGAGTACTATTCCCGCTGTTAAGTAAAACTGCATCGTTTTGTTTTCGTTTTATATATTTCGTTTACGCATACATATAATTATTTATTATGTACAAAAAGTTCGTATATTAGGAATTTCACAGAGAAAGTAACAAAAGCTATAGGAAAGAATAGTCTGACGCACTAGCACTTTAAACATATTTCTAAATGAAGAGGAGATCGAAAGGAAGAGAGTGTCTCGGAGTTACTCTAGGATGTCATCTGCTTACATTTCACGAGAGAGCAGATCACATGCGGGAGAAATCCAGTCTACCCCGGAAGAGAAGAGGAGAAAGTGTTCACCAACGCTGTTGAGGGTGAGCGGGGGCTCCATGACCGGCTTGTGCGTGGGCCGCTAAGTGAGCAGCGCGCGCGGCGGCTACCTCGGGGGTCTCTAGGATACCAGCGCCGTTGTGGGCTAATCTGATTTGAGCAGGGGGACCTTGCCAGGAGGGAGCACCGTTCCATTGGTTGTGGGCGGGAGCGTTCCACTGGTTGTGCGCGGGAGCAGAGTTCCACTGGTTGTGGGCGGGGGCGGCGTTGAGGGCGGCGAGGTGGGCAGCGCGGGCCTGTGCTACTTCGGGGGTCTCAGCGACTGGGGCGGGAGCACCGTTCCATGCCTGGGCGGGGGCAGCGTTCCATTGTCCGTTGTCACCATTCCATTGACCGTTGTCAGCTTTCCATTGACCGTTGTCACTGTTCCATTGACCGTCGTCACCGTTCCATTTTCCAGAGTTGTCGTTCCACTGTTGGGCGGGGGCAGCGTTCCACTGTTGAGCGGGCGCACCGTTCCATTTTTGTTGAGCGCCTTGCCAGTACTCTTCGTTGTCCCAACGAGGGTCGTAGGAACCATCGTCTTGGGGATTGGGGTTGTTTTGTGAGGCTTGTTGCAGGGCAGAAAGGTGGGCAGCACGAGCTTGTGCTACTTCAGGTGTGTCTAAGATGTTGCGACCGTCTTGAGACAGGGCAATGTTGGCCGGTGGGCCAACCCATCCGGAAGCATGCGCTCCGCACGCCAGCGCCAAGCAAGCTACAACAATCTGCAAAAATAATTTCAATTTAAGTAAGGCCTATAATATTAGAACTCAGAACATTAAGTTTAAAATATTGCGTTTTGAATGATTACATGTTATTAGTTTGAAAAATGAATATTTTAAATAAAAATAACTCATCTATTTTTTGATTATAGACAATGAAAGATTTACACCGTCGTAGTGTAAATTATGGTGTAAAAAGGTTTAATTAAACTTGCATTTATGGAATTCTGTAACGATCATAAGCTAATTGAATTTAATTGTAAATTATAAAATTTACAATTCAAAGGCATAACTTAAGCGTTTACTACATACAAGTATTTCTAAGTAGTTTTTTATTGAATATTAAATGAAAGCCCTTGGTTTATGAGAAACAATATCAATGTAAACTAGTAGGAATGGAAATATGTCGCTATAGACTTATTGTGTGTAGAGATTTATTGTGTTAAACCTTCTAAATAAGGACAGGGATGTGGCAAACAAAATAAATATTATTTATTACTTCACGTGCAATAAAAAAAATCATGTTTCAATTTCCAAGAATTTTTAATTAATGACTTCATCATTGTAGCAACTGTATGCACATTATACATAGAATGTGGATAAAGCATGAGATATAATTCAATTCTTTAGCTTAAATACCTATTACTTAGAGTATTAGTATGAAAACTCTAATTAATGGTAATTTTTGAATTCTGTCAAATTTCATTAAATATTAAATAGGTGAATTTTGATGAAGACTCAATAGAACGAGTATATTAGTGGAATTTGTGGCGAGCTTATGTTCAGAATCACGTAATGATGTCAGGGCTTGCGGTCATGTCCGAGGTGGTCGCGTGATTCGACGAGATAATCAAATTAGTAATTTAGATATCAATAAAGCAATAACTGATCAACGTAAATAGACATCACATTCTGTCGGAATTTACAAGTCAGTTTGGGCCAAAATTTGTATCTCTGCTCTTTTATATAACTGTACTATATTTTTTTTCTCACGTTTTATTATAGAATAAAGAACATATAAAAATGCAACCTAGAAACTTTGCTGTTAAATCATAAGTTCAGTTACGAAATTCGAGATTAAATCGCATATGCTTACGTTTTTCAACCGTGGCGTGGTGAAATTTTGTGCATTGCGCATGATCACTCAATGAATTTTGCCTTGTTTACGGGAAAGCAAATTTTACTTAGTTTATGCTTAATTTACTCAGAATTTGCAATATTATATAGAGATACATTAACAACTTTTTAATAATAACCTTTTCAAATGAATCTCTCTCTATAAATTTATAATTTTTGGTAAAAATTAAAAATAAAGTGCACAAATGATCGAACGAGCAAAACAAAGGCTATCGTATATAATTTATAACAAATAAAAGTAAAGCAGTAAGTGAATGGCGCCAAGGTCTGAAGGCTGCCCGAAGGCCACAGAGCAGGAAGCTAGCCTTCCGGACCTGCCCACCGTCACACAGTGACTGGTTTCCCTCGCATATCTATATGACATTTGTCATTATTTTTATATGCCCTTTTCAATAAATGTATTTACTTTAAATATATATGTGTCTCAATTTTTTCAATATTATTTAACGTTGTACTTACAAAGTAATATTTTAATGTTTACCGTGAAATCCAGAACTTTTTCGACAGAAATCTTTGTTAATACTATACGTAACTTAATAAGTTTAAATAGTTTATTTCATATGGAAAAACGAACTATGTATGTAATAATTTTTCGGCACATCGTACTTCGTAAAGTTCAGGTACACTTATAATGGATAGACGTCCATAACTTTATAATAATTGGAATAATGTTATTGGACTGCGCGTAGGCATGCCCTTCTAAATTAGCGTGCGATGGAATGCAAACAAAAAGCCTGTGAGTGGCGAGGCGAACGACAAGCGTGGACGCTATCCGGTAGGTGTGCCTTTGATATTGTTGCAGGGTTCTGCTTATAAAAAGGGTTTCTTTTGAAAATTTATAAGTCATATACTAAACTTTTATATGAAAGCTAATGAGAGTTAAAAGAAACACCGTCATTGATTGATTACGATAAATTAAATAAGATTTACTATTGTCACATAAAAACTAATATCAAATCGCTTATTTAAACTACGCAGAGCATTTTTAGAACTAAGAATTAATAAATTCGATTTACAATGGTAACTAATAAAAAGACTGAGGAAGCGTGAAGGAGTAAGTAATAAAATTATTTGTGTGCTTTAAATAAATATGTGTTAATAAATAATATGTAAAATGCGGCCGTAATAGCGGCCGGGCCGCGCCGCGCTGACATTGCGCGCATAAATGGATCACGAGTTGACAGGACGAGTTAATGAGTGATAGCAGTATGGAATGCTTTACTATATTTGGTTGTTTTACGTAGGTGTTGTGATTGCGCTTTAAGGTGATTTATTATTTAATTTATTTTTTATATTCAGGTTTAATATCCAGTATCCTTGTCTGAAATTTATTAAGGAAATTAATCGGGAGTAGTCATATAGTTAGAACAATAATAAATTCAAACAATACAGAAAATTTTATTATTTTTCTATAGGGCAAAAGTAATAGTGCTCAAAAGCAAAAGAGTAATTAATTGGAAAATATTTATAGTAAATACATGTCCAATATATTTAATAATATATTTCTTTGTTTAACACTACGCACTTGTAATTGCATCAAAGCTTTCAATGTCATTAAAACACGCAGGAGGCGTCGAAACTCGATATCTATTTGTGCTCTCATTCGTCACTCAAAGAACCTTGGACGAAATATTACAAGTCATATCGCCTTAGTTTCTATACTGTTTATTTGTACTTCATCTAGATAACGATAATATTTATTTAAAGAGCTTTTAAAGCAACGAAAGATTACCAAATCTACACAAATCCTTTTGATATGACATTAAATATATTAAAAAAAAATAAAATAAATAACATACAATGAAAGTAACTCCACATATTCTTTTTAAAGATTTTTATACGAGTATGTAATGTAATCTATAAATTTGCTACTTTTCAAAACTTCGCGGATAGTTATAAAAATAGTAATTTAGCGAAAGCTTAGCTAATCTTAGCGTGTTATATGCATATGAGGAAATTTGATAAGTGGAGCGCGAAGTTAAAATGGTTGTGACAATGACCCGCGAGTCGCGTGCTCGACCGCACGGGTACGTATTCTCAATAACTTTTTATTTTCGAAATAACCGTTACGCCTATTTACACTATTCATTATTCTTAGTATTGTATTTCCACAATATTGTAAACTAAATTAAAGCGAAATATAAAAATTACTTAAAAGGAATATTTTTTTTCGTAAAGATATTTTAATTTTTATTAATTTTAGGTTCTGTATCTATAATAAATGCATGACGCAAATATTACATCAGAATTCTCATAAAGATATTTGCAGTTCAATTCATGCAATAGTAGAGGTTAATTTTAATGCGTATGCCGTTTCTGCTCTAGAAATTGACTGTTAGTTCTACTGCTCTTAAATACTTTATTACGTTATATTATAATTCTGATATTGTGTTTAATAAATAAAATTATACCTATATTTCGTATTAAAAGCTAACATTGGGCTTAGCACTTTGTGGGTGTTAAATTTACCATACTAATTTATTGATTTTGAATGGTTGTGAAAGAAACAGCCTGTTTTTGATATAAACTTAGGCCAGAGTAACAAGTAGTTACAAGTTGGTGGATATCCTGCAGCTTTGTTAAGCAATTCTATTCACAAGTGCAACAACTAGTCCAATACACATACTAATAAATTATGTTATTATAGCAAAACTAACAGCGGCACGGTGTTTATCATTCGAAATGGATAATCATTAGCATAAGTGATATACTTTATTATTAAATAGCTATTAATCATTTACGAGGTGATGTGAAAATTTATATCCAGTAATAAAGTTATAAAGAAAAATATAAAAGAAGAATGTGTTGAAAAAAGTACTTACCATGGATTTCATTTTGAATTAAGAAGTAAAGCACAGAAGTGAAAGAAAGAAAAAGTTATATAGATTATAATAATCGAGTTGTTTTTATTATAGCGCTGCTGAAAGACTTTGTGTCTTCCAGGAATCGCTATGTTGAAGTGCAACTTGCGTCTGATTGAAATGAGGGCGGGAGCGCATTTATATACTTCGGCGTGTGCGCAGAGGGGGTGGTCGTAGTTTGCGCGTGAAAGTATTGGGACATGCCATTGATAATAGGCGAATATCATAGATACAAATTTCAATGGCAGTGCTTTTGGAGGCGATTTCGTGTTTGGTTTTGTAAAATTATATCATATAATTATGGTTTAGCATCATAATTAAATGTTGAGTTAGCGTAGTAGTAGTAGTTTTTTACAAGAATTTGTCTGTGTAATGGTAATTTCGAAGATCTCATCTTTTACTTAATACTGGTGAAATATTTTTTGGGTTTGTTCTTATATTAACAAGGTTGGTGCCCTTTGATAAATAACAATAACCTCTGACTGTAAATATAAAATTGTGAGGCATTCGGAAGACAAGTGCGGTAGTACGACATAATGAAGCACGCTTAGGACTTATGGAAAGTAAACATCCTTTACGTAGCATTAATCGAATGCTTTATTTACATTATTTACTATTTCCTATTATAGATATATGATTGTTCCTTTTTATCTTTTGTTAATGATGAAACTTAATAGATTTTATAATGTCTCTCTGAAATATTATAAAGGGGGTTATTTTGTGTTTATGTAACTTTTAAAAATAAATTCTCCTACTTGCTGTGTCAGTGGCCGCGGGTTCGAGTCTCGCTGGGGAAATTAATATTTTATATTATAAGCTCGAATGTTTGTACTCCAGACATGGGTGCTTACATTTATAATATGTATGAATTTAGATATATAATGTTTATCAACTATCTGGTATTCATAGCACAAGCCTCGTAGCTTACTATGAAACTAGATGGTGTTGTGTGTTAATGTCCCAACATATTTATTTATTTATTCTTGAAAGAAATAGGAGGCAGAAGCTTATAGATGACAAGCATGAAGTCACTTAATAATTAACCAATATGAATAACTAGCGACTTACCTTCGCTCCACTCGGGTTCGTCCCTACTTACATTTTAACGTTTAGTATAGATTTCTCAAAGAGGTTTCAACGGTGGTTTCTCATAGCTGGTCCCCCTAAACACAGAGCATGACCTTGAAGCCGTGAACATTCGGTTTAGCCTTTATCGCAGAAGCTTGGTCGGGATATTCCCATGATTTTCGGCGCTTGGGGTTATCGTACAAACCCATTTTTCGTCACCAGTCACAATGCGATGCAAAAATCGTTTCCGTTTTAGTCTTTCAAGTAGAAGTTCACAAATACAGAAACGTCGTTCAACATCTCTAGGCTTCAACTCGTATGGCACCCAATATCCTTGCTTCTGGATCATTTCCAGATTGTTTAGGCGTCTTGAAACTGTCTTTTGGTTCACTTGCAATGATCTTGCCAACTCCTCTTGACTTTGACAAGAGTCTTCATTGAGCAAATGCTCTAATTCTTCATCTTCAAAAACTTATGATCTTCCACCACTATGCCGGTTTTCTACGCAAAAATCACCGCTCTTGAAGCATTGAAACCACTCACAACATGTTCTTTCACTCATAGGAACTTCACCATAAGCATCTGAGAGCATTCGGTGAGCCTCAGCCGCAGATTTTTTAATATAAAAAAAATAAATTAATACTTCCCGCAAATGACGACAATTCGGTTCATAAGTTGACATTTTTATTCGAAAATAACTTTATGATGTAAACACAAATCAACTACTGTTGCATTCAGGATATGTTTACAAGATACTAAAGAGTATTTTAAGTCGTCTATCATGTATGCACTCGACGTCTAATTGTCGCTAGCGCCATCTTTAAAAAAACGGCGGGAGCAAAGTTGTATACCTTAATAATAAAGAAATAAAGTTTGTGAGTTTGTGATTTGTGAGTTTGTGACGTTGTAGGGGGTAATCTCTGGATCTACTGAACCGATTTAGACGAAATTTGGTAAGAAGATAGTTTGAAACCCTGGGAAGAACATAGGATACTTTTTATCCCGGAAATCATAAGGGGGCGAAACCAGGGTTAACCAGCTATCATCATACCAAATTTCATCAAAAGTGGGTTTTCCTTGATGCGATCATAGATAGACAGACAGACAAAATTTCTAAAAACTATAGATTCGGCCTCTATACCGAAAACAATGACTATTTCAATAAGATTTTCCAAAAAATATATAATGTACAGATTTGACTCATTATATGTATGTATAGATGTCATCTAGCCCGCCGTTTGTGTAACATACTTTGTAAATCATACGCTTCGTTAGTACTCATCGTATGTGACTGTCGGCATTGATCTTAATATTTCATTGACATAAAATCTTTGCGGTCTTAGCGGTTGAACTTCGTTATTATCATATTAGCGTTGATATTAGCAAAGTTTATTTAGGCATTGTTTCTTTATTATTTTCGTATTAATGTAATATTATAGGTATTCTTAGCAATTGTATTAATTTGTTAGTTAAGAGCTCATTAAAATAAATAAATAATAAATAAGTCAGGACATTAACACACAACATCTAGTTCCATGGTAAGCAACGAGGCTTGTGTTATGAACACCAGATAGTTGATACCCTATACATATATAACTTTAAATACATACATATTATAAATATAAACACCCATGACTGGAGTACAAATATTCGTGTTCATCACACAAATGAATGCCCCCAGCGGGACTCGAACCCGCGACCGCTGGCGCAGCAAGTAGGGTCACTACAAACTGAGCCAAACGTGTCGTGAATCTTCTGGATAAAAGCATTACAATAAAGAAACAGCGGTGATAACATTAACTGATACTCATCAATCAGTAAATGGTATCACTCGATCACCTTAGCTCAGCGTTGCTGCATATCAAACTTCATACTTTGCTCATTAGGCAGGTAGTTTTTCAGTTTATCATGAATCGACGTTTTAAATAATACAGCTTATCTTATTCAATTTGTTCATCATTATTCCTCTGTAGGTATCGATTCCGCGGCCTCCAGCACAGGATTCAGTACCAGTTACATACCACTAAGTTGTGTATTAAATGTGTAAAATATTATATTTCTTGATACAATTTGATTTTGCTTTACACTTGAAATAAAACTGAAATATTTATAACATTATAAAAACTTTCCTAGAGAAAGTGTAATTATAATATGCTCGTAAATTGTGCGGCAGTAATTTAATTTTTTTTAATATTTTGTACCACAATTTGTTTCTTTGCGCTATAAAAAGAAAAAAAAAACAAATTTGGTATAAGCTTACTTAATTTTAAAAAGTAGTGTAAGGGTAGTTGACAGGACAGGTTCCAAAACTAGTTTGCATTTAATTAATTAGTATTGCAATAATTTCAGCACCTCTAGAGCAGTAGTAAGTACTGCAGAAAAATGCAGTGATATAAGTGTGACGAGTTTGTATAATATTATTAAATTACATAACCAATTATAATATTTTTGGAGATATAGCAGGTAAATAATTTGCTTTGTATGGGCTGGCACCGATTTCGAAAATATTTGATTAGGTGTGTATTTAATAGGTAGGCTTTAATTACTTAGGCAAAGCACACCGACTTCGAAAATATTTGATTAGGTATGTATAGTAAATGAAAACTACCAATCAGTTATTTTTTACTTTTTAGTGCTTTTGTTTGAAGTCGGTTTTTATTTTTTTGTTAAAAAGTTTTTATTTTTATATAGATATAGTTTCTTGACTTATAAGTATAGCTAATTTAGACTCAACAGGGACAATTATAAGTTGATTTTCCATAATATTTTTAGTTTTGTAATTGAATAAATTCTCCCCTTTTATATGATATGAAGACTGATGATCAAGATGGCTATTTTCACTTTTTTATCTTGTACCAGTAAATAGTATTGAGTGGAATGGGAGATAGATTAGGTCTAAGCTTGTACTAACGCGCGAAAGCGAAGGCGCAGAAATAAACTAGCACCTATATAAAATTAACTTTATAACTATAATGTAATAAAATCTATAGCTTTATTATGAAAATATTTATATTGCTTCCTTTGATCATAAAGTAAGCTATATTTAATATATTTAAAAATCGCAGTAACTGTTGTATAAAAATCATTGTGAAGCTTTCGTGCTACGACACCGTTGAAGTCTTTATAAGGAAGTGGACATGATATTGGACGCGAGAATGCGAGGGCATATATTTTATGCAAATATTTATGAGTTTTATGAAATCGGACTATTATATTTTATAAATTTAATAAAATTATGACTTTTTTTGATTAAATTCAATATTTTTTTGATGAAAACAAAGTATGTTCGATCTATATATAATTGTTACGTGTACGGAGGTTCGCGTGTAAACATTTCGTGAGTTTCGTTACATACAATCTTATCACTTATAAAATTCTTCACCTACTTCCTACTTTCTCTGTTATTTAAAAAGCCTTTTTGCAACTAGTAATTAAAGGTACGCCAAATCTGATGTGTCATGTCACTAATTGTAGGAAATAATAACAAGATATATAAAAATTTAAAATAATTTATTGAAGTTATAATTCTTTTGGGTACGTTTGGAAAAAAAAATGAGAGTAAAACTTTTACAATGTGCGCGCACACCGACAGCAAAAAAGCGACATGATGAAGTTAGCTGCATTTCTTTTAAAGAGAGTCATGACATACGGGGTCAATGACGTATAACTTTTTACGTGCGTACATAAGTACACGAACACGTTTTTTTAAGCATATCCATTTTTAAAGCATATATTTATATTTACACGCATACATTATTTCTAGTGGTGCTATGGTAGAGAACAACTGACAATAGTAATAAAAATTTTAAATTTACGAAATATGTGCTTAACAAGTCTATACAGTGTTTTGAGTTTTTAATTGTGTAACTTTAATAGTACATTTTTTTTATACCACGTCGGTGGCA